AGAATCGATCTGTTTGATCATTAACCATAATTATATATATTGATCACATCAGACATTGGAAAATGCATTGGGTCTGTCTTATCATTGCCTACCATTCTACATCATTCTTTGACTATAGCAGCTATGATCATTATAGCTTTAATCATGTGCCTGGGAGACTCTGATTTTCTGACTGCTTTGGCTCTCCACTTGATATATGAATATGGCTACCATCAAAAAGATAAAAATGTCATTGATCACTATTTTAGTGGGAATTTCGGGGTTACTACTTGAATATCATCCCATCCCCCTTGTATTAAACACCCCCTAGCCCTAGTCCCAAAGATGCCTACACTACTAAACCATGGTTTGGTGTTTATTAGGTGGAAGGGACTACTGCCATTTCAGGATTGGACTTCCATTACTGTATATTCCCATTACCTTCAGATATGGTATTCCTACGATATTTCCATGATATTACTACTGTATATTACTACTGTATACCTATCGATAAAGCCATATCTGGGCTCCAAAAACTATGATCTTGCGATTATATTCCTATTTATGCTAGTATGTAAAGCTATTACTATAGATTATGTTCCATCTTTTTTTTATTATATATCCGATTCTCCCTATCGATTTTCACCACAGCCACCATACCTTGGCGCCCTCACTGGGGCTGGGTTTACGCAACGCAACCGGAGTTGGCCATATCTGGAGCCACAAAAATTTGTCGGAGCGACTGCTGCAGTCAGGATTTAAGTCATTCTACACTAGCTATCATATGTCACGATTATATCTAGCGATTATATATAATATATATATATATGTATAGGATTATGTGTCACGATTATGTCACACTCCATGTATATATATATATATGTAACTAGGCCGCGATAGATGAGTGCTATAAAGCAAAATATGGCTGGTATAATTTTGCTTTACCAAAACCTTAGATGGTTTTGGGAAACTTTCCACATCGCTCCCATCAACTTGGCCCTCCAAGGCAATTGCCATCCCAGCTGATGGAAATCATCCACAAGCATAGTGCTTGGTTATAGCTGGTATCAATCATAATATAAACATATGGTCTTATAAACATAGCTATAAATAGTGTTGTTATAATAGATTCGGAATAGCAATGAAATCAATCATAGTGATCGGTTATGAACATATCCATTGATTTCATTGCTATTGATAACAGCTATTTATAGTGCATGTTATATGTTCATTGCTATTGCCAATGTTATCAATCATGAACATATCCATTGATTTCATTGCTATTCCCATCATCAAAAATCATCAGATCAATGGCCATTCCAGGATCCTGAGGTACTTACCATATATAAGGCCTATGTTTCAGGCCTATGTAAGGGAATATCCCCAGAAAATATCAGATATCCCCGAAAATTCCCCTGTTCTCAGCATGTGCATTTTTTATCCATTGGACATCGAAGGTTCCACCATGAGCTTACCGAGTCTCAGCTCGTTCAGGACCCGCAAATTGCAAGCACAGGGTATGGTTTTCTCTCTTGCCTTTTAATGTTTATCATCTACCAGATGTTTTTTTCTAATAGATAGATGGATTGATATAAATATAAATATATATATATGCATGTATGTATGTACATGTATATATATATACATAATTATAATAATAACAATTATTATATATATTATATATATATATATTATATGTGCATTTAAAGAATGGCATGTTTTGGCATGATGCTACAGCCAGATTTTCTCCCCCAATTTGGGACACACCCGGCATTTTCCACTTTTCCAGTAAGCCTTGAAGCAGCGCTCTGGGCTGGACACCGTTTTGTGGTGTCTCATGCATGGTCGTGTTGACCGTTGACGCTGTGCCACTGCAACATGCACAGATGAAAAATCATGAAACATCATATGACAAACATTAATATGGCTTCCACATGCCATGGATAATCTATGAAATATATGATAAACAGAATTTCAGATTTCACTTCAAGTACACCTTCCAGCAGTTGGTGTCCAGTCTTTTTTCTTTCAAACAGGTTGGACCAGGTTGGTCATGGTTGGAGCTTTTGCAGTGGCACAGAGGCATTCTCTGCAGATGGGAATTGAGGAAGCAAAGGTGATATAGATTGATAATCTGGTTGGTGGTTGACCTACCCCTCTGAAAAAATATGACTTCGTCAGTTGGGATGACGAAATTCCCAATATATGGAAAGTCATATAAAATTCCATGGTTCCAAACCGCCAACCAGTAATTGATATGATGGCACAAGACGTCCAAGAAACCCCTCTCTGACACCGGCCAATCATGGTCAATCCCATAAAGGCCCCAGCAACCAAACGTTCCACCCAGGCTTCGCCGATATGAGGTGACTTTTGATGACTGAATAGCAACCAATAACCATTGGAGGAATATCGGAACCCATGGGCAGCAGTCTTCCATTACAGCATATGCCGCAGTTTCACAGCACCTCTATACACAGGAGATTACAAGAGTATGAAACTGCTTGTAGAATGAAATAGCTCGCAGTTGACAACACCCAGATCCCCGTATTTTGGGCGAGATTGGAGGGACAGCACGTTTGGAATTTCCGGAATTCCACGTCAAATCCAGATACACTCAAGACATCCTGCTAGCTTTGGAGCATCAGCACCCTTCGCAAACCGGATGCCACCATCGTACACGTTGAGAAGCGATATCTATTCCAAAAAAAGAACTAACAGCCAATAGTGACTTCAATAGTGTGGGTTGACCATCTTTTCACAAGTTGATTCTTGATTACGTTGCTTCACAGCAATCCCAGATCCGCCTTGCAAACGGCCGAGCAGCTGCATTCAGCTGCCCCGCTTTCTATAGCTGAAGCAGCAGGTGCAACAACGAGATGTGACCAAGATATTCCGGGTTTCTTAAAACGAGGGATCCCCAAGTCACCATGGGTTTCAATACCCATATGTTTTAATTTTGGGTGATTTGCCGTTCCCCACCATCTTAGGAAACCTCCATATTGGATTAAATGGACGTGCCACCAAAGGTTTGCAGTTTCTTTCCATCAGGGGTTTGCAATTTCTTGTAATTTCTTCCCCCCAGAATCAAATACTCAAGCGAAACCGCGGTTTGGTACCAGATCCATTCTGTAACTACAGGAGGCACTATCTTGTAGCGTGTGGAGATACGAGATACCAAACAAGTTGTGATCCTTCTGGGTGCTCGAATTGCTGGATGCTCCGCAACCTACATTCCGAAACAATTCTCATAGTGGAGAAACCATCCCAAATTATGGCGACATCTGATGAAAATGATTTGGGCACGTGCCCCAACTGATAGCAGAACATCAAACCATTAATCTGCCCAATTCAGGTTTGTTTATTTGTGTCTCTCTCTTAGCCTTGAACAAATTGCATTGAGTTTGATTCTGAACAACTGTATCATAGAGAGGTCGGTTTGGTATACCTTCTGTGCCATTTATCACTATCATGTAGTTAATTTTAGTTACTAAGTGTTATATGGAAAACCGGGAGGCCCCTCTATCAATCAACCGATATTTTAGGACATCCATGGGTCCCGCGATGGCCTCAAAACATAAAAATAAATAAAAAGACGTGTTTCTTCAATCCAAAAATTCAAGGGAGATGGTGTCCAAATATGGTCATTTTTGGTCCAAATATCATAGAACTGGATGATGGGAAAATTTACAGGAAACCCCTATATTTGATGGTAAAAACATGTAAAAACCATGGTGTCCTGTAAATTTTCCCTTAAACCAATCCATTGAAAATCTTGTTGTCCATGATGACCTGATAGATGATCTGAACATTCAGCCGCTGCTCCAACCCCCATTGCCCAGCAGTGCCAGCGTAAATCTTTGTGCGCAACACCGCCAGGGCCGAGCTATCGAAGAGGTGCACGGCCCACGGCCCATCTCTTTAGCCCCCGGAAATGGGGGCAGGGCCATGGACGGGCAGCCTGTAATCTATAGCGGATCTCCGAACATAGAGGGAACATGGATGGGATTTCTGGGTATTTCTGGAAAATATGATGAAGGGTTATATCAGTTAATTATCATGAAAATTACCCCAATATAATGTTTATTATTGGATTATATTGTGATTTTGACTGAGAATGAATTGATATAACCCAGTTACTTCTCATCTTATATCGGGGTTGGTTTCGAAGCCCGGGATCTCCGGGGATGGCCACGGTTTTCTCCGAGATGTTCAGCTTCACCATGATCCAAGCTGTCCAAAAAGCACAACTTGGGAGCTGAAGGATACATCAATTGGCTCAAAGGAAATTTAACGGGAAAATGTTCCATAGCTATGTTAAATAATTAAACAATATTAAACAGAGGGTAACAGGAAACAGCAGGGAAACATACTTTTTCCGAAAAGTCTAAGGGTTTCCTGCAACTTTTGCCTTCAACTCTGTGAGCACATTGAATAGAACACTTTGGCCACTTCCAAGACCATTACTGCGCGCTGCTATGGACCTGTGGAATGCAATGATTTCAACATCTCTTGGGGACCAAAAATTGCAGTCTCTTGCCTCAACGCACTGAAAATTGATCATCCCATATTACCCCATATCATCCCATATCCCATGACGGATCCATGTAATGATGGTAGAAAAATGCTAACATGACTGGGGTTTTTGTTGATGGAATCCATGATATATACCATTTTTCTAGCAGCACCGTGAATGGATCCGTCATGGGTATCATCAAATGAATATCAACAAAGCCCTTGAAACCACAAACCGCTTTGAAAACTTGGCGATATCCACATCTCTTCGTTCTCTGTCTGGATTCCAATGTGATTTTCTTCACACAAATCCTCCTGAAAGGCAAAAACCTCCCAGTTCACGCCAATTAGCCAATTACAAGGGTGGTCTTAACTGTTTTTTTTTCAGGTTAGGGGACTCTTTTTCCCGCACTGATCCATGGTATTTTAAGGGTTACATGAATGCTTACTATGGTTGGGTCCAGGTCTAAACCCCCATGGTGTAACCACCATTTCTGGTGTCACCAGGTGTCACCATCATGACCTTCAGAGTTCCGGAGTTCCAGTCAGTGCGTGGCGCGGGCGCGCCAGTGTCACAGCATCAGTTTAAAGCCAATTCAGCCTCCGAAATCCAGTCAGAAAAGCTCAGAGAAGACGCGATTTGCTGAAGAAAAACCAGTTGCGACTGATGGTCCAAAGATGGTCTTGAAGTAATTCAAAGAGTTGAGAAGCAGCGACTTGCCAACAAAAAGTGTGTTCCCTGCGAATCACAAATCAAACAACCAACTGTCACCAACTCCCAGACAGTGAAACAAAAATTCAACCATATTCAACCCAAAGGCCCCAAGGTGACCCATGTGACCCCCCAAAAAATTCTGGCTTATTAATTATTAACCAGCAACAGCTGGTAGTGTTCAAAAAAAACACTGCGCTCAGACGAGGCACATAGACCGGTTTGTGGTCACTGCCGGAAGAACTTCCTTTTCCTTCTCGCAGCAGCGTCCAGTGATTGGAGTAGAAAATGCAATCCTCGTCCGGCTGACCATCTATGGCCATGATGGCCATGGAAGCCATCATGAAAACTTGATGCCGCCATGAAGCCATGGGATCCATTGGGGATGTGATAGGGAAGTGGTAATCCCTTTGAGGTTGGGGTGAGGTATATCATATCAGTATCACATAGTATCACCCTCTAACTTACACACATATCCACACATATCCACAACTTTCATCAATTTTCCACACCATACCACCCAAGAAACTCTGGTTTTGTCTGGTTAATTGGGGGTTCCTAAAATGGAGGTACCCAAAAATTAATGGTTTATAAAGGAAAATCCCAATCTAAAATGGATGATGACTGGGGGTACCCCCATGTCAGGAAACCTCCAATTCTCAATTTCTTCAATCAATAGGGTCCCAGAGTTTTAACGCGGCCAAGACACGACCCAGTCATTGACGGCCAACTTGAAGCCGGAGTCCAGGAAGTGTTGAGGCCCCTTCTCATTCCTCACGACAGGTCACCCGATGTTCAGATCAAAACGTTAATCAAGGGCCATTTCAGGTACCTAAACTGGAGGTACCTACCATATATAAGGCCTATATAAGGCCTATGTAAGGGAATATCCCAACAAGATATAGTCTTATATGGTACGGTACCTCCATTTTAGGATCCTGAAATCCCCGTTGAGTTAAGCAATGCAAACTGGGGCTCCACTGTCATGGCTATGAAAATCTCTTTTGTTGTCACGGCTGAGATAGACCACCTGGTACAATGGAAAAGCCCATGTTAGGTAGGCAAATCATCTACTTTCAATTACTTTCACATAGATTTTAAGCAAAGTCTTCCTGGGCTCTATTCCCATCTTTGACCACACAATTTTGTTGCTGGCATTTTTCCAGCAGACCTTGCGTAGTTTCTCATGGCAATCGGAAACCCCACATATTTCAAAAAACTAGGAAACTCATCAATATCTATCAATGGTGGATTCTTTTTTGTGGTGGTTCCTATTTTTAGTAGGGGCTACCCCCAGTCATCATCCAAGTCATTCGAAATTGTCGTAAACCGATGTATCCCTCGGATTCCCTCGGCTCAGTCACATCCGAGCGTTGAAATCCCCCGTGATCAGCACGGGACTGTCACCGGCGACATCCCGAATGGCGCGCACCATGTTCCTGTGATTCGTGTCGCAAAAAAACGAAGCAAATCCCATAATTAGGATCCGGCTGGTGCTGGTAGAAAAATGCTAACATGACTGGGGTTTTTGTTGATGGGATCCATGGAGCACCATTTTTCTAGCAGCACCATGGATCCGTCATGGGAATAGATGTTGAGACATGTTGAGACTTGGTTAGCCTCTGGTAAACGTTTACATATGGAAAAGCACCATCTTTAATAGGTAAGTCAACTGTAAATGGGCCATGTTCAAAGTACTACTGTTAGTTTACCAGAGGGTAAGAACTCAAGACATTCAAAACAGCTATTCCTCAATGATAGGATAAGATATAGATGTATATCAATGTTATGTTGGAGGATCTTGGATACGACCATGTAACATGATGAAGGGAGTTCTCGTGGTTCCTTACTAACGTAGGAAATGATGATGTCCATTGATGTCCCAACATCCCTAGAATTCTGCACCGTGTTATCCTACGGTGAGTTGGTAGATTCAAATGGCTGCTCTCCTTATAATATCTTATAATCCCAGTATTTACAGTGGTTCAATGATGTTCAATGTGGTTCATAGTTGCCTCCCAGAGTTACCAACACAGGATTTCCACACCATCCACAGTATCAGTATCCCCCAGGGAACATCCAACTTGGCAAAAACCGCGGCCGCCATGGCCTGGCTCCACGATAGCGCACGTCTTCGTTGCAGACCCGCTTGCCCTCACTGTGGACGCACCAATGGGTGTTGAAATGCCAGAAGGATTTGCCGGACTCATCCTGGACGAGTCGGTCATCTGGGGAGCATCGGATTCTGTCCAAATCCACTCGTTGATCATCACTGAATTTTCCCTTGATTGCCTTGAGACTGGCCTGCGGATGAATCAAGCCTCGAAAACTGGGAGAGTTTCAAGATCCCATAGGATCCATGGTGCTGCTAGAAAAATGGTGCTCCATGGATCCCATCAATATACCCCAGTCATGTTAGCATTATAGCAGCACCATGGATCCTATGGGTAATAGATGTTCCTCCCTTAGTTCATCGATGTTAATAGATGTTCATCGCCAAAATCGATGAACATCGACCCCCAAATCCGCCTTCCCCTCCATCTTCAGCCAGGCATCTGTGAGTTTCACCCAGGTCACATATCTCGGCCCCCACTTCCCCGTAGCTTCCAGGTCCCGTGAGCCCTTGTTGCTGGCACGGAATCGGCCCTCGCGAATCATGACACCCTGAGCCCCCTTGAATTGGGAGGCCTCGGACAAGAAACCGGTTCCTTGGTGGCTCGGGAAAGACCTGACGTTTCTGACCTTTGGACTTGACCTGGCAGAAAGATCCCAAGATGTGCCTGTTTTTGGGAGGCATCTGTTGTGGAAACTTGCTATATTTTCAGCCGACAGGCCGGGGAATCCCCTGGTTATCCGTTTGGTTGATTTCCTATGGGAGATTCTTCAGTGCCATGGTGGTTGGATGTGGTTGGTATCTGACATCTCGGTGATTCTTCAACCTCAAAAAGTCTGACTCCAATGGGCCATGGAAGATCAATTCTGCCCCTGCAAAAGGCCCTGAAAACGTGTAGCACTGATGCCAGGAAGCTGAATCTAGGCCACACAACCGTTCAACCGGACGAGATTTTTTTCGGACGGCACGGCCGTATCACCAAAACTTGGCCCTCAGCAATCTCCAACGAAAAATATCTGAAACCTCAAGCCGGCATTACAACAGTACAGAGTACTATCATATCCCTGCTAAATGGATACAGCCTGTCAAGGTGCTTCTGGAGATTTGACTCGGAGAGTCACATTCTTGAAAGCCAATGGTGTCTGGCCTTAAGTTCTCCTTGATGTTGCTGATGATGCCATCACCTTAGGGACCAGGCGACCCTAGGGCGACCCTGAACCTCGAGAGGCTTCTGCAGCCAGGGTGCTCTTCCATGAGTTCCTCAGCGGCTCGAACCAGCTGCAGACAGTGGACAGTGAATCTCTGATCACTGTGGGGTAAAACAAAGGGTTCGGGCACGATTAAGGCTACCAGCCCATTGTGAATATAAACTATCATGAAAAAATATATATTGAAATATTATGTTTTTTTAATCAATCCCCGTGACATACTATGTAATATTTAGTCATGAGTTATGACCAGTCACATCAAAAAATCATGAATTACCATCTGATCATCTGGTTATTTAACATAGCTATGGAATCCATGACCCATAGAAATAGTTTTTTTTGGTACCTATGAATAATTAGCATGGTGATTTTCCATGGCAAAATCATCCGAAATGCCAAAAAGCTATGCCCACTACGCCGCCAAGCGACTGGTCAAAGGCATTCCACCAGTAGAGGTTGTATGACACCACCTGCTGCCAGTGCTCTGCCATTGAAGAAAATCGATTCAGTCGCGATGGACATAAAATATATAGTGTTTTTATAATGGTGATTATAACATGATTATTAAACAACCCATTAAATTAAATCCCATTAAAATCACATTAAATCATTATTGAAATCACATTAAATCCCATTAAATCCCATTAAAATCACATTAACTCCCACTAGGTAACATATTAATCATACGATTTTACCATGGTAAAATCCCGCCTTCACCTTGAGCTCACCCGAACCCCCGGAAGAACCGCCGGAAGAGCCGCCGCCAGAAGAGCCACCGCCGCCACCTGTAGAGCCGCAGGTGGTCTTGAAGACTGACTTGCCTCAGATTTCACACGAAATCCGCCGGCTTTAGGGGTATAAGGGGATCTATATCTTATGGTTGAGGAATAACACAACATTGATATACATCTATATGATATGGGATTTACCCTCTGGTATGCAAGGGTATATAAGGGGATCTTGATCAACTTGATGGGCTATGAATTGGATATGCATGGTGAGATATTGATGGGCTATGAATGGGATGTTCATATGAAAAAAAAACAGTAATCACATGATATCGGGCTGGAAAATCAACGCAATACATGGCTTAGTTACTGGCTTAGTTTTTGGGAATTTCATCACACAAAAAAGAGGGTGCTTGACACCAGAAAAACGAAGGGAAGGGAGCATTGATAACTCTTGAAAATCTCATACCAAATCTCCTCAACAATAGCTTCTTGCAGAAATCCATCATGGCCACAGACGCCACATTCCTTGCAGGAGCCGTTCCTTCTCGGCAGGGTGAGGTCGCTCAGGGATTTGATGTGAATGATCCCATGACTAACTGGTTCATTGGGGATTATATTCTGGTTGGTGGTGACTTGACCATCTTGAAAAATATGAGTTCGCCAATGGGAAGGATGACATCCCATATATTATCAAAAATAAAATTCATGTTCCAAACCACCAACCAGTATTGGATTGTTATACCATATATATATCCAAATATATGCAATAGGTAAACCATCTATAAATCTGGCTGAATCATACTGACTTACAAACCTTTAAATAGCTGAAATAGTTCGGCCCTTTGCGGATGATTCCCCATATCTAAACCATCATTCCATGGCTCCAACGAGGAAGGTCATAACAAAACTCATCCAGATGGAACATGCGTATTGTCCGCAAAAATAACACACCGAAATACGGAGCGTGCGCATATAATTGCAAATGATCTCAATTATATGCCCTTGATCATGTTTGATTACACTCATATTTCACACCTTCCAGAGAATAACATAACTACTTTGGAAAATCACAATTTTCAACGGGTACATCATGAAACGAAGCGGGCCACAACTTCCAGTTCGCAAAGTGTTAGTGTACCCATTATGCACACAGGGCAGCAACACCCTTAACACATGGCTATGAACCAAGACTCTGGCACCCTAGCTACCCCAAAATTTCGCTGGTTCCTGGATCTTTATTCCCGTCATTTGGGGATGGGTAAAACCTATTGTTACCATAGTTGAGGGAATTGCCATCCATTAACCAGCTATTTTTGGTACCAATTGTACCAAGAGCTCTGAGCCATAACTTATAACCATATTCACTGGATTTGTTTTCTTGGGAAAATCTGAACCGAAAACCATGGATGTTCATGGATTTTGCCCATGAAACATGGGGCTTTCCGGTGAACATTCTCCCGTGAAAACCAATCCATTGAGGTAATCATTGCCTCCCTTAAACATCCATAAACATCCATAAACATCATAAACCATAGTTCATTCAGCCACAGCCATATCCCCATATCTCAACAGAATGGGCCATATCCTGTAGGTCCAGCGACCCACCTGACATCATCACCTGACCCATCCGTGGCACCATGGCACAATCGCTTTTCTGCTCCACTGCTTCGCTGCCGTCCAGCGACTTGGCTTTCAGAAAGCACTTCTGCCACTCAGGACCTCGGCCGTGGCAGATTGAAAAATCGTCGAATGCTGCAACGAAAAGGACTGGGATTCCATGGGATTTATATGAAATGTTGGGATTTATATGGATTTAACATGGGATTTATATGAGTTATAATGGGATTTATATGGTTTATAATGGGATTAGAATGGGATTTATATGAGTTTTATAATGGGATTAGAATGGGATTTTGCCCAACTGGTGAAGGATTTGCTTCGGCTAGACGATTGGCAACTGGAAAGGTCAGCCACGGAGATCACTATCACCCAGCGATGACCAACGCGCACCAAGCGACACAGGGTAAAACTCTCACAGCTCTCCTGTTGTCAGCCCCCACAGCTTCCCCACGCGGAATTGCTGGGGATGGACCGAAATCGATAGATTGAAAGCCAGAAGCGTGGCAATGGAAAACCCCTCATTGATGGATGATGTTCCCAGATTTTCCTGTTAAAACCTCGATCTCTAGGGGATTTCCCCGTTGACCGGGTACGTTGTTCGAAAGTGAAAAGGGTCTTAGTTGGGTGAGTTGGGGCGTCCATTGGGGTGTCCTTGTCATTGCAGGCTTTTTCGCACTCATCCATTGAGCTTGTTCCTGGCGGGCATGCTGGGCGCTTCCGAAGTGACTGGAGCGATCACTGGAGCGATCATATTCCAGTCAGCTCATGGACAACGAAATGCATGTGAAACAGCCATCCACAAAATATCACAAAATGTGAACTTATGTTGTTTTCATGGATGTTCTATGTTTTATATCCAGCAAACCACCACGACCAGAAAACAACATAAGTTCTATGTCGGAAATGTCAGCCCCTTAGCAACTCACCTGAAATCTCAGGTGCGACGCACATGGGAAGTTCCGTAACGGGTAACCACCAAAGCCAAGGAGAAAATTGCACTGCCATAACTTGGATTTGCTTAACATTTTTCGGAACCACAAAAAAATATGACATGAATCCCCCATAGATTCCCTAAGTGGTGGATGTCTCATTGGGAAATAAACTTTGAAAATTCTTCAGCAAATCCAGCATCATCATCATGAATCCAACGGATAAAAAATCCATCGCTTCCGCTGATTTACAGTAACATTGTTAAAATCACACCAGGTAAGCTTTTACAGATCAACAGTGGTAAACCAGATAACCAGTGGTATAGATAGTCTATAATAAACGAACCATCTATACCATAGCTGCCATTGCTATCTTGACAAATCGCCCATGATCCGCTGAACGCGGCAACGGAGGACAAGGTTCTGGCCATGCCCACTGACTGGCCCTCATCAGTGACCACTCCATCCAGTGACGAGTAGCACGGAGCCTGCCAACTCTGGATGCGTCTACAGCCATGGCCCATGGCTGGCCAAAAAGGGGAGAGTTGGTAAGGATCAACATGGATCAACCCATGATCAACCCATCAACCCCACAACCCCATGGCTCTATGGCTTAGATTCTTAGATCATTGGAATGTCATTGGATTGCACTTGCTTTTCACAGGGTGAGGTTTAATATGTTTAATGATGTGACCTAAAGATGGCAATGGATGCTATATGCTTCATGATCCCTCCAAAGAAACTCCCATGTCTGATGGCGTTCTCGCAAGCTGGGGACCATCCAAGTTTGGAAGAATCCATCCGACAAAATTCAGCCCATCCTGGACATGTAAATGACTGGTTAGTGGTTTCAATCCCTCTGAAAAATATTGAAAAATATTATATAGTCAGTTGAGTCAGTTGGGATTATTATTATTCCCAATATATGGAAAAATAACATTCATGTTCCAAGCCACCAACCAGTTTTCAATACTTAAGTCATGGTCATCCATGACTCCCAACGCTCCCGACACCCGGTTGGGAGCTCACCGCTGGAGTCTTGGAGCAGGTGCACAGCATATCGCTGGTGTCGTCGATCTCCTGGCCACCAATCAGCCCGATGACATGGGTCATTAAATGTCCCCATTGAACATCACCCAACCAAAATCGGTATATGGTCTACTAGATGGCTACTTTTTCAGGTGATGTCCTGGATTTTCCCAAAATGGGACAGTTACCAACCCCTGGATGAGGAGAGGAGGATTCTCAAAAAAGTCTGGAAAACACATAGCTGGTTGGTGGTTGAGCCAATGGAGCCACCCCTCCGAAAACTATGAGTCAGTTGGGATTATCTTTTCCCAACATATGGGAAAAACAAAATTCATGTTCCAAACCACCAACCAGTGATAGAATCTATCATGGCCTTATTTCAGGTTAGTGAATTACTATAATTTGTCCAGAATAATAATCAATAGTGAGTTATAAAACCCACCAACTGAGCTATCCTTTGGGGGCCCACCATATAATTAATACACTAACATACACAAACCATCACCTGAATTGAAGCTGACCATTCCAGTAACGTCGCAGCCCACAGAACTGATCGATATGTCGCAGGATTGTGACGGTGGGAGATTGCAGCAACTTGAACCCAAAGAATTCAAAAAAGTGCCCCATGTTTGGCCAAAACAAAAAAACATCGCCCCATGTTTCAATGGATTTATTGTTTCGAAATTTTGAAAAAGGACACCTGGAAATGTTTCAATGGATGGGTTTCGAAAATTTGAAAAAGGACAGTTTGTAAATTTCCTGGGAAAAATCCCATGGGTTTTCTGCAGAATTTCCCTTAACAAACCAGTCCCGCCGTCCCCCAGATGCGGCATCCTCGTCACAGTCGTAGTCTTCCTGGCCAGGGCGATCCCGGCGAAATTGGCTTAGAAAGGAGTGTCTGAGAAAAGAGAGGTTGGTTTGGTAGACCATGCTAGGCCGTATATATCTATCTATTTATCTATCTAATCTAATCCAATCCAATCCAATCTGGTTGGTGGTTTTTCGCCACCCCTCTGAAAAATATGAGTTCGGCACTTGGGATGATTCTTCCCAATGTATGGGAAAATAAAAAATGTTCCAAACCACCAACCAGCAATCTATCTATATCCATATCTATGATTTTAGCTACTGACTGTGATATCCGAGACCCCTCTATCAACCAGCCAGTGGGACTTTAACACATCCGTGGGTCGTGCTATGGCCTCAAAACACGAAGACTGTCTTCTTCACTTACCCTCTGGTAAACAAACATAGCTATTGAAAATGGCCATTTAGTTCGTGGATTTACCCATTGAAAATTGTGATTTTCCATAGTTATGTAAATGTTTACCAGAGGGTAAACAAATCAATAGATCTGGTATCCAACTCTTAGTTTTCTAGGAGCTACTGTGGATGCAAGAAATCCTGCACCAGTTGATAGGTGGTTTATCCCACCATTTATAGGGTTTCAACCATCAAAGGTGGTGCAGGATTTCTTCCATCCACCGTAGTAACTATACTGCCCCGAAAACACCTGGGCAAACCCTCCCAATAAGTCAACCTCAAGTGACAAAGCAAAAAAAACCTGCTGAGCCCAAAAAACTTGTGACAATTGGCTTGCACTAATGTTTTGAACTAATGTGGTAAACCCATGAGACACAAGCCATCCCCAAAATCACCATCCTTGTGGGTGCTTGTTTCAACCATCCCCAAAATGGTAGTTATTTATGATTGGGTTTCCCAAAATGCTTGTTTATTCATTTAGATCCCACTATTTTTTGTTATATCCCCATTATATCCCCATAATTTCCATGTATAATCCCATAAATCACCATAAATTGCCGTTAAATTCTCATTAAATCCTATGAAATCCCATTGAAATTCCATTGAAATCCCATAGAATCCCTTTAAAAAAATCCTAGCCACCATTAAAATCCCATCAAATTCCATAATTATCCACCCAAATTCTTAGGAAATCCCCATGAATCACCATTAAAATCCCATAAAATTCTCCAAAAAACCAACCATTCTCCACCCAACTGCCGACACTACCGCGCCTTCACGGCGCAGTTCTCGTCCTCCTCCTCTGCCGCTGCCACGCAGGAATGGCCGAAGCTTTCGCCTCGGGGGAATTGGTGACTTCAACCGCAGGTGAGCATTGATGGGGATGAAAATGATGAAAATCGGAATTTCATACTGCTGTGGGAAATAGAGAGAGAGAGAGAGGGAGAGAGAAAGAGAGAGAGAGAGAGATGTATATATATATATATGTGTGTGTGTGTGTAGATGTATATATATATATACATATATATAATGATGATTGGGAATCAAACATGGCTAGCTGCTAGCTGGGTAGTATTCCAAGACAATCATCCAAATATGGTTGACAATTAAGTAGTTGAAGACACCAACCAGGTAACAATCAATGCATGTGTTTTCTTGCTGCGATATTCCTGTCCCATCATCCAACTCTGGAAAACAGCAATATTTCTGCCCATGATATGGGATATACATGGATATACCATGATATACCTCACTCAAAACTATGGAACTTGTACACCGTGATGCATCCATTTCCATCCATTTACATCCAGTGGAAGTGAGCCCAGGTTCGTCCCTTGAGATCAGTCATGGCAACCCTGAAAAGGGGCTAGCAAAAGCTGGTGCTTTGAATATGTTTCAGTGATAATTTGGCCATAGAAAAAAAAAGTCCAAACAAATGAAATAGCTGATAAAATGTCTCTTAGCTGATCATGTGATAATGTCTCTTAGCTGATCCAAATCGAAGATATTGTCCAATGAAATAGTCACGCGTCTGTTTTGGGAAATGGAACTGATGGGAAAAAATCAAAACATGTGGAACATCTACGTAGTTTGACCATGGGTACTTCATCGTTCACGAAATGGGCCATCGTGACTTTCCGTACCAAACTGTTCGTCATGGTCCAGGAGGGTAGCCTCTGGTAATCCATGGCAAACTTTCAGCTAGGCCCAGTTGCAGTAGTCTTTGCATCGCTTGAAACTGCTGGTCTTCACCAGTGCACGACAGCCACCACAGGTCACACCATCCTGAAGGATGGTGAAGGATGGTTCATACATAGTTTTTTTAACATTTGCCGTGGAAAATTACTATGATTGGTCATCTTTAATGGATAAATCATATAAATCGGTCATCTATACCATAGCAAACGGTCAAAAAACAATTACCGGAGGGTAGAGATCAACATGTCTGTTCCTTGAAGACATTGTTCACACTTGTCTCACCCAAATTGTTGTACACGGAACTTATACTGGACTTGCAGGTTGATGGAACAATGGTCAAACATACAGAATAATTGCTCTGGGTGCTGATTTGATGGTGCATCACCTCAGCCTAAGAGTCAACTAGATACACTCCGGTAACCAAACATGGCAATGGGAAATCCCCTATACATGGAGGTGCTAATGGGAAAACATCTGTAAAGGTGGATTTTCCATTGCCATGTTTGATTACCGTGTACATCTTCAGTGATCAGAAAAAAATAACACTTATATTCTTGCAACCCTCCGAATGATTTACTATTTATGGGACTGGCGGGGGGGGAAGATAGATAGATAGAAAGATAGATAGATAGATAGATAGATAGATACTGTAGATAGATAGATAGATACTGTAGATAGATAGATAGATAGATAGAGAGACAGACAGACAGACAGACAGACAGACAGACAGACAGACAGATAGATAGATATATATATATATATACACGGGAAACAGACTATCTCAAATCATCCCATTAAAAAAAATTCAGAAAACACATGGGAAAAGATCATATTTCATGCCCATAGGATCCATGTATGGTATATATGGTAACATTTACCATCAATATACCCCCAATGTTAGCATATATACCATACATGGATCCTATGGGATGGGAAAAGACCTAGAATGACTGAGAGTCTACGTCCGGCCACTCAGAGAACGGTGCGCAGGAGACCTGTTTTTCGGAGTTCTCGCTGTGTCGAACGCCTCGCAGGAGGTTTTCCCATGGAAATACGGCTTACCCTCTGCTAATTTAACAAGACTATGGAAAATCACAATGTTTCATGGGAAAATTCACTATAAATGGTGATTTTCCATAGTCATGTTAAATTACCAGAGGGCAATTGGTTTCCCGTGAAGGGAACATGATCTACACATAGTGGATTTTCATGGATTTTCCACATTTAAATGTTATTGGAAGGCCAGAAAATCTGAAAATATCTGAAATATCCCATGGTATCTCCAAAAAAGTCAATAGACAGTCAATAAGTCATGACTTTATATCCAATAAAGCAGTTAGTATAACCACATATTCATTGATGGAAATGGAAAATCCCATCAAATATGGCTAGAGAATCCCCCAGTTTGTGGGGATTTCCCAGCAGCTAGCCATGCTAAAATTACCGCATGTCATATCTCATAAATAAATCGCTAAATCTTCATCAACAACTAACTATATTATTAGGGTTTTGATGTTCAATTGATTTTCCCGTAGATTTCCCATTGATTTTTCATATTGTTCCATTCTTCCCATAGATTTTAACCATCGACTTTCCATAAATCTTCCATAGATGTCCCATAGATTTCGGTTTTCCATAGATTTTCCATAGATTTTCCCATGAATTTTCCAGGTTCATGGCACGGGAGGTGAACTGCAGGAAGGTCGACCCCGTGTTGCGTGGCGCGCAGCTCTCGGCGCTGCACTCCTGGTGCTTGGTGGATGGCGATGGCTGGAAATCAATGCGAATGTAGACATATACAATCACATGGTGAATATACATAAATAAATATATATGTATGTATATGTATGTAAACATAATGTATATATACTGTGTATACATAAAAATGTATATATATATATACACCGTGTATAAATATGTATATATATATAGAGAGAGAGAGAGACATATGTATATAATTTAATGCACCAAGAAATGAATCGACATGAGACAGCTTTTCTATGTTTGGCGTGTGATTCTGAAGGGTCTCCACCAGGATGACGGAAGAAACAAGGGTCAGCATCATCTATCATGTCATTTTTTTGTAAATGAATTGATATTGAACGATGGTGTATCGGTATATCATAATTTTGACATTATGATAATTGGAAATCATAATGTCAAAAATGGTACCCTCTGGTTATTTAACATAGCCATGGAAAATCCCTCATAAATGGAGGTTTTAATGGGAAAATCATCTATAAATGGGCCATTGTATATGAAAATTATCCAACACAAGACTTGGAAAACTCCAGTTTTCCGGACCCCGTTTACCTCAGCCAGCAGCCGTGGCAGCAGCGTGATCCATGCGACCGCTCTCAGCGCCATCATGACTGACCGAAGACTAACTTGATCTTCGACTCAAGACTGAAGTCTGGATATCTTGGGATGAAAAATCATTGCCAATCTTAGATACCCTGCAAAAATTAAATTCTTTGCTGGTTAGTAGATATTCCCATTAATACCAAAAGACTAAAGGATTAAAGTATCCATGTAAGATTGACCTAGAAATGATGAAAATCTGGACAAATAGAATGATGGGGATATCTAATTCATAGGGATAACACAATCATCATGAAACTAATGGGGAAATGAATCATTTCATCCAGGTAATTGGTATGATAAACTATATCATCATGGGGAAATCTAATTCAGAATTAGTTCATATCTAATTCATCTATGCTACCATGTCGTCAATTTCCACCTTTTGATCTGGGAAGATTTTCTCCCCATTTCTTTAAGAATGTGATGGGATAATGATTCACAACGACCCGTGACATTTATGTGAGATGATTCATCAGATGAAATCATTCCAGTATCCACGTTGGATCCAGAAAAATATCCACCATTGAAAAGCTCGAGGCCCTCCAGTAAACTAACATAGACCCTGGCAGATAGATGCAAATAGGGGTTGGATGGGGTTGGTTCAGATTAGTTTCAACTCAACAATGACTATTTGATCAGGGTCCAACTGTTAATTTACCAGAGGGTAACTGAGAGTTGCAAATCACATGGCACAGTTTTTTTTTCTGCGCTTCAAATACCAGGCACGATGATGGCTCCGGTCCTTTGGCGCCACAGCTTCCGGCTCCGGCAGGGTCAGGCAGGACACATTTCTGGCATCCCTTGGGTGCAAAACCCACCATTCACTAAGGGCAAAGTATGATAAACTACGCAATCACGGACACCTATGTAACAATATAAGAATAATTTTGGAGACCTTATGATTCCTCCTGATACTGCAAAAGAAAAGAACAAGGTTTCTTTTATAATGCCCAGGTGCCAACATACATAGGTTTTTTGCCATGATAAAACAGGTACAAAATCGGAACCAGGGCCGTGAAATCGGAACCGCGTGTGATCTGAGGAATCCACTGTTTGAACAGCTCAGGGAATCAATAACTCATACCAACTCTAACTGGAACTTAAAAAATAAAGAATAATCAAACATCAACCAATGTCGATTTGACTATGTAAAAAAAACATCAGAGGGTATAGACATCCTATTAAATTCATTTAAATCCCAGTAAATCCCTATGGTTTATGATCCTTTCAACCAGTTTCAGCAGGCCATCGAATCTTTCTCCCTGGCCCTGTCAGCAGCAACCTGGATCCGAGTCAGCTCTACAAGGGAATCATGGAATTGAGGGAGGGCCAGTTATTTTCTGGTCATATGGCATACCCTCTGGTGAACTAACATAGCTATTGAAAATGGCCATTTATAGTTGATTTTCCCATGAAAAATGGTGATTTTCCATAGCTATGTTAAATTACCAGAGGGTAATATGGCTAATTAGCATTAATTAGCATAGGAAATCCCCACCAAAATGGAGCTTTGAAATGGTTTTAAACAGAAAATAATCTATAGAATTGTCCCTTACCATGTTTGAAATTGGTAGTTCCAATTTTATGGGCGAAGTCATCAAGAATCAACATGGGTTTTCTTCTTGGAAGGCCCCGAGCTTTCAAATGACCAAGGGTCTCACTTCCTCATGAAGCACTGTGGGATCATCTTGGCATCAATTGTTTGAAACTGTATTCGAATATATAGTGCCAACACATGGAATCACATGGGCCTACAGTAGCTTGGCTTCACTGCATCCCAGTCACTGATTTGCGCCTTGGCGTTCCTCTACTCCATGATCTGTAGGATCCTGATTCCTAAAACTTGCTGAGGCAGCTTGCCTCTGACACAAATTCCAGCCCTACCCTGCTGACCAGCAAGATGGCACCCACGCTGACCATGGAAATGTAAGGAAATTGCCATTCTAAGAGGATTTTTGGGTGCCAAATAGCCAGCCGACAGTGAAGAACGGGTCACAGTCACATGCAGCATGCAGCAGAAAGCCCTCTGCAGCCATCACCATGTTTCTTGATGGCTGCGCTATGCGTGGGGCGGTGCGTATCAGCGTGGCCGGTCAACCCATTTATGCTAAAATTGAGAACGATTTACTATTGCTTTACTAGCCATTGATGTACACGCATATATCTATGTATCTATGTATCTATGTATCTATGTATCTATGTATCTATGTATCTATGTATGTATGTATGTATGTATCTATCTGTCTATCTATCTATCCATCCATCTATCTATCCTGTACCTTGAACCTACCACCCAGAAGTACACAGTTGTTTCAATGTTGTTTCAGCATGCATGTCTCCGCAAAACTGAAATTTCCAACTGTTTTGGATTCCAGTAAGTATATGTTTACATGGGCACATATTGCCACAAAAAGCATGTATGGCACAAATGCTCTGTATGCATTTCTAGCCGAATGTCAGCCCACAAGCCAACCAAAACAAGGTTTAGCCTCTGGTAATGAGACATGGCATGGAACATCAGCAATTTATAAACGATATATGACATATAAAGGATTTTCCCATGAAAAGGACCATTTTGGCGAGATTTCCCAGCCACGTTTGAGGACACAAAGGAGGGTAGCCAAAGATGTGGCTGGCTCGAGACTTGATGGCTTCATCGCCCCTTCTTGGGGGCGATAAGGGGCCATCTGGCCTCTTGGCTTCTAAGCCTCACGGATGGCTGAAACCGTTCAGGACTGGTCGCCAACCCACCAAATCAGATAGAACTCTGGCATCTTGCAGCTAGCGCAAACCATTCCATGGATTTGTGTGGGAAAAAGCCTTCAAATTTCAGAGGGGTCGACAGCCAGAGGGTACTAAAAATGTCATCATTTCCTGTCCATTTCTTTGTGGCGACAGGTCGTTTGCTGCAAACCCGAGACTGATAACCCCCCAGCTTTCCAACAATATGAAGGGGCTCCCGTTTATGATCATATAACATGCTAATCCTAAATCCCCCCCATTGAATTATACTGTATAAGTATAAGCTGAGACTTTACCATGGTTTCTCTATCTCTCTCTCTCTCAACATCTCAACCAATATCAGTTTCATGGTGGTTCAGATCGCGGCCAGCCTGGCCGAATCCTCCGCCTACGGCCTACGAAGAGTGGCGCTTCAACAGTTGGATCTCAGCCAGAGCTCCGCCCACACGGGACGATGATCGCCTTGGGTCTTCAACCCACGGCTGCTCCAAGATCCTTCATGATCACGTGATATGAATGTTGCGTTGCTGGTGGGTAGAACATGGTAAAAGATACCAAACCACTCATTGGTTACCATTCCATCGGTTTTTTTAATAATTACCATTGTAAGTTCAATTACCATTCCATTGGGTTCTTCCAGTCATGGTAAAATTATTACTGGGGTTCTTCCATTTGGTCATGTTACTGGTCATAATTGCCATTCCAATAGGTCCTATTGGTTACCATTCCCAGTCATGGGTAAAAATGAGATGCCGAATGACCTCCAAAGATCATCCGAATATCTGGTGAACATTGGGCTGAACATCTCCGGAGTCCAACTTTGAAGTACCAGTTTTGAGTAGACAGAAAGATATGTGGAAAAGAATCATGGTTTCCCTGGAAAATGATCTACATTCTTGGGTTTTCCACATGACTTGTTGATACTTTTTGGGGGTTTTACAGGAGATCCTCCTCTAGTCATGCCGAGTCATCCAAGTGGCTTCCGGCCATCTCCCCAATCCCCTTGTCCAGGAGATCCCAATGCCTGACAGTGGCAATCCCACGTTGAAGACGTTGGAGGATTGTACCCTCTTGGTTACTCAACATGGACAATTGCCGAATAGGTTCGTTATTATGATTATCTATTAAAGTTTAAAAAATGTGATTTCCCATAGCTAAATTAATGCCAGAGGGTAGCTGGTTCTGGGCTTGGCTTCCCAAACATCTACGGCCGTTCCCAGGTTGCTTTGAGCTGTTTGAGCCATACTGAACTAGTTTAAAGCTGGGAACTCCACACCCTCCCGGCATATTGGCAACCCACTCACCCTGAATTGTCTTGGCCAAGTGCTCTGAATAGATGATGGCATCCACCCAGCTGTTAACTGCCAGTTTGAAACCGTTGTCCAAGAAGTGTCGGATACCCTTCCTGAGTGGCAGCTGGGAAGACCCAAAGAAACCCTGCGGGACACTGTGCGGGACACTGTGCGGTTGGAGTAGTAGATCTGAGAGCAACACACGCTTGGGGTGGTTGTAGGGTCACCAGTTTACACATCAACTGTTCAAATTCTTAAAATGGGTTGCACACCAAGCTGGTTATAGCTGCTTTGCTGTTCCAACTCCCATTCTCTTGCCCTCTTTTTGACACCATGTCCTTTCAGAAATCAACGGGTTGTTTTTCCCCAATTTCTGACCAAATAAAAATACCCTCCACAATCAAACCTGGCAATGTAACCCCCCACCATTTATGGATGGATTTTCCCAACATTAAACCCTCCCATTGAATGCAGGGATTTCCATTTGTTGAGTTCATGACAGGGTACCCTCTGGTAAACTAACATAACTATGGAAAGATCCACCATTTTTAATGGGAAAACTCACTATAAATTGCCATTTTTGATAGCTATGTTAAATTACCAGAGGGTAGATCCAAACAGCCAGGCGTCTCATTCATGTTGGCGTTAAAATCTCCAGTGATGACCACTGGCTCATCGCCAGCATTCTCTTGGATCGTCTTCAGCATGTTCTGGGCACCTCGATATCTCACGTCTTCATTGCCTTGGCTTTTTGGCAGCATGGCTTTTCTCAGCAGTTTTCAGCAAATTTCTGGGGCTTAATTGGACGATTTTATGGAGATTTCCATGGAAATTTCCATGGGAATTTATAGGGATGATATAAGGCAACAATGGTGGGACATGAAGAGTGACTTTCCGGTAATCAAGCACGGCGATTCTATGCAAAAGAACCTGGGTTTTCCCTTGGATATCTGAAAACCTCTTGCAGGTTTTAGCACACTGAAATTGGCACACTAATTACCCTCTGGTAATTTAACATAACTATTGAACATGGCCATTTATAGTGGATTTTCCCATAAAATAGTGATTTTCCATAGCTATGTTAAATTACCAGAGGGTACAACGTCTTAACTGGCTGGTTTCATCGCCAATGGTTTCATCATGTTTCGTCCCAAATGAGTAGTCAAAGGTCAACGCAGGGCGTGGGCCTAGCCGAAGGTCTGTGTCGCAACCGAAAATGTTCTGCTTATGGCTGCATTATATATCCGTGCATCTTCATTTGGGGATTCCAAACCCATAGGATCCATGGTGCTGCTATATATGGTAACATGGATCCCATCAATATACCCAAAAAAATGTTAGTATATATACCAGCACCATGGATCCTATGGGAAATAATCATGACCACGCAAAAAATGTTCAAACGTATGTTATTATGTTGGGAAATTGCCACCGTGATTTGCCACAAATCCATCTGCAATTCATGGGGTGGTTTTCCATGCCATCATGAATCCTTATCTGGTTGGTGGTTCTAATCCATCCCAAGAAAATATCTGGCATTTCACCCAATCATGTCTTTTGAAAAAAATGTATTTTTAAAAACAAAAGATATATGTATATGTGTGTGTGCGTATTATTTTTTATTATCATTATTGTTATTATTATTAACAATATTATTATTGTTTGAAACCACCAACCAGTTACAGTACAGTTCCTCCAATGATGATCATAAATCCCTATACTTCCATAAAGATGACCATAAATAATATAATATATATATATACCCTCCGGTAAACAAACATAGCTATTGAAAATTGTCATTTATGGTTAATTTACCCATTAAAAAAGGTGGATTTTTCCATAGTTATGTAAACGTTTACCAGAGGGATCCAGAGGGTATTGATATCCATAACTATCGAATAACTATTAGTTTTATATCTATATAAATAATTGTAACTATTAGTTTTATAACTATAAGTATTGAAGTTATATAACCTTATCTCAACTTGTATTTTTAGAAGTCTCATCCACCTCCCATGATCCATGATACAAACTCGATCGCCCTCGCTGTGCACGCACCAGTGGGTATTGAAGTGCCAAAAAGGTCTGCCGCCGCTGGTGTTGGTGAGCTGAACCCAGGTCACCTCACTTCGCGGGTAAAGCCGAGCTGACATGAGCTGATATGAGCTGATATGAGCTGTACGGTGTCATCAAACAGGGCTTGCCGGAAAAAATCCACCATTTAGTTCCATGATTTTCCCAGCTGTAGACTTTGTAGACTTCCATAGAAACTTCGGGGGTTCCCAGCTAGCCACGTTTGATTACTAGAGGCTATCATCTTTCCCAATAGAAGTGGATAATCGGAGAGTAAACAAAACACATATGAGCCAAGGGCTGGCCAATTATGCAGCCAGTGACCATGGGGCATTCCTGTCGAATGTTCCCCCCTGTGACTGGGACCAATGCCTGCCCCGAATTTAAGGAAAAGGTCGTTCTTACTCGTAAAAAATCTCAAAAAATGGTAATCTCATGTGAAAATTTTCATAATGGGACCTTGAAGATGAATGTGCATCAAATACCGTAATAGAAATTGAACACATGAATAAATCAGAGATAATAAGAATTTGACACATGAATACACATGATACAAATGTCAACTAAGATATGGTAACTGACACAGAACTGCCGTGTTTTCGTCTAACTGTGACTCCTTTCCAGCTCCACAATGCCACAATGATCTGGCGACATATCGTGGGCCCCACTTTCCAGTCGCATCCAAGTCCCTGGATCCTGGGAAGCGATAGTGGTGGTGGAATAGAAATCGTTGATATATCACCAATATCACCATTTTTTCTATGGTTTATTAAGTTTATTATGGCTTATATAGCTGACTGTTATAACGGTGATTTATTAAGGGTTAATGGGGTTAGTTTATAAACCCCAATAACCAGTTATATGGCTTATTCTTGGCTTATTATACTTATAACTATACGGTTAATGGGGTGTATAAACCAACATTCCCATCACCAAGGGGGGGGCCCTTTTGTTGGAATTCCACCTTGTTATGGTTTTGGTTAAGGATATGATACCATGGGATATCATGGGACACTTTTCCCGGTCAAACATTTTTCCACACAGCTGGAAAATCCACCATTGATTGCCATCGAGTTCGGGAAGTCTTCAGGCAACTTGCTACGCTATAAATGGCCTAGAGGCCTAGATGATGAGCGATAATTTTACTCGTGAAAAATGGGTAGATGTTCCATAGTTCAATGGAAAAAGAGGGTAAACAGGAAAGACATGTGAGTTTTTTATAGGGAGAAAACCGTTGGAAAAAATCATCAAAACATATCCAAAACTAAAACTACCTGAGCAAACCTGAACATGATGATTTTGTTCTGTGTTTCTAAGACATGGCAGCCATGTCCGCAGCTCCTGAGTTGCTGGTGCTGAAGATATTGGGTTTCACCATGACTCCTGCAGCTCAATGGTGGCTGTGGTGTTCAATGTAAAACTACCCATTACCCTCTGGTAATTTAACATAGCTATTGAAAATGGTGATTTAAAGTTGATTTACCCATTCAAAATTGTGATTTTCCATAGCTATGTTAAATTACCAGAGGGTAATAGCGCATTTCTCCCATTAAAACCTGGATTTTATGACTTTTTGTCCCATTTGAATGTTCAATTTTGTCCATGTCGCTGATTTCCATGCAATGGCCTAATATTAGTGCAATATCCAGCAGCATTGCAACTCAGATTGTGGCTTTTCCATGCCAGTCTCAACTGGCCTGCGGATGAATCAAGCCTCGAAAACTGGGAGAGTTTTGAGATCCCATGACGGATCCTAACGGTGCTGCTATAATGTCAACCCTGGATTAATAAACCCATAGGCTGTTTAATTGGGGGGGTACCATTTCAGTATCGGATTATGACTATTGGAGGAGTACCCCCCTAATTAATAAACAATGGTTTATTAATCCGGGGTTGACACTATATGGTGCTCCATGGATCCCATCAATGTCAGCCCCAGTCATGTTAGCATTTTTCTACCAGCACCGCACCATGGATCCGTCATGGGAGATTTTTTATTCACGATTTGAAGACCTGAGATTTTTTTTTACACAACTGCGCCAATGGAACTATTCTCCAACACAACTGCGCTGCACATTAATACCATCCGGTAAACTAACATGACTATGGAAAATCACCATCTTTAATAGATAAATCAACTATAAATGGCTATTTTCAATAGCTATGCATGTTAGTCATTACCAGACCATAGCTGTTTGGCGAACATCACCAGATTTGAACCCATCAAGGTCACAAAAAACCATAATCCCATCCCATGGGCCCCCCATCCTCCCCTCCAGTTGCTCGCTATGTACAACGAACATCTTCCATCCACCATCCCCAGTCCAACCTCTCCCATCCCATCATCCACCAATAATGTCCGTTTGGTAAAAATAGCTTCTGGGCCGGGAGCTGGTATACCATCTATCAGAATCTATCATCAAACAAACCTGTTTGATAGGGCTTTGTTTGTGAACAAAGCCCTCTTTTTCATCAACCGATCAATAGGAATTTGGGTCATCTATGTCATCATATGTCATCCATCATCATCCACCACCATCCAACCCCACCCCATCTGGGTAAATTACAATATTTCACTAACCTGAATTAAGGCCATATTGGGGATGATTTCCCTTACTAACCATTATTCCAGTGAGGGAGAACAGTGAGGTCGTTATACTTTGCCCAGACTATATAGTAATAACCATTAATAATCACTATATAGTAATAACCACTAATATAATGATAATAACTGGTGGTAATTAATAATCACTATATAGTAATAACGACTAATATAGTGATAATAGTGGTCACTAATATAATAGTAATAACCATGATTTATGGGTATATAATCCCTATATGGGTAGTAATAATAATAATATGCTTAATCATATAATCCAGTAATATCCATATCCATTAATAATCACTATATAGTAATAACCATTAATAATCACTATATAGTAATAACCACCAATATATCTGGGTTAATATAATAATAGTTATAATGATAATCACAATTAATAACCCAGATCCCATCCACCGCTCCTTGCGCTCCCTGGAACTCCGAGGCCTTCTCCACCGCCCCGTCGCTGCGAGATCGCACCTCGCTGGGCGAGTCGCACTCCTGGAGCCCCAGCGCATCCGGGCGCCTGGGCGTGGAAGGGAAGGGAAAATGGACCCAGAAACCCCTGGGAAATTCATGGAAAATCATGGAAAAACATAGGATTTCATAGGGATTTTCATGGAAAATCATGGAAAATCATGGGATTTCATAGGGATTTCAAAGGGATTTTCATGGAAAATCATGGAAGATCATGGGATTTCATAGGGATTTCATAGGGATTTAATATGGGATTTAATGGGATTTCATAGGGATTTCATAGGAATTTTCATGGGATTTTCATGGAAAATCATGGGGTTCAATAGAATTTACATGGATAAAACTGGTAAAACCCATGTCAAACCCACAGATGTTCCTGGGACTACCCACGGTTTTTCTCGTTGAGATCTTCCATTTTTGAGCGGCAAATTTCACGGATTTCAAGGATTTTTGGCATGCTCTGGCTGCGGAAGGGGAGTGTGATCTGCCAAGAATCACTGGTTCCCCAGGCTAACTGGTTGGTGGTTGAGCCACCCCTCTGAAAAGGTTGAGCCACCCCTCTGAAAAATATGAGTCAGTTGGGGTTACTAACCACCAATATATGGAAAAAAAGGTTCCAAACCACCAACCATCTAAGAATAGAAAAGGTGGCTCCTATCAAAGAGAAATCCATAGAAATCCCACAAATCCCACAAGAGCAACCACTGCCACTTGGAAATATTCACGCAACTCCCAGATGGAAATTCTGGGGTCAAGCATCAAGGCGTCGGTTGGTTTTTTTTTGCTTTGGTTCTTACCCCCAGCCAAGCTACAACGTGGACTTGATGTTGTCGATGATGCCATCACTCTTCCAAGAATTCCTGGAGAGCTCTGGAAAGGACCCAGGAACACCTCCCATGGACAATGGCCAATTTATAGATGATTTACCTGTTAAATCGTGACAAACATGGTGATGTTCCATGGCTATGTTAAATCACCAGGGCGTACACTCTAGCGATCTAGCCATTTGTTTCGCCCAATTGGGTTACCACAACAACAACAACAACAACAACAACAACAACAACAACAACAACAACAACAACAACAACAACAACAACAACAACAACAACAACAACAACAACAACAACAACAACAACAACAGCAACAGCAACAACAACAACAACAACAACACAAACAACAACACAAACAACAACAACAACAACAACAACAACAACAACAACAACAACAACAACAACAACAACAACAACAACAACAACAACAACAACAACAACAACAACAACAACAACAACAACAACAACAACAACAACAACAACAACAACAACAAACTGCACAGTGGTCATGGCTGGATGGTACCTGTTAGCGAAGTTGAAGTTGATGACATATTTAAGTAGCTCAATGAGCCACAAATTCTCAATGACCTACGGCCTCTGAGGTTGCAACATCCAACTGCAACATGTGTTGCAGCAGTACCTTCGTAGCATCAATTCATCCAAGTTTCTTTTGAAAGGCATTCCACCAATACAGATTGTATGACACCACCTTCACCATATTTCCAGATTCAGGGTCTCGAGTTGTGGTGGTTGTGGTGGTCGTCAAGCTACAGCTGATCTGATAAAAGGTCTTACCTCAAGGCGGAAGGTCTGTCAGTGAAGAAGAAAATGACTAGACTATACTAAACTATACTAAACTACAGTGTATGGAAGAAATCTTGCACCAGTCGATAGCTGCTTTATCCCATTGTTTATAGGGTTTCAACCATCCTTTTGGTGCAGGATTTCCCACCCATCCACAGTTATCTCTTATGCATGGCTCCAGATCACAAAAAATTGGCATTTCAAGACTTGGATGCTTAAAGAAGTAGCCAGGTCCTACATCTGGATCCATTTGAAGTGATTTGAGTTATGGGAAGCCACTGATCTCAAGATATCTCAAGGTCAACCATGTCTTAACCATCCCATGATGTCTATCGGAAGCCCAAGCCGGCAGGAAGCAATCCCCATTGGTTCGGCTCGATTCACCGCCAGTGAAGCTCCTCAGTGGCGGATTTGAAACCAGAGTTTTCACCAGGTCATCCGTTCTACTCAAAAGGGCTCCACAAGTTCAGCACGTGTTGTTTTCCCCTGACATCTGTGACTGGGAAGGAGAAGCCCAAAACTAATTAAGGCATGTCCAAAACAATTTTAAAACGAGATGTTCCACGGGCATGTTCAAGGGCTCCTGGCTGACCAATCCTAAATCCCTGGAGGCAAAACCAAAGATCGCCTTCAACCGGGCGTACCTGGTCGGTGATTAACCGAAGAAATCTGAATCATTTAAGGAAAATCATCCCAAATACGGCCAAATACGGGTGAATAGTCAAAAATCCTGAACCATGTTGAAACTCACCAGATCAATGATTGCACTGTTATATACTTATATAGCTAGTGCCCTATTCATGTTTCCTTGTTTGAATGAGCCACTTCCCATACAAAGTGGAGCCCCCGTTTACGACTAGCTGGTGAGTTTATATATAACCCCAATTTTGCTATGGTTTATGATAAGTAGTCGATACTAGTAGATCATAGTAGATATTAGTAGTATTACCAAATGTCCATGTATGGAATATTTACCAACATTTACCCTAAAAATCACCCAAATGTAGGTAAATATACCAGCACCATGGAGCATATGGGATTCATAGGGGTTATCTGGTTGGTGGTTTTTTTCACCATCTTGAAAAATATGAAAGTCAATTGGAAGGATTATCCCATATATTATGGAAAATCAAATTCATGTTCCAATCCAAAAACCAGTTATAAAATGTGATAAACCAACCAACATGTCACTGGGAGGCCCCCAGTTTAATCACCCCAGTTCTCATGGAACCATATGGAACGCCAAGAGGCCGATCCTTCAAGAAGCACCTGCCCCACTGTGGGCCTTGGTTCCCCATGGTTCCCCCGAAAAAATCGCTGAAGTCCCTGGGAATTTCAATGGGGTTTTCTTGTAAAATTTCCCTTAAACCAATCCATTGATTCAACTCAAGTCATGGGAAATCAGCAAGCCTCTCAGCAATTTCCGGAAGAGTGACTGGGGAGGGGATTTCTTTAGCAAACATCCCACCCGGTGATCAAGGAAACAAGGGAAAAGACTGCGGAATTCCAAAAGAACACATTCAAAGTTCATATGATTCATGGTTTTAAAGATATTCAACCCGACGAATCTTCCATAAATCCTATAGTTGAATGGTGAACAAAAAAAAATGACCGAACGGATGAGTGACTGATCAGTAGTTACCCTCTGGTAAATTAACAGTTTGCTTTGGAAAATCACAATGTTTAATGGGTAAATCAACTATAAATGGCCATTTCCAATAGCTATGTTAAATTACCAGAGGGTGAACCCCTTCATAGTTGCAAATTATGCATTATCGTTCTATTCCGAATCGTGACCTGCGCTTTCCGGAAGTATCGCACCAACAAGTCATGATTCATGACTCGTTTCGTTGTACGCAACATGATCTTTCTTTGGGAAGGACACTTAACACGTTTTATACGAAAGAAACCTCTGCTGCATTGCCTTGAACCTGTGGAACTTGGTTTTCCAGCGATATCGCGGTGCAAATGCCAAAACCAACACAGCCTGAATCCTCAAAGGGCGGCCCACTGGAGCAATTCGTGGAGGCCATCTAAAAAAAGGTGCTTCCCAAGGAAAAGCAACATGAAAAGCCCTTAGAATCTACACCTCAATGTTTCATCTCAGCCATAAATTCCCAACAAGGCTGCGACGGATACCCTCTGGTAAACTGTCCCATAACTATGGAAAATCACCATTTTTCAAGGGTACCATTTTTCATGGGTAAATCCACTATAAATGGCCATTTTCAATAGCTATGTTAGTCATTACCAGAGGGTAAATCCCATTAGATCACTATTAAACCACCATAAAATCACCATTTATAGTGGGTAAATCACCATTTTCCTATGGTTTTCCACGTTTGACATAACCAGAGGGGTATACCCGTCTCCACCAAGCTGCATCGCGCGAAGGATCTGCATCCTTCACGTTGCTCACAGGCTTCCTGACACTTCTCCAACTCCGTGGTCAACACCATCCTGGTGAAATCCAACAGAAATCCAGGGAGAAATCCCATCATTTGAAGATACGAAAAAAACACCATTTTATATTATTTTTATATGGTTATCCTGGTGAATAACATAAGAAATACCATATTATAATATAAGAATAATCATTTGATGGTTATGGATGTACTTATACTTATATATATATATGTTTATATCATATTACTATATATCATATTTTTGGATGGTTATGGTTATGGATACTTTGGCATTTGCAAATGAAATATAACTATTATATAGTATTATAATTATAACTGATTTAACTTTGAGCATGTGAAAACCATCAGCAAATTGGAATCTTCCTACGAGTTCTGGATGGTAGTCCGATGGAATGGAATGTTTCGTCCTGGTTTCTACATCACCCATTCCATACATTTCCCTGCCCGGAAAACTCTGCAAAAACCGTTTTTCAATGGTGTTGTGCAAACGGCGGAATAAATTTTGGCAATGGCCATGCCAGTTTTTTTGCAATATGGAGTTATTTTCACGTGTTGTGAAACCGCTGTGTCTGAACATCTGATGCTATGCTGGGCGCATATGGATTTCCTGGTGGTGTTTTGTGTGTTTCAAAACGTCCACAAACGTCCAGAATCTCCCCACCGAAACCCAGCTGAACTCACCTGAAATGGCCCTGCAACAAGAATAGATGTACCAAACATGGCGGTTGAGCCGCCTGAAAGATATACCCTCTGGCAATTTAACATAACTATGGAAAATCACCATTTTTCATGGGAAAATTCACTATAAATGGTGATTTTCCATAGTTATGTTAAATTACCAGAGGGTATGTTAGATTATGTTAGAATCATTGATATTAATTTATAACAATCACCCAAAAATAGGAAAAACTACGGATGGTGGCCATCAAGCAAATTCTAAAACCACCAACCATAGACACATTGACTGGTTAAATCCGCGTTCTATTCCGAGGCCCTGGCAGACAGGTTTTTTTTTGTCCAGTTTCCACTAAAACTTGCTTGTTTTCAGGGTCAAACTCAGGATGGTGCCCACTTATGAGTTGGTTTATAAACCCCATGAACTAGTTCGTTATATCTACCATAAACCATAGAATTCAGCCACAGCCATATCTCAACTGAACGCTGAAGGGGGGCCCATCGCCAAGTAACCCTAGGCCCTGGCCCTCAACACTGGCCACACCATCCAAACTGGCGTAGCAAAGACCTGGAGCGCGAAGGATCGGGATTTGAACCGATCTGCTGATGTATACAGATCTTTTGCTGGGATGGTTTGCTACCTAATTACACATCTATTATACGTAGTATACATACACACACATACATATATATATAATTAATTAACTAATTAATTATATATACATATATATATGTGTGTGTGTGTGCAGCATTATATACCTATATAGCTACAAGACTTTGAGCTGTACTATATATATAGACACCAAATGAAACAAACACATATGAAGCTGTTCATTCCACCAAACATCGGGTTGGTGGTTCCGGCGGATCTGCGAACAAATCGTCAACTTGAAAATTGTCTGAACAAAGGATGCATAGCCATGAGTTGGTAGGACTACCTCTCTCCATAACCTCTGGAGTGATGGCTGTGGTTCAATGGTGATGGCATGTGTTCAATTTGATTTTTTTTTTAAGGCAAAACCAAGTGATGGACAACCCAAGCGGAAGGTAGACAGAACGCCTCCAGCTATTGTGGTTGTTGCCACTGTTGTCGTTGTCGTCGTTGTTGTCGTTGTCGTCGTTGTTGTCGTTGTCGTCGTTGTGGTGGTACTTGTTGTTCCACAGGCAGTCTTGAAGTAGGTCTTGCAGTTGCCTAGGTACCATCTGGTTATTTAACATATATAGCCATGGAAACCCCCTTATAAACGGAGGTTTTAATGGGAAAATCATCTATAAATGGGCCATTTTCCATGGCTATGTTAAATAACCAGAGGGTAACACCGGTAACACCTTGTAGACCCAGAATGCATACGGCACCCGTGGACTGAACGAAATCTGTCTTTGCGCCCCAGTTTTGAGTTTTGACCCACACATGACCCACAACTGGTGAGTCGTAACAGCCTACAACACCAAGGGGAACACCATGGCTTGGCTCCCCAAATCTTGAGCCCACTATCCCTCGGCTGAGGCCTGGAAGGAAACAAAAACAAATGGCTTTGCCTATGACTAGGGCACCCTGAAATTTGATCATTTGATTTGATGATGTTTGACTTGGCAATTTTATGTGGTATACACCACATTTTCAGACACACCCAAACAATCTTAAATAGTTGGTTATAGCATGATCATGCATTATCATGCGTTACAGGTTGGTGGTTTCAACCCCTCTGAAAAATGATGGAGTTCGTCAGTTGGGATGATGAAATTCCCAACATATGGAAAGTCATAAAATTCCATGGTTCCAAACCACCAAACAGATTATAATGCATGATCCAACTATAATAACTATATCTTCATGATAAAAATATCCCCCGAAATTCTCCCCATTTTTCGGGGGGACAGGTGCCCAAGGCGCCGTTCACGCGGACGGCCTCGTTGCCTGTGAGGCTCCGATCCTTCAGGAAGCATCGGTTCCATTGAGGGCCTCAGAACGGGATGACTGCTCCAGTCGTCAGGTCGTCAGAACGGGGGATAAAACAATTCTACAATGTGAGGCCCCCCAGTTATAAGTTGGTTTAGATTCGCCCCAGTAACTAGTTCGTTATAAGTACCATAAACCATAGTTATTGGAGTTATAAACCAACTTAGCTATCTTGGGGGCCTCACATTGTATGAATCTTTATTAATGGGTATATATATATATATATATGTGTGTGTGCGTGTGTGCACATATCATGTGTGTGTGATCTGTTATATATGATATTATGATTCTGATAGTTTATTAAGTGGTTTTATATCAACAAGGGTACGGCTGTGGAGTGTGGACATGAGTCAAAAGACTTGTGACTTGATTTGTTGATTCAAGGGACTCTACATGTGCTGCATTTTGTTTTTGCAACGCAAATACGGTAAGTCTTGTCTTACGCCTGGGACGTGGGAACCCTGCATATTCCGAGACGAGGTCAACGGCATCTTCGGTCCTTTCGTTGAGATGCCACGAGGGTCACATGCCAACAAGCAAACATCACCAAACATCATCACCAAGTGCTGTTCTTTTTGTGGGGCCATTGTCACAAAAATCACCAGAAAAAAAGTTCACAAAGTTCACAGCTGTCTAAGTCATATTTTTCTGCTTCCATCCATGGTCGATCCAAGAATTTTACGACTGCCAAGTAGCAAAGCGCAAAGGATTTGCAATTGGCCTTACCTCAGGAAGTCTTGGATCTATGATTGGCTGTGCCAACTTGCTATTCAGGTGCTTGGAAATCAGTGTGCCCTGATCATTCCTGATTTACCATCTGGTTATTTGACATAGCCACGGAAAGTCACCATTTTTAATAGGTAAACCATCTATAAATGGGCCATGGCTTCCATGGCTATGTTAGTCATAACCGGAGGGTAAATTGGTTCCAAGGGACTAGTTGAACCCATGGAATGATTACCTGAATATACCCATCATGGTAAATCCATCGTTTTCTGCATCCGATGATTTACCAGGTACTTATCATATCATCATATTCATGCCAAGTCATACCATATCATATCACATCATCAACATCATACCATACAACGTTATGGCATATCATTATATCATATATCACATATCGCAGAGATATCACATCCCAAATGCTCCATGGTGCTGGACAATTTACCAACATTTACCAACATTTACCAACATTTACCAACATTTACCAACATTTACCAACATTTACCATCATTTACCATCATTTACCCTAAAAATCACCAAGTTTTGTAGGTAAATATATCATACATGAAGCATATGGGTATCACATCATGTGTTCCCTGAACTCCCAATCCTTCATCACAACCTTAGGCCAACCGGTGCCTTACGAGATGATCCAGAATTGAAAATGGTCCCAAAATAGCGAGCAAACTTCCATCTCCAAAACATGTGATGCAGTTATATTAAAATTATCCACTTCTATCCCCATCATTCTTAGTAAATAATTACATATAATCAATTATATGGTAATTATATGTAATGATGGGGATAGAAGTGGTAACCATCAAATTGTCTCCATCACTCTTCAACTTCGACGTCGCGTCACCGCTGCAAGCTGTCCGACACTTCTCCAGCGATGCAGTGTACTCAACCCCGACGGAAGCGCCTTCGATGCTCGCGACGCCGTTCAGGGAGCCGTAGCAATCCTGGCGAAGCGCCGAAAACTGGGTCAAAAACTGGAGATTTCATCAGGAAATCTTGGAGTTTCAAGGAACAAAACATAGAGACATAGAGGTTCCAAGAAATTCCCGGAAACATGTGGCCTTGCCGACTAGGTGGATTCCAGGGTAAAATGGGGAGTTGACCTACATGGGAGGATTCATGAGGATTCAACAGGAATGTCAGTCTTACCATTGAAGAACTGGGAAGGACAAACTCCCATACCTTGCTGTTGAACATTTGAACAGGTGCTAAAAATGACTGGGCTGGGCTGCAGTTTTTCCACTGAAGTTCACTAAAAAAATCACAGGAAATGCGGGTGCGTTCGTAACTTTGGTAACTTTTAATAGTATTTCTATGGGATTTCCATTGGTATTTAAATCCCATCTGTTAATTTCTGAAATCCACTGGTTACTTTTTTTAAACTTAAATCCCATAGAAATCCCATGGAAATCCCATTAAACTCTGGTAAACTTAAGAAATTCTATGATTTCTATGGGAATTTAATGATTTCATGGTAAACTTAAGGATTTCTATGGGATTTCTTCGGAAAGCCGGATTCTGTCCGGTCATCCCCGGAACATCGTTCTCGCCTCTCCAGTGGTCTGGCAGGTGCACAGCATATCGCTGGTTCCAGTGATGGCCTGCCACAAGAATCCCAAAGATTTATAATTATACTTAGATATTATCCTATCAATAGTTTAGTTATAGATATAATGGGATATAATGGGATATAACGGGATATAATTATAGGTATATAACATATAATTACCATATAATATAATTACCATATAATATAATGGGTAATCCCATATATATAATCATATAGTTATAGTTATTTAATAGCTATGGATATCAATACCCTCTGGTAAACATACAAATTATATGGGATATAATTTTTTTATATGGGTATATAATTAAACTATGTGGGATATAATGGGATATATGTGGGTATATAATAGTTAGATATTAATGTTTGGGATATAATGGGATATAATTATAAATGTTGTAGATATAGTTAGATATCCCATTTTTCGATTGTTTAGTTATAGTTATAATGGGATAGAATGGGATAAAATTGGATATAATTATAGGTATATAACATTTAATATATGGGTACATAATTATATACTATATTATACCTCATAATCCCATAATCAATACTTATAGTTATAAAACTGATAGTTATAGTTATTTATATAGATATAAAACTAATAGTTGTTTGATAGTTATGGATATCAATACCCCCTGGTAAACGTTTACATAACTATGGAAAATCAACATGCTATTAATGGGTAAATCAACTATTTTTATGGCCATTTCCAATAGCTATGTTAAATTACCAGAGGGTATAAATACTATACTATACATCATAATCCCATAATCCATAATATATCATATAAAATGCCACAAACATCCTGTAAGAGATGGGATAACATGGGGGTTTCCGGAAATGGAGGTACCCCCATAGCTGGATGGTTTATTTCATGGAAAATCAATCTATAAATGGATGATTTGGAGGTACATCAGACATCAGGAAACCTCCACTTGGAAGTTTTTGGGGCAAGGGACGTGGATCAAATACAGGGTAAGGCATCGTGGCAATGTGAACATCATCGGCGAAAAAAACTAGTTCAATAGGTGAAGGATGACAAGGAGTGTGAAGAATCGTAGTCCTACTATCCATTCATACCAATTTTTCTGGAAATTCCGAGGTGAATCAACTGTGGTAATGTTGTTTCCATGTTGAATTGCCAAAAGGGCAGAGGGATCGGGAGGGCCGACTGCTTGATTTTCCATTCCAGCCCATATCAAACAACCCTTTCCCATCCTTTCCCCAAGAGTCAGTAACTTGAATCAAACAAATTGTGAAGAAAATCCAAAGAATCTCAATTGGCTCCTGGTCTGCCCTGTGCCTCATCACAGGCTTTCTCCTCTTCTACTTTGCATGACCTTGGGAGATATCGACATGTGCAACCTGGCGTAGTTATAGTAAGACTATGGCACTATGGTTGAAGCAACGTGTAAAGCCAATGGAAAATGAATCACAACTACCCTTGATGGGAAATTTCCCCCCAACTTACCCTTTGGTAACTTCCCATAGAAATGGAAATCAGCATGTGTGATAAGGTAAAACATCCATAAATCTGGCTGAATCATAAATGTGTGTGGTCTAAATCCCACATAATACATAAATACCATAACAATCCCATAACTAACTGGTTAATTTCGGAGTGTATGGGATCATCATGACACCCCTTTGCAACCATCATTCCAGTGACGTCAGAGTGAAGTCATTATAATTCATCCAAATTATATTGAACATCATTAGGGGTTATATACATAGAGGCTTACATGGGATTATTATACCATGATATACACTCACATTGAACATCATGAGGGACTATATGTCGAGGTTTATATGGGATTATACCATGATATACCATATATTGAACACCATTAGGGATTATACGTAGATTATTACACTATAAGATACCATGTGTAATACTGTGAATGGAAGAATTCCTGCACCAGTTGATGGTTTATCCATTATTTATAGGGTTTCAATCATCCTTTTGGTGGCGCAGGATTTCGCAACCATCCACAGTATTAGTCGTGTTTTCATATCATATGATATAATACCATATGTTGATATTTATCATATTTCATAAATACAATCACATGGTATTATGTCGAAATATATTTGCCATATGTTGATACACTCATGCTTCTAAACAATGTCATAAACCATCCCCCAGTCGTCACCATAAATAAATGGGTGGTAATATCACCACCATAAATAAATGAGTATGTAGTACCCTCTAGTAACATAGCTATAGAAAATCACCATTTGGAATCTTGAAATAGGTAAATCCAATAATTATAACTGTAGTATTTTCAATAGCCATGTCAAATTACCATATGTTCATTTCTTCCTTAAACCAATCCATTCAGTCCCTTTTCTCCTTCGCTAAAGCACAGCACTCGTCACCGCCCAGGCACTCGTCTTTCTCCTCTGCCGCCGCTACGCAGCGATGTCCGAAGCTTTCGCCTCGGGACCAAAACAACAAATGCTATGGGTATAGCATGGGTAAACTAACATAACTATGGAACATCACCATTTTTCATGTGGGTAAAGCAGCGAACTAAATGGGCCATGGCTTCAATAGCAAACTGATAGTTTACCAGAGCATGGGCAAACCAGCCATCATAATCCATCATAATCATAATCCATAATCCATCATAATTTGAATCATAATCCATCAAATTCCATCAAAATCCATCATAATCCATCATAATAGCATCTTTAGATTATGATGGACCAGTAATAAACCTATTATCCAGCTATCATAACAATGTTCCATCATAATCTATCATATTTCCATATTCTGGATATAGGCCATACTGGAAGGATAAACAAATGCTTCCCCTGTAGGACATTAAGAACAAGGATTTCAACATGTAAAAAAAACACATGTGAACAAATTGGTGAAATGAACCATCATTTCATGGTGTTTATTTGACAGAAATTGAAGCCATTCCAAAATCCCCGTGTGTGGTGCCTACGGGGGGTTGTACCCAAATTTATCCCGGATAAGTTTCTTGGGGCCAAGCTGTTTTTTCGGAATAAATTTCCATTCCCAAAAAAGGGCACGACCTCCAGGCGTACAACTTTGGGACCATGGGGGCAAACATCTCTGGATAAAGTTCCAGTGGCCAAGGTCCTGTTTATCCCTTCGCAAGTCTCCAACAAACTCCGCTTCGAGAAACTCCACACTTTTCTTTGGTTGCAACCCCAGTGTCTCTGAATATTTTTCCATGGGACAACCCCCCTGAACTTTGAAAATACCAAAGTTGGGGCTGAATAAATTTCCCAGAGGGATATTTTTTTCCGGCACAGGGTCAGGAAAAGAATCCGGCCAGGGCCAGGACGAACCCGGGTTTCCAAATGTGGAATAGTCATATTATGTTTGCCATTTAATTTCACCCTTTTCGAATAGCTGGAGTCATCAGAGTTGGAAATTTCGGAGCATACGACTGGCGACTCCCAGCGAATCCCAGCGACTGCGACACTTTTTTGTTGGACCATCATCCTGGTCACCAGCACCAGTTGATACCCTCTGGTAATTTAACGTAGCTATTGAAAATGGCCATTTATAGTGGATTTTCCCATTGAAAATTGTGATTTTCCATAGCTATGTTAGTTTACCAGAGGGTATCCCATACCCATCTCAATGGTCATTCCAGGAACCGATTCATTGGAGGTACCTACCATATATAAGGCCTATGTAAGGGGATATACACCCAAAATATGGCCAAACATATGGTACTAACGTACCTCAATTTTAGGAACCTGAAATGGCCAAACATCATCCTGGTCGATATCCCATACCCATCCTTCTAAATCAAACCATGATGACCAACGTCCCTTGCCATCCAAAGCCAATAAGCCGCGATGTTGCCAAGTCATCCAAGTCACAATAGCGATCACAGCGATTGAAATTTTTCGTCAACACCTTGCTACACAATCGGTGATGCCAAATCCCAGCCGCTTTCCGGTAAAGGGTACTTCCCAGAAATGGATGGTTTTTGTTAGGGAAAATCCATCCATAAATGGATGATGACTGGGGGTACCCCTATGACTTAAGAAACCCCCAATTCTTCAACTGAGCGAAAAACTGAGACTTCTCCCGGCACTTCACTGAAGTTCCAAAGCTGAAATCAAGTCATGGAACAAAAACACGTGGATCCTGGACCCATCGTCCCGTTTCTTTTTCGGGGGCCACTCATGCGTCGCAAGCCGTATACCGAAAAATACCCCTGGGTGAGGATGATTTGTCCCAATAAACCAATTCTACTCTATAACCCCTTCACCCAAACAAAACTCTCATGTGTCAATGATATTCCGTATTCTAACTTTGGCGAAATCATGGCAAAAAATAATGGCAAAAATCATGGCAAAAAAAAACACGGTGACATCCCCAAAATAATCTTTGTCTGCTAGTATCATTTTGCCCTAGTGTTGCCCTTTACCCTCTGCTAAACTAACATAACTATGGAAAATCACCATTTTTAATGGGTAAAACAGCTAGTTATATATAAATTGCCGTTTTCAATTGCTATGTTAGTTTACCATATGAATTGCCATTATCAATAGCTATGTTAGTTTACCAGCGGGTATTTGGGGGATGATTAGCACCAAGGCGCCAGTGCTTGACAGTTGCCGCAAGTCTTTCCGTCCACATCGGGCCAGGCATCGAAGTTCGCGCAGCTCAAGGTGTCTGAGTCTACGCGGACTCCTTTGGCGATGTCGGCCCAAGTTTTTAAGTTGGTAAACATGTTAGATGGAAAATTAAGCTATATGTAAAATCCAATCCAAAAATATTGTGATGAAATGAAGTTGTTCTACATATTTTTGGAGATTCCTATACAGAAGTGGGGTTCAATATATAGATAAATGGGTAAATTAAAACCCTGATTGTAGTTTCGGATCTTGTTGGATCTAGTCAATCTAGCCATTTTTAAGGGGCCTTTCCTTAAGCCCCAAGCAACCTCTCCCATCTCCAAAAACCGCCAGCAAGTTGCTCGAAGTGAACTGCCTTGCAGCGAGATTTTCCGAGAGAAACTTGGGGGAAGCCCAAAATCATTACCTGTCAAGTTAAGCATTGCCGTAGTAATCTGAATGAAATTCATCATCGATAATTAAGGCTTATACTCAGTGGTTTCTAACTAAATTCCACTATATATATATGGGGGTTGATCAAAACATAGTTGCCGGTGTGTTATTAGAAATGACCTTGCGCCCGCCCTTGCGTTTCCTTGCGCTCTTCAGGGTTTTTATTGTGTTCCATTACATAGATTGAAATATGTATTTAAGAAGTGATTGCCGCAAAAAGTTGCTCAATTCAAGGGGGTGTTCACTGATCCAGTACGCTGTGCAACACAGACTTTTTTAGCCTTCGGAAGCAAAATCTGATGATTCGGAGCTCGAATTCTCAGAAGTTGAAGATTCTGAGGAGCTCTACCTACAGAGGAAATTTGATTCCCAAAACGGCCATTTCGAGCCAGAAAGCAGCTTTACGGGAATCAAATTTCAAGAGGTATGGTAGAAGGAGAATGTATACACATAGGAAATTTGATTCCCAAACGGCGCTTTTGAGCCAGAAAGCAGCTTTACGGGAATCAAATTTCAAGAGGTATTGTAGAAGGCAAATATATACACATAGGAAATTTGATTCCCAAAACGGCCATTTCGAGCCAGAAAGCAGCTTTACGGGAATCAAATTTCAAGAGGTATGGTAGAAGGAGAGTGTATACACAGAGGAATTTGATTCCCAAAACGGCCATTTCGAGCCAGAAAGAGCTTTACGGGAATCAAATTTCAATAGGTGTGTAGAAGGAAATATATACACATAGGAATTTGATTCCCAAAACGGCCCTTTTGAGCCAGAAAGAAGCTTTACGGGAATCAAATTTCAAGAGGTATGGTAGAAGGAGAATGTATACACATAGGAAATGTTGATTCCCAAAACGGCCCTTTTGAGCCAGAAAGAAGCTTTACGGGAATCAAATTTCAAGAGGTATGGTAGAAGGAGAATGTATACACATAGGAAATTTGATTCCCAAAACGGCCCTTTTGAGCCAGACAGAAGCTTTACGGGAATCAAATTTCAAGAGGTATGGTAGAAGGAGAATGTATACACATAGGAAATTTGATTCCCAAAACGGCCATTTCGAGCCAGAAAGCAGCTTTACGGGAATCAAATTTCAAGAGGTATGGTAGAAGGAGAATGTATCACATAGGAAATTTGATTCCCAAAACGGCCCTTTTGAGCCAGAAAGAAGCTTTACGGGAATCAAATTTCAAGAGGTATGGTAGAAGGAGAATGTATACACATAGGAAATGTGATTCCCAAAACGGCCCTTCTGAGCCAGAAAGCGGCTTTACGGGAATCAAATTTCAATAGGTGTTGTAGAAGGCAAATATATACACATAGGAAATTTGATTCCCAAAACGGCCATTTCGAGCCAGAAAGCAGCTTTACGGGAATCAAATTACAAGAGGTACGGTAGAAGGAGAATGTATACACATAGGAAATTTGATTCCCAAAACGGCCATTTCGAGCCAGAAAGCAGCTTTACGGGAATCAAATTTCAAGAGGTATGGTAGAAGGAGAGTGTATACACAGAGAAGGTTTGATTCCCAAAACGGCTCTTTTGAGCCAGAAAGAAGCTTTACGGGAATCAAATTTCAAAAAGATACCAAAAGCTACGGAGCTGTTAAAATGTTTTTTCCGGAGCCTTGTAGCGATGCCTGTCCAACTTGGCAAAACAACCTAAAGAGAAACTTGCGCTTACCTTGCGCCAGACTTGGGTTCAAAACAGGCATTGCAAAGGCAAAAAACTTCACTAAATCCAACCAAACCTTCTATGTGTGTATACATTCTCCTTCTACCATACCTCTGGAAATTTGATTCCCGTAAAGCTGCTTTTCGGCTCGAAAGGGCCGTTTTGGGAATCAAATTTTATAAGTGTATAATTGTGTATACACTCTGCTTCTACCATACCTCTTGGAATTTGATTCCGTTTTGGTAGGTATGGTTCCGTCTGTCCTGCCTATCAGCTCTGAGCCGCTACAGCAGCAGATGTTCACTGATACAGAAAAGAACAACGATATTAATATATCTTGCGCCCGCCCTTGCGCTTTCTTGCGCCTCCCAGGCAAAACGGACTACAAATTTACAACAGCATACTCCATTCATACGTTTGTATAAAACTCCTCTGCGGGGGTTTTGATCGTCACTCATATATATATATATGTCTATAGCACATTATAGCACATTATACTATATATATGTCTATAGCACATTATACTATATATATATATGTATATATAATGCACATTATATCATATCTACCCTACATATCCCCATAGATATCCCCATATGATCCACTGTACCCTCCAGTAATCAAACATCATTCGCGAAATCATCGAACTGGGGGGTGTTCCAGCAAGCTATGGAGCTGATTACCGGAAGGTAATCAAACATAAATCAATATTCATCATATCCATTCATATCCCACAATATCCCATTATATCCTCATGATATATACATGTATATACATATATATATATATATCAGTAATTAATGTTAACGGTACCCATTCATATCCAACAATATCCCTCCATATCCCATTATATCCTCAATATAACATATACAATTATATATATAACCCGGATTACATCCCTATAAATCCTCATTGTTGTTGGTTAAACCCCTGCATCATCTCCTGCTAGCCCGGTGGTTGGTTTTCAACCTCTGTTTCTTCGGACCTCTGAAGCTGCGCCAGGTCACAGAAAGGTGGATCCAGCCGCGCCCACTGTGCGGCAGCCAGATCTGTCAGCTGGACAGGAATCTCCTGAGCAATGCTTGGAAGATACTTGGAAGATCTTGGAAGCCCAATCATTAATCATTAATCATTAACACAGCTCATTTTATCTATATATATATAGATACTGTGGATTAATCATTAAGATGAGCCGTGTTTTATCTAATTTATCTACTCCACAGCGCAAGTTGAGATCCCTGACGGTACGATTCGAGTCAGTTGGGATCATCCGGAGGAGCCAACCCAGAACAACCCAGGTAACTATAACAATTGGTTAATGTTAAGTAAAAACCCTTGAGTCTCTGAGTGTCTCAGAGTTGCTCCATGTTGCAACTACATTTAAATCATTTACCCTCTGGTTATGACATTCACAGTTCGCCATGTTTTTTCGATGGCCCTAATCGAAATAGATGGTTTACCTAGTAATAGCATGGTGGATCTTTCCATGGCTATGTTAGTCATAACCAGATGGTATAGGTTACTAAATGGTTTCTATGTTAAATAACCAGATGGTTAACCAGATGGTAAAGAAAACATCTTCAAACGCAAGACATGGACGCCACGTGAAACAAACGGCGTCCAAGGCTCCAGCCACGGACACCACGAGGCAAAGCGCGCCCAGGCTCCGCATGCTCTGCGCCCACATGGCAGCGTCAGTCGGATCGGGTGCCGAACAAATGTGACACTGCTTCGAAGCAAAAAAAAAGCTGCAAGCGGATGCTGAAATTTTTAGGTCATTGAGGTTGGTGAATCATCCGGAATTCAGGTTTATTGCTGTTTATTGGGTATACTGCTATTTGGGAATGTTACAAAAATGAAATTTATGATGTACCTTCCGGTAATCAAAGGTGGCAGTTGAAAATCATCTGTGAATGAAGGTTTATAGCTGGGAAAGTCCTACACATGAGGATTTTCCATTGCCATGTTTGATTGCTGGAGGGTAGTGATTTCCCATTGCTGGATAAAAAACTTAAGGATCATCTAAGCATTCTTCCTTTCTGAATGCAGGTCATTGATGACTATGATATTCCCATCAATCTTGATACCCTCTGGTAAACTAACATAACTAAGGAAAATCACCATCATTATTGGGAAAACTCACTATAAATGGTCATTTTCAATAGCCTTTTGTATGTTTACCGGAGGGTATATGTTGATTCACAAGGAACGTGAATTTCCAACCCTTGGATCCATCGCGCAATCGACTGTCAATGATGGATATTCTCAATGATTAAAAAAAGGAGCATTTTAAGCAGGAATCATAGGAGACCATTAATATAATTACCCTCTGGTAATTTAACATAGCTATTGAAAATGGCCATTTATAGTCGATTTTCCCATTAAAAATGGTGATTTTCCATAGTTATGTTAAATTACCAGAGGGTAAGTTTTTTTTCAAGCCAAGTTTGCAGGGAGGCTTCCTGCCATTCAATTCTGGGACCCCAAACATCAACTATGACCTGGCCTGACTAAGATGAGGTTCTGCAGATGTTCTTTTTAGGAGGAAAAAAGTGTCCTCTTTTTTGTGCTTCGATCAATCACCATTTTTTTCACCCATTGGTTGTTCCATGACTGCAATTTGACAGACCTGGATTTGGCCATGTGCGGTGTCAATTTCAAGATATGTCAACTGTTCCTACGGGAAGAATGGATCAGAATGGCTGGAAAATCAACTTTTGACAGACCTAGGTCAAGGATTGATGGTGTCCTCATCTTTAATCCATTTCAATCTTAATTCAGCAGGGTGCCAAAACAAAAAAAATCTCCCCTCAACAACAAAGGGACCACAAGCCAATGGGATGCTTCACATCAACATGCGGCTGTAACATCAACAAGGTGACATCACCAACGACTTGATAAGTATCATCTTGATATGAGTATGTAGTACCCTCCGGTAACATAGCGAATTGGAAAATCACCATTTTGAATAGGTAAATCAAATATAACTGTGATATGTTCAATAGCTATGTTAAATTACCAGAGGGTATGATGTATGTGTACCCCTAGATTCTAGGCAGAAACCAAGGTGAACTTCATCGGTTCCTGACCATCCAAACCAGCAGCTGCCAGGCTCAAATCTTTCCAGCAAAACAACGAGGCGGGCGAGCATGTTCTAGTGCCTCAAGAGTCGAGAAAGGATGCTGACACATGTAGCACCCTCAGGGGATCCTCTGGGTAGAGATGGTATTTGTTTCCCTATGTTTTCCAGAGCCCAGAGCCCTGAACCTTTCCGGGTCTGAACTTCCACAACAAATCTGGAGGTCATTGGGGAAAGTCCCCGCGAGAAAACCTGGCAATAGAAAGTTTCCCTGGAAAAAGAACAACAAACACATTGTTGAAAGGTCGGTGCGTATATTATCAGTATCAATCCAATCAGAACACAGTAAGCATCCACTTCGAACATCTTCTCTCTCGGAACTGAAAATAACTTCCCTTCAACGGCATTTTCAAACCATGCCGCCACGCCGCGGTTTATTGGCTTGGCGCTTCCGGTGCTGCTTCCGAATATCCCTCGGCGGCAGCGCTGCCCGCGGCGGCTCCTTGCATGGCCTGTGATGCGACAGTCAACCAGGACCAGGACCACACTGCAACTGGCGAGGATTGGTTGCAAAATGTTGTAAAGATCCGCTGGGTTTTCTTGAAGTTCCACGAAACTTACTTTCCAATCACGGCTTATGTCATTTGAATCCATGTTTAAACACAGCAAATTACCCTCTGGTTATTTAACATAGCCATGGAAAATGACCCATTTGTAGATGATTTTCCCATTAAAACCTCCATTTATAAGGGATTTTCCATGGCTATGTTAAATAACCAGAGGGTATATCAAAAAAACCTCCCAAATCGCCAAATCCCAGGCGAAAATCGGCCATCGCCGCCTGCGCCTTGGCGCGTTCGGCCAGCGCCACCAGCTGCGCCAACTCGCCACGCGTCTGCTGCAGCAGCTGCTGCAGCCGATCCACGCTGGGCAGCTCTGGCAGCTCTGCTAGGGACTCCTGCGGTGGTGAGACACCCATAGCACATGTTGTTCGAAGATTCACCATTTTTAATGGGAAAACCATAGGAAAACCATGGGAAAACCCATAGGAAAAACCATAGGAAAACCGGAAAACCATGGGATAACCATGGGAAAATGAGGATTTACCCTCTGGTAAACATACAAAAAACTGATGGGAAAATCGCCATGCTATTAATGGGAAAATCAACTATTTCTATCATTTTCAATAGCTATGTTACATTACCAGGGGGTAAAACTGGTAACTGTCCAGTTCGCACACAGTTCTAGTTTACCAGAGCTTAAATCCCGTACAGTAAACTCTCCCATCTCAAAAATCCTCATCAAAAATCCGCATGCTTGATAACCATTTACTTGATAATCATTGTTCCAATGATTGGTATCAATGATCATGTTCCAATGAATTGTCAAAATCGTTTTGGGATACTTTTGCTAATTCCCATCTTTTTGATAATTTCCAATGAATTATCTATCAATAATCTATTTTCCCATTGATCATCATCATATTTCCCTCCATTTTCCTATGATTTTCTGCAGGCCTCGCTGGTCTTCTCGCTGAAGATGTCCAAACTTTTGGCGTAGCTGGCGATGGCGTTCCGCAGATCGCCTCTCCCGCGTTGCGTCACTTTTCGTTGGGAGAAAACGAAGGATCGCCAAGTTGGGATATGGGATATGGGCATATGATTATTGTTGTTATTATTATTATTATTCATATGATTGTTGTATATTTGTGAAAATGGGATATTTATAAGTGATAATATGGGATGTAAATATAGATAGATGAACACCATGGAGAAATAGATGGGACATATGATGATGATCAATGGGATTATATGGAAAATAAAGCAAACCATGGATTTGGAGATTTCCTAACATGGGACATCCCTACCACTATAGAGGGGGAGGGCGGGGGGGACAAAACCAACCTGTCGAATTCCACTTTTTTTTGCTTGGAAACCCTGGGATAGTGATCCACCCCCTCAAATGGAATTGTAAAGTAACATTTCTTAACAAGCCTTGGGCACTGGTTAGCAAATACTTGCTCTTAGCTCCTCCGGAGCTAAGCGCAAGTATGATGACGGCAGCGCAATTTTTGGAGGGATGCCATCCCTACACATGTGCTGCTTCAGTCTGACATGTGCTTAGCTCATCCGGAGCTAAGCGCAAGTATTTAATTTTCATCTGCTTGCCAATGACATGGAATGATGAGGAATATTGATCATGCAGAAAACATGATTGCAAAAATGGAATTTTAAAATGAAATTTCAGTACGACTCCCCCCCCCCTCAAATTCCATTTTTAAGAGGGTAGGGATCATGGGACTACCTCCAAATCATCCAAGGCATCCCAAAAAAAACGTTGAGATCACCAAAAAAATACATATCTACGGCCAATGTCAGTACAGCAATAATAAACCATCCCCAAATTTACCGTCTGTATGGCTGGTATAAGCCTTCAATCCATAGGCGTGGTTTATGACTTATGCTTTGCTAACATGAAAATTCTCATATACTCTATATTCCCCAGATATTCCTATATGTATCATACACCACCGTTGCTGGTTCTGAATGGTCAATACTTAAATGGTTCCTGTCCAAAATATTTTGGAACTATCATTTCATCCATTTATATCTCCCATAAACCATAGAATTTACCAGGTTAACGCCATAAACCATGGATATATGGCTTATAGGGATATAACACCATAAAATCACCATTTTTAATAGGTAAATCAACTCTCAAAATGGACCATTTCCAATAGCAAACTGTCAGTTTACCAGAGGCTATTCCCCCAATCAACCATAGAATTGGTTATTAACACCATAAACCATAGATATTCTATGGCTAGTTATAGGGAACACATGAAATAACCATGGAGATTCCCCCTTAAAACCATAGAATTCACCAAGTTAACACCATAAACACCGTAAATCATGGATCTTCGCCATGGCTTCTAGGGTTCTATCGGATTCTTTCACCATAAACCATGGAGATTCCCCAAGAAACCACCGGCTGTGGCCTTCCGCCCGAAAGCAGCGCGCCAGGGCCAGGCCACCCAGGGCCAGCGTGCCATGGCGATCGCCGAAGAGACGCTGGCAGATCTCCTGTGAACCTCGTCTCCGAACACGCTGGGATGGTGAACTGGATATCAGATGGAAAATCCCTTATAAATAGAGGTTTTAATGGGAAAATCATCTATAAATGGGCCATTTTCCACAAATCCATAGTGATTAATGATGGTTAATGATGGTTAATAATAATCTGGTTGGTGGTTTTTCGCCACCCCTCTGAAAAATGATGGAGTTAAAGTCAGTTGGGATGATGAAATTTCTAATACCCTCTGGTAAATTAACATAGACCCTGGCAGTTGTCGGGGTTGGAAGACTAGTTTCCACTATTTTTATTGGTGATTTTCAGGGTCCAACTGTTAATTTACCAGAGGGTAACTAAAACTGAATACTAGATATTTGCATATATATATATATGGATATACTGATATACTGGATATATTGAAATACTAGATATTTGAAAACTGAATACTGGATATACATATATATAAATAATATGTGTGTGGTTGATTCAGATGACTGGATCTACAATTGTATATATATATCACCATGTGTGGTTGATTTGATAGTCCTCTGATGTATTGATTTTTGTTGACGTATGGTTGATTGTGTATCTTGATGTTTGCGTCAATATTTGAATAGGGTCCTCCAATATTCGATCGTTGTATTTTCAACTGATAATCACAAATAACATCAAAGAAGAACAAACTGCTTCAAAACCCACAAATCAGTCACAATCTGTACAAATAGATTGTTTCATCACAATAAGAACCTACAAGAACAAATGATACTGGTACTGATGAAATAAACCTCCAGTTACTCTAGCAAAAACAACAAGAACAATCGTTATCATAGCTAGAGTAACAACGGTTGATGGATTGGGGAAGCCAACCCCCCCTTTTTGGAAAGTGAGAAAATTCTGGGCGACCAATCCAAGGTTGACATTGCTTCCTAGTCCTACGAGGTACCCTCTGGTAAACTAAGAGTTTGCTATTGAAAATTGCCATAGAAATAGTTGATTTACCCAAAAAATGGTGGATCTTTCCAGGTAAACTAACAGTTTGCGAACTGGAAAATCACCATCTTTAATAGGTAAACCAACTATAAATGGGCCACTTTCAACAGCTATGTTAAATTACCAGAGGGATAAATCTCTTGACACTTTGAGTCCAAATGTACTTGGGTTAGAACTTAAGACATCTTCAAAGCCTGCTGAGAACTTACCGGAAATGCTCACCTATATTCAAGCTCCCTTCTGTTTGAGAATACCCTTCGGTAATCAAACATGGCAATGGAAAATATATAAATATACTATAAATGAAAGTTTTAATGGGAAACTCATCCATAAAATGGTGGATATACTTACCAAATGTAATGTTTGATGGAGGGTAACCAGTGCTACTTCAACAATCGTCTCAGTTGGCGACCAAGGGACGCTCGCACAACGCTCGGGCCTCCGCAGCCTTCCCTTGCACCAGCAAACACTGCGCTGCGTTTTGCAAGATCTGAGAGGCCTCGTGGGGGAACAAAGAGGCACTGCACCCAATGAGTGGATTGGTTTAAGGGAAAAATTTAACCGGAAAACCCCATATTTCATGGGAAAATCTATGGTTTCCTGTAGATTTTCCCTTAAACCAATCCGTTGACTTAAATGTTGATGAATGTTGTGCTCCATAACATCCAGATCTGGAAGGGATTTCGCCCATGGCCAAATATGGAATTCCCCACGGGCCAAAAACACGAAAGTTCTTCTCATTCATGGATTTATGAATTACATTTCTCTATATTCCCATTGTAGTCCCAGTCTATGCCCATTGCATTCCTATGATATTCCCATAATATTCTGATTTATAAGCTACTTGGGGGTGCAGGTCAGGGCTTGGCACAATGGGTATCTGCCAATTGGATTTGAACCTCCATAAGTTGGGATATAATTTCTACAACTATGGCTCTATATATATATATATACACATCTACATATACATATGCATATACATACACATCTACATCTACATATATATACATATACATATACATATACATCCCGACGGATCTTTCACCGTCCCATGATTTCTCAAAAACGTCGTTCTCGTGCTAGCCAAACGCACATTCTGGGTCCAAAAAAGTTTCTTAAAAAAAGTTCATCGCAAGATGCTTTCATCAACCCTTCCAGCATTTTGTGGTCAAAAACGTGCCGAGTTCGGTTTTCCTTTTTTCAGCTCACAGCTTTGCCAGGTAGAGGCCCGTTTTGGCCAGCAGGTATCATATCTATATATTTACAAATGTATCATATCTATATATGTGTCCATATGTATGATCGCAATATCGGTGTATGTATACATATGAAGATGCGAATACTCTACAGGTAAGAATCTATATATGCCTCTACGTATCTGTAGTGCAAGCGAACGTTAACATGGCCCACCCCACCCCACCCAACCCCAACCCCATGCGTGACGTAGCATCAACTTCATGACGCAAGTGCAAGCGAACGTTAACATGCCCCACCCCACCCAACCCCAACCCAATGCGTGACGTAGCATCAACTTCATGACGGAAGTGCAAGCGAACGTTAACATGCCCCACCCCACCCCACCCCACCCAACCCCAACCCCATGCCTGACATAGCATCAACTTCATGACGCAAGTGCAAACGAACGTTGACATGCCCCACCCCACACCACCCAACCCCATGCGTGACGCAGCATCAACTTCAAGTGCAAGCGAACGTTGACATGCCCCACCCCACCCCGCCTAACCCCCACCCCAAGAGGTTTAAGATGACATGTAACAAAAATGTCGAATTTGTGGGCCGGTAAAAGATCCGACTGCATATACATATACATATATAAAATTATATCACATATATATATAATTATACCACATATATATATATATAATTATATTACGTATATATATATATATACATATCATATACACACTTAAATACATATTATATATAAACACCAAAATCATGGCTCCACTGCACCATAAGTAGGCCGCTTTCATTACCTTTCCAACATGAAACACCCAGGCCCCGCCTGATGAGTCGCGACCTTATCATCTCCGTTGGTCGCTAAGCGGTACGCCTCCTGGACGAGTCTCACTGCGGAAAAAACAGGGTGGAATCAAGTTATAAGTACCCTACAGTTACCCTCTTGTTATTTAACATAGCCATGGAAAATGGCCCATTTATAGATGATTTTCCCATTAAACCTCCATTTATAAGGGATTTTCCATGGCTATGTTAAATAACCAGATGGTATGGCCCTTTACCAGTTATAAGTACTAACAAAACCCCATTTATAGAGTGTATAACTCCATTTATAACATTTTATAACCAGTTATAACTCATAAACGGCCATAACTGTATGCAGTGGTGGAATTCTAGTGAGTTGTGTTTTTCTGTATCCCATTGGGACTGGAATATCAATAGCTTTCATGATGATAGTTGATGATAGTTATGATAGTTGATGTATCCATCCTCTTTGCAGGTAAGCTAGGGAACTGCTGGAACCACTGACTAAGCCTGTAAGCATCGTTCACAAATGCCCTCAAGTTCTTGCAAGGGACACTCTGGGCCAGTTCACATGTTGACATGTTGAGGAACCAGTTTTGTCAAAGATTTGCGGCTTCAAGTAACCACAATAGCAGCTACCATCAAGTGCCCGAGAGAACTTTAGGAAGGGATACAAATAGAATAAATAGAATCAAATCAGGCTTAATTACAAATGTTTACAACATCATTTGCATGAATCTGCCATGTTTTTTTTTTGGGGATGTGTTTCAAAATTTATCTATTCCGAATCTGCATGATTCCTCTTCAGGACCTTTACCACTGTCACGTGCTTCAGCGTCCTGAAAAGACGAGGATGCTTCACCTAACCTGGCTTCGGATGGCTGTCATGGGAAATGCTGGTGGGATCTGCTGGCTAAATCCCATGTCTTTATATCTACCCTTTGGTAAAGGAACATAACTATGGGACCCGGGAAATCACCATTTTTATGGGAAAATCAGCTATAAATGGCAGTAAACTTTTACATAACTATGGGAAATCACCATGCTATTTTTATGGGAAAATCAACTATTTCTATGGCAATCTTCAATAGCTATGTTTACCAGAGGGCACACTAGACTGTACACCCTTTCAAAAACTCCATGCCATCTATGCCCGCACAAACTGTCATTTGGCAAATCACCTGAGTTTACGGGACTTTTTCCCATCATGCTGATGCCTTACAAGGACGTGCCCAGGGTGCCCGGGCCGGCCTGCCAGCATTCTTTTGCGCGATGCCAAGGTTGTTGTGGGCATTGGACAGTGCGGATCTTTCCTGGGCAGCTGGACATAGCTGGACAGCTCCGGCAATCAACAATATTCAATGATGGCCAGCTGGGAGATCCCCTATAAATGGAGGTTTTGATGAGAAAACCAACTTTACATGCGAGACTTTCTAGCCAGATGGTAATTCATGCAGCCAAATCATGCCCCCTCTTTGCCACCAGCCAAAAGCGCGACAGAATGTGGAAAATCTTCCGTGTTCACAATTTGACCGTACTACCCGGCTGCTTCGCTGTGTGGATCTTGTTGCAGATCACAGCGAAGCTCTCAGAGATCTGTTTGACATCCATCCCCCGCACTGCCGCGATCAGCGTCCTCCAAAATGTCCACGCTAAACTCCTGCAGTTCTAGCTGTACCACTGCCTGTAACAGCAACGATGGGAGCCAAGCATCAGAGTTGATTCCTGACACTGAACTCAATCATTTGAAAATAAATGGAAGTTCCCAAACAATGAATTCTTTGGTTCAATAGTTCCACAATGTTCCGTAGCATCCGAGAAGATGTGTCGGAAAATTATCATCGCTCCGTCAACAGCAGGGGATGCACCAAAACCACCGATTGCGCCGGAGAATCCATGCTGGACAAACTGGAAGAAACCGCAGCCCAGTATGGCTTTACAACAAAATCCTCCATGCTTTCTATCATCCGTTGACAGGATTTCTCCCAACACACAAGATACAACTGGTGGAAATTTGGCGAACAAAGAGGGAAAATCACCGATTCCCCCCTCTTATGGCTATCATTTGCTTGGAATACCTTGCAGTGACCATGATTATGGTTAATGAAGTCCCTAAAAAATCTAAAAACCCAATTGTTGATGGTTAAATTTTGGTTAAATCATGTTGAATCACCATTAATCGTCATGAATCCCATGAATGGTGAATATGGTTCCCCATGGATCCTGGTTGCCAACCCTGGGATGCCGCGGAAACCACCTCCCAACTGGAAACTGCATCAGCCCACTGCCGTAGTCGCAGGTGCACCTGGGTACGGTGCCCCAGTTCGGAATCGCTAAGTTGGTGCCAAAAAGTCCAATATCTAGGGTTGATTAGGGGGTTATATCATGTTATATCGAACTAGTTAATGGCGGATTATAAACCAACTCATAACTGGGGGAACACCACTTTGTAGCTGTTGAAGAGTATGTTCCTGATCAGTCCCTGATAGTTGGGAGATTCTTAAATTAGATTGATTACCCTCTGGTAAACTAACATAACTATGGAAAATCACCCTTTTTAATGGGAAAATCCACTGTAAATGGCCATTTTCAATAGCTATGTTAGTTTACCAGAGGGTAATCAACCCGTGGGGAATGTCAAAAAAAAAACGACCCATCAGACTCCAGGCGGAACTGCACCCATTTTTTGGCGATAGTAAACCCATCCAACATCACTAAAAAATCGATAATCAACAGTCAACCCATCATATCCCCATGTTTCCCACCATTTTCCCATAGGTTTCACCAATTTTTCGGACGAAATTTCCAAGCTTTCCCCATAGTTTTCATGAGTTTTCATCATTTTTCACTGGATTTCTTCAGATCTCAGCATTTTCCCCATTTTCCCTAGGATTTCCCCTGGTTTTTCCCAGGTTTCCATAGGTTTCCCCTAGTTTTTCCAGGTTTCCATAGCGCGCCTTGCCCTGCAACGACCGGGCGCCGATCTCCTCGCGCCGCTGCCGGTGACGCTGCGCCGCCTGGACGGCCTCCGCCAGCAGCGGCAGCGCGGCGCTGGGCGAGGCGTCGGCCAGGGCGCGGGCCTAAGGGATGGATAGACATTTTATATAGTGGTTATATAACTGGTTGGTGGTTTCAACCCATCTGAAAAATATTAGTCAGTTGGGGTTACTATTCCCAATATATGGAAAAATAAAAAATGTTCCAAACCACCGACCAGATAAGTTATATATGTGGTATAATATGATACCATTGGATATATATATATATATATATGTATGCATATATATATATATAATGGTTATAAAATGGTTATATATATATATATGATGGTTATATATAATTAGACAATTATAATGGATATATATATATATATATGTGATGGTTATAACTATATCCATAGAATAGATATATATATATCCAATGGTAAATCCATATGGTATTTGTATGTGGATATTCACATATATAATCATATATATATATATACATATATATATACATATGGATTGATATTGAGACATGTTTCCATAATAATGGGTGTTAAAGGCCACAATATTGATGGCCATGATTGATATATGGGAAATGGGTGGTGTATATTATAGTGTTTTATATGATAATAGTTTGTTTTGATTAAAGGTTGTTAATGGTTGTATATCATATTTCTCCCAAGCAATTACTAATACATATGTATATATATATATATTTATTTATTTAATGGCATGATTAATTTACATGAAATACCTCCCAGGTATTATGGTATTATTTAATGATACCTATTAAATGGATATGGAATTCATGGTATATATTTCTATATATCATCCTATACTTCCATTGTATATGTATATGTATATATACGGTGTATATATATATATATGGTGTCATTATATGTATAAATAAAACATGATGATGTAAATAAATAATGTGTTTACATTAATATATACATGATGGATTATATATATATATAATTGTTGTTGTGATATATGAATATATATATATATATATCTATGTAATAGATACCATCTAATATGGATATCTCTATATATCCTATGGTGTATGTATGGTGTATATGGATATAGTTGGTACCCGGCGCATAGACGGCCGTGGACCGAAATACATATTTTAGCAAAAGGGGGTTGGGTGGGGTGGGCGGGGATATTAACGTTCATGTACCTTGCCTACATACGTGGATGCTACGCTGCTGCTACGTCACTGGGCATGGGTGGGGTGGGGGGGATATTAACGTTCATGTACCTTGCCTACATACGTGGATGCTACGCTGCTGCTACGTCACTGGGCATGGGTGGGGTGGGGGGGATATTAACGTTCATGTACCTTGCCTACATACGTGGATGCTACGCTGCTGCTACGTCACTGGGCATGGGGGGGGTGGGGGGGATATTAACGTTCATGTACCTTGCCTACATACGTGGATGCTACGCTGTTGCTACGTCACTGGGCATGGGTGGGGTCGGGGGGATATTAACGTTCATGTACCTTGCCTACATACGTGGATGCTACGCTGCTGCGAATTTTTTGGAACACTTGGAAGACCTCCTGTCGCAGGATTGATGCTGTCAGATGAGGAAAAAAAGAAGCAAATCCTGGCATAGACAAAGTAGTTACGTCATTTCAAAAAAGCATTAAAAGTATCGTTTCGCTGAGGCGAAAACGCCATATAGCTAACTTTCCAATGGAATTCAGCCACAAAAAGTGTATACACCTGAAACTTGAGAAATCCCCTTACAAACGCACAGAAAATCAATGCTGGATGATACTCAATCTTCATTTTGAGCCACGGCCGTCTATGCGCCGGGTTCCTAGTTACATCTACCATAAACCATAGTGAAGCTACTCACTTGTTTCTCATCATTTTCCCTTATGGAGAGGTTGGAGATTGTTTTCCTCGTTGTTGGTGGATTTAGGTTCGTGGATTTACTCGATGATGTTACTCTATTATATGCTGGGGAAAAAAAAACTGCCCTTTTGGGAATACCCTCTGGTAAACAAACATAGCTATTGAAAATGGCCATAGAAATAGTGGATTTACCCATTAATAGCATGGTGGATCTTTCCCATAGTTATGTAAACCTTTACCAAAGGGTAGATCCGAGTTTTTCAGGGAAATTGTGCCTGGAATCATCCCTGCCAAGAACTTGGCAGCCTGGTTCTGGGTTCTGGTCCTGCCAAGGTGCTTGATCTGTCAAGGCTTTAGCACCACTGGGTCCCGCAGACTTTGCTGCGTCCTCCTCCTCCTGACGGGACGCCATGAGATCACAACGGATTGGTGGGAAAATCTTAACCGGAAAATCCCAGGATTTTCTGGAAAAATAACATGGTTTCCGGTTTTCAGATTTTCCCACCAACCCATTGATGAATTTGATGTCTGCATTACCTGTACTACTCCAAATATAGCCATTCATAGTTCCTGATAAAGGGCGCCACACCAAATCATACAATACGCAAGCGGTACAAAGGGATCCTCCACGACGTGGGAGCATCCTTCATTTTTGTGAGCTAAAAGGATCCAACAACCATAGTCACCAACCTCTTGGGTGCAAAAAAACACATCTAAACAAAAATGAATGCCATAAAAATTGAGGACATACCCGCTATCTCCCAATCATCACCCCGAATCGCTTACGTTAGTATTGGACATTGAGGAAAGATGTGTGTATATATATATACGCATAAAACAAATATCCCAAGATTCTGTAGTATATAATTAGCAATCTCAATAGTCAATAGATATCAATAGTATATATACCCAATAACAATATCCCATGGAGTGCCCCACAAAAAAGGTATAAAAGATCAGCTTCTACACCAGCCAGGTCGGACCAGTCGTCTCCTGTTGCCTCTTGGCCTCCAATTTCGCCACGGCACGGTCGATTTCTTTGCCTTTGGAAGGGAGATCACCATGATCATCGACGGGGGGCTGAACAATCTAGATGAACACAATGAACACGTAATAGTTAGAGGATATTCAAGGTGGTGCCCCATAGTTTGCGAAATTCGATAAGTTGGTTTATCGTTTATATAACTAGGGGATTTAGAGGGGTTAAACCGGGGTATGGATATGTCAAACTAGTTGTATGGGCTTGCAAACCAACAAACATAACCATATCATTGGAGAACAACTGGGCTGCTCTCATAACATCTGGGCGCCTTTGAGTCACCCACTACCAAAGCCTCAAGCCCTCCCTCTGTGAGAACCGGCCTAGCTGTAGCAATGCTGGCTCCTCTGTGGTGGAAGGCAACCGGCATTTATAGGGGGCCCAATTGATGTAATTGATGTGACCCCCTGTTCTATTGGTCGCTTCCCACCAAGATTCCATGCAAAAATTACTTTCGGAATCTTTCGGACATTTTCCAGCATCAGCTGCGCCTTTTTTTTACCCCGGCACCCGGTCCTGTGGATATCTGTTCAGTCCCAACTTCAACGCCTCTCTCGCTTCCAAACAGCGACCGCGGCGTAGTCGGGCACGAGCCAGTTGGAAGTGACCCCTGGGCTCATGGCACGGTGGGGACAGCGGGAACCACCGGAAAACTCAGGAGCTGAACCATCAAAAAACTGATTGGAAGATGCCTCTCCACACAACATATATGGGTTGAGAAAAAACATTAACATCATATTAACATCATAAAACATCATTAACAATCATTCATCAACCAATTTTTTGGGTGATTTACATATATAAACATATATTAACATATATGAACAAATATTAACTATCATTAGCATATATTAACATATATCAATATATATATATATATATATATTCAGCATCATTAGTTCACCATGTTTTTTGGGATCTGTGTATCCCAACCATGGCCCCATGGCCCCATGGCCAAGGCGCTTGGAGGAAGCCGCCGTCGTCGTCGCGGTCGTCGTAGCATCCTGGAGCTCCACGGCCGTGGTGGCGTCGTGTTCCGCGTCCTTCCAGAGCTCCAGGGCCGAGTTGGCAATGGCGCGGTTCCTGGGCGGCTGGCGCTGGATGGGTTGGAGGATGATGTGTTGGTCAAAACTGTTATGTCATAACTTAATCATCATTTTACCTGTTGAACATGATTTAGTTTTGACAGTTGATCATTTTTTCCTAGTTTGGTGGGCTCAATCCTTCTGAAAAATATCCCAGTCTGGTTGGGGAAAATAAAAAATGATCCAAACCACCAACCAGAGAACATATTATGATAATTAATGACGGTACAGATACCGTCATAACAACCATTATAACCAGATAGATCATGATCTTTGGTATGAATATAACCTGATAGATTATAATGATTGTTATAGGATATATGATCATGATCATTCTAGCCAGCATCAAACATAGCCAGTTGATCATGATCTTCATATGTATTCAGCAACCAACTTCAGTGTTTTTCGGAGCATCTCCACTGAGTTGGATGACGCTCCAACCGTAAGTTTGGGGAGGGTTGGGGTTGGGGAATGTTGTTGATAATATGAGCTGTATGATGATTATTGCGCGTTTTTCCCGGAAAAAAAAAAAAAACATTGTTGTTACTATCACTTTTCATTATTGTATTTATGATTAGTATTGTTATTATTATCTTGGATTGCTAATACTTCTTATGATTATTAGTATTGTTATTTTTCATATATTTATTACTATTATTAGTACTATTCAATATATATATATGTGTGTGTTCTATATTTATGTGTATATATATATATTACCATATCACAATTGGATGATGATGATGATGACGATGATGATGATCATCATCATGATAATGACTATATTAGTATTATCATCATCATTCTGGTGATCATGATTACGATGATCATCATGATTATTATGATTATCATGCAGTATTTGTGTCCCTATCACTATTGGATGATGATTATGACATGTTATCTGATTGTAATGATGCTTGTGGATATGATGATGCTTGTGGGTATGATGATGATGATGATGATGATGATGATTAAATTAATATATAATAATAACAATAATAGCAATTATTGTTATTGGCAGTGATTTGTATTGGTATGGTGATGATTGCTATTTGTTATGTTTGATAATATTCGAATTAGAACCATGTGTGTGTGGTTTGAAGATTATTAGTATGGTTGTACATTGTTGCATCTTGTGCAAATCTATAATTACACATATAACTTTACTTTTCTACAAATGATGATGATTGCATGCTCCATCCCCCCACATCAACCCGGCAAGTGGCAAATGGTAGGTGGCGTTGTTGGGGTCAATCTTGATGGCCTTGCTGTAGTACTTGATGGCCTCGCTGTCGCCAAAAACAAGTTCTCGGCATTTCAGGACATTGCGGTACGACCGTATCATCATTCCAAATTTTCCAAATTTCAAAGCTTCTTCCATTTTTCCATGCGTTGACCACCCTGACCACACCTTGGGGTACTTCTTCTTCCCCATGGCACGGTTGCCCTTCTTCTTTTTCATTTCTGCGTCGCTGGTGCTGCCAGAACTCTCCTGCCGAAACCGCTTGAGGGACTGGTTGGTGGGTGTCTTCCAATATCTCCCAAGAAAGAAATAGGAAAAACGAGTTCCATGCAGAAATGGGCTAGTGACGGCCAGTGGGATCCCAATGTCCGATCCACAGCTTATGAGAAAATTCTAGATGGAGTGAGTTCGTTTCAAGCATTGATTGATCCGAATAACTTGAGCCTCTGCAAGGATCAACCCAGCACAGAAACCCGCAAACGAGCGAGCTTTCGAAAAACCACACGAAAAACAACATGAGTGTAGTACTGAAGCACCCTCCCAAATCAACTTATAAGATGTATAGGTATAATATGTACAATGAACCCCAATAACATGCAGTTATGACCCGAAATACCAGTTATAAGTCAGTGACCCCCAAATCATCCATTTATAGATAAAATTCCATTATAAACCATCCAGCTTTTGGGGTAGCTCCATTTTAGGAAACCTCCATTTAGAAGTTGCCACAAGGTCCCCATACTTAGCTAAATTGGTGCCAGTAACTCCAATTTCACTATGGTTTATGGTCTGGGCAAATGATAATATTTCACTAAGCTGAATTAAGGCCATTTGGGGATGATTTCCCTTATTAACCATGATTCCTAGATATATTGACATACTTATTATGGCACTATGTTTTTTTTCAGCCAACAAACATCACTGGGGGGGGGCATTTATAACTTGCCACCAGTTCAATAGGGTCACCTCATCACTCGTGGTAGGCGGCGTGGGTGGTGTCTGCTTGCATCCGAAGATGTGCGACATGGCGGCGCAGCGCGCGCAGCGCGTATCGGCCAGGCAGGACTGATGGAATGCTTCAAGAAATGGGGATTCATGAATAGCATATCCTGGCAAATAGAGGGATGCATATTATATATAGATAGATAATAGATGGATATGTTTTAATAAACATATACAGTTAAACATATACAGTTATAATACATATATATATATATAGATACATATTTATATAGAGAGATATACATATTTGAATACACACACATATATATATATATATCATGATATATTTCATACCAGTGGTTTGTATTGAAGAAACCACTGATATCAAGGAACATCCTGGGTTTTCGGGTAGGTTGGCTCATAAGGGACCCCAATAGCTGGATGGTTTATTTCATGGAAAATCATATTAAAATGGGATATGAAAATGGGAACATGATGGGAATATTATGGGATTTTATAAAATGAATAATTATATCTATAAATGGATGATTTGGGGGTACCCCTATTTTAGGAAACCATTAAATGGTTATCATGAACCATAAATGGGAGTATCATGACCCATCTATAAATGAATGATTTAGGAGTATCCCCATTTTGAGAACCCACCATAAATAAATACCTCGAAAATATAGGGAATGGGGAAAGAACCGTTTCAGTACCTATGGTGAGAGTTTTTGTTTGGCTGTTGTCATCTCAAAGCTTAACCATCTATGTCACAGCGGTGCTTGGAAAATGTTGGTGTGGTGTTGGGCGCAAACAGCTACATGGATTTGGCTGTTTGGAGTTTTGAGCCCCAGAGCCATGTGTCTTTTTGCGCATGTGTCCAACCAAATGCCAGCCCTGAAAATCTACCGGGACTAGCTTTGGTAGGGGAAGCAAACCAGGGTTGCTTTATTATTGGTTGTGCCAGAAGACCGAGATGGTGTTGCAACAACCCTGCCATACGAGATGACGACAAAATCTGCAAGGCAGCCCACAGCTTTGATCCCAGTCCTGATAATCTATCCCTATCTTGGGGATAAGTTATGACAAGTTTCCCTACTTCATCAACTAACCTCGCTATTTGACTCGGGGCTATACCTCGCATCCTGTAATCGCACCATTTCCTTATGGCGTAACGGGACAGCGAACGGGACACGGGTGATCCACAGGGCGAGGAAGGTTCGAGTGGCGCATTGTTTGCGAGACTTGAAGAATTCAGCTGATGTCCCACAATTGCAGTCAGCTATCCACTGGCTATCCACCACAAAAAGACCCAATATAGAAGAAATGAGAAACAATTTTTTTTGGATCCACATGTATCATACATCCACCTCACACCATCACCAAATTCACATCCCCCAACAAAAACACACAGAAAACAATCAGAAAACAATCCACTTCCAGAACCTCCCAGAGATCTTTGTCGCCCTTAGAGGAAATCCAATCCCGCCGTGCCGGCCGCGTCGGGTCCCAGCGCGGGCTCGGGAGGTGCTCGCGGAGGCGGTTGGCTCAGGCGCCAGTACTGCTCGCTGGAACCGCTGGAGGGGGTCCAAGAGACCTGACCATTGTGTTCCTGAGCTGGTCAATGGCCATTTCAGGAACCTAAATTGGAGGTACCTACCATATATAAGGCCTTATATGGTACTAGCGTACCTCCATTTTAGGATCCTGGAATTCCCATTGAGCTGAGCTATGACTATGGCATACTATGGCTATATAGTGGGATATCCCATATAGTAGATATAGTGGGATATCCCATAATATATCATATATCCGATATCCCTTTTTAAGATGTTTCCCTATAGATATGCCCACTATATCAATGGCCATGACTCAGGAACCGATTGATTGGAGGTACCTACCATATATAAGGCCTATTTTTCAGGGCTATGTAAGGGAATATCCCCACAAAATATGGCCAAACATATGGTACAGTACCTCCATTTTAGGATCCTGGAATTCCCATTGAGCTGAGCTATGACTATGGCATACTATGGCATACTATGGCTATGGCGGTTCGATGTTTTTTTTGATGAATATTCCTATGGGTTATATACATTAATTGCTATGTCATAATTGCTTAATGGCTATGGGTTATAAACCATATAGTAATATTCCTACGGGTTATAATTGCTTCATCGCCCAATAAACATCAAACCATTTAGCATGACACAGAGTATCAACAGAGCGACTTTCGGTGCTTGAGTTGAGCTACCTTGGTGGGATGAAAAATTGTGATTTAATGGAATTTCCAGGGGTTCAATGGGATAAGCTGTGTAAATCAGTGATTTATGGGCGTTTCATGGGATATAACTGATATAACCAACTAAATAAGATATAATATAATGGGATATAATGGGAGTACAAAGCCAAGATTTGTTTTTGTCGAAACATGCTTGTTTTCCTCCGGTTTTGCTCTTACAGTCTTCCTTCTTGTTGGGTAAATCAGTAAATCCACGAACTAAATGGCAATTTTCTATGTCGCAAACTGTTAGTCATTACCAGGCCGGGTAATTTTAAAACATGTCAAAGCCCATCCATGCCCATTGCCCCCCCTCTCGGCTCTCCAAGTTGCGGTGAGAAATTTGGGGTGCGGACAGGTGGTCCGGATGCTGAAGTGATTCACGCTGGGTGAGCAGAACTGCTTTCCTGTGGAACTTGGCGCCGGTTGCCCAGGGCGCCACATTAAAAATCTGGGAGAATCTGGGAGAAATCTGGGATTCGAAATCGTCTCTATGGTTCACTTAAAGCTCACATCTGTCAGGGAGGAAGGCTGTTTGAACATGATTGAACAGTGGCCCACCCGCTTTGTAAAGTGGATAGAATGAGAACCAGCTTTATAGTATAATTACCCACAGACGCCGTGTGTTGCCCAAACATTAACATTGAGAATGTCGTGCTGTCGACTATATGACAGGAGAGATTGCAGAAAATACTGCGTATACGCAGTGTTTTCCAGTTTAGGGTTCAAAGTTTTCAGAGCCTAGGTTTTAGGGTTTAGGGTTTTAGAATTTGAGGTTTTAGGGTTTGGGGTTTTAGGGCTTGGGGTTTTAGGGCTTGGGGTTTTAGGGTTTTGGATGGTTTAGGGGTTTAGGGTTTAGGGTTCGTCGTCTGGGAAATCTCAAAAGACTGGCCCTGCGCAGGTGTTTGAGCATGTTGAAGGATAATGTTTAAAGATGTTTAAACGCCATTTGAACCTTCCGGGCAACACAGCGCCTGGCCGTATAAATAGGGTCCCAAACAAAAAGGGCTCCAAAATGGGGGTTAAATCCTACACCAGTTGGTGGATGGTTTATCCTGTTATAATCCCACTATTCGCAGTGTTTCATAGCTGTCATAGCTCTCAAAAGTCACCAACTGGTGCAGGATTTCTCCCATCCACAGTATGTTCGCAATTTTCATCATTGATAATTCAGGGGTGCACGGACCTACAGATACTATAGATTCTATACCCCAGATGCCACTCCCCAACGCCAAGGGGCCACACATGCGCACAGGTTCCAGCTTCAGGCAGTAGTTGCAGAAGGGCGTCAGCACTCCATCAGTGGAACAGTCCAAATCCTCCAAGCTGGGTGAATCAAAAGGGAAATGCTGGGTTATATATGTGGTTATAACCTCAATGATGGTTAATGATGGTTAATGATGGTTGATGATATGGTTGATGATATGGTTAATGATAATGTTAATGAAATGGTTAATTATATGGTTAATGATATGGTTGATGATTGTTAATGAAATGGTTAATTATATGGTTAATGATATGGTTGATGATTGTTAATGACATGGTTAATGATATGGTTAATGATATGTTAATGATATGGTTAATGATATGGTTAATGATATGGTTAATGATATGGTTAATGATATGGTTAATGATATGGTTAATGATATGGTTAATGATATGGTTAATGAAATGGTTAATTATATGGTTAATGATATGGTTGATGATTGTTAATGACATGGTTAATGATATGGTTAATGATATGGTTAATGATATGGTTAATGACATGGTTAATGATATGGTTAATGATATGGTTAATGATATGGTTAATGATATGGTTAATGATATGGTTAAGGATATGGTTAATGATATGGTTAATGATATGGTTAATGATATGGTTTTCCCCAATGATGATTATGGTTAATGATGGTTATTTAATGTTATTAATACCTCTGAAAAACTGATGATTAATGGTTCACTGGTTGGTGGTTGAGCCCTACCCCCCTAAAAATGATGGAGTTCGTCAGTTGGGATGATGAAATTCCCAATATATGGTAAAATGAAAAATGTTCAAAACCACCAACCAGTATATAATGTATATAAACAGTCTATCTTCACTTCACCCTGGCCATAGTTTGAAGTGATTTTCAAGTTCCACCCTTCAAAGTGTTTCACACATCACTCGTTAGGCGTCGGCTGGAAGATGCGGTTCCGAGCTGTGCCTGCAGGCGGTAATGATCCATCAGCGTCATCAATGGCAAGGCTTCATCTGGTTGGTTGCGATCTGGGTGTGGCCGGTATAGCAACAGACGTGGAGAGGACTTACCACCTTGGCTGAGGATAGCTGTGATGCTGCGATGTCGGGAATCACCCACCAATATCCCAACTTTCAGGTGTTTCGAGTCAAGAAGGACAATATATGAACCTACGCCATGGACTATGGATTCCAAAGGCCACTCCTTCTTGGAAAACGATATGTGTGTTTTTGCAATCTGTCGCATGCTTTGCGCAAATTCCAACATTCAAATCCATAAAAAAAAACTCCGCAGTGGATTCTGCCCAAAAAGCCTTGCACATTTCGCGTATAGTCAGGGGAGTACATATAGGCCCCCCCGAGGCAGTCTGAGTCTTCACAATGCAGCTGCCATCGCACCACTGGATTTTGCTCATCCTCATCTTGGCAAAGGACATGGGCCAATGGAGGGCTGTGATGGCTTCCAGTCATGGAAATTGGGCCTACCTCTCTTAGTTCCACTTCATTCTTCTGGGTAAATTATAATAATTCACTAATCTGAAATAAGGCCATTTTGGGATGATTCCCCTTATTAACCATGATGATTGGTGGAAACCATTGATGGAAACCATTGATGAAAAGTGAGGAGAAATCATCTCATTCTTACCATCAATGACGATTGAAACCACCATGAAAAAAACGTTGAATAACCACTCATATCACCATTGAATAACCATTAATATATAATATATAACCATAATATACCATCAATAATACCATCAATAATACCCATTCTCATCTCATTCTTACATGATTTACTTCCACCAAGTTCCAAACAAACCCGAGCATCGTCGAAGGGGAGTTCCAAACGATGATCCGAGTCTCAGTTGGTCACCTAGAGGAGCTGGATCCCAGCTCCGAAGTTGGGGTTTCACCCCAGACTTTCCCCACCAAAATCAACCAACATGAAAAACATGATGAAGATCCTCACATTCATCATGAAGTCGCATGACAACATGAACAAAAAATGAAGCATTTTGGATTTTTTTTAAAAAAAAAACATCCAGAAATTCTTCAGGCTCTGTCAATTTTTAGATGCCCTCTGGTTATTTAACATAGCCATGGAAAGATCCACCATTTTATAGCTATGTAAACCATCTATTTCTATGGGCCATGGCTTCCATGGCTATGTTAGTCATAACCAGATGGTAATGGTGAAGACACCCTCAACACGTATTCCTCCCAGATTGCACCGGGCGATGCGCCTCAAAGGGTTCACCATCCAGGCTGGACGTTTTGCGGAAGGACGGTGGAGGTTGTGGTGGTCCATAGCTTCCATCGTTCGGCTCCTGTGGGGTGCTGAGTTTTCCACCTGTTTTTCCCCAAAGCCATGTATTTTTCCCATAGTTCCATAGTTTATCATAGTTTCATATGCCATAGCTATTGTTAGGCTTATCATATCCCATTGTTACTGGTTGGTGCTGGTGCATTTTCACCATCTTGAAAAATGATGGAGTGAAAGTCAATGGGAAGGATGACATCCCATATTATGGGAAGGATGACATCCCATATATGAAATGGAAAATAATCCATTCATCTTTGAAACCACCAACCAGAGAATAAATACATCATAAACACATCAGATCACATCAGCTACTTGAACTTCGATGTTGAACAAACTCTTTCGAGTGTGTCAACTGCCGGCACCGGTGCAACTGCGTTCTGAAAAGCGCTGCTCAATGCATGGAGCAAAGACGGCATGGCTAGATGGGCGTGCTGAAGATCATTCAAAGGGAGATGGATGATGTCAATGCACCCTCTGCTTGTTACCATTTGTTATACCATAACCATGGAAAATATGGGAAAATCATGGAAAATCACATTTTTTTATATTTGTTAATAACTGTTAATAGGTACATTGGTGCAGTAACTCATCAAAAGGATATCTCAAGTGTGAGCCAACCAACAGGTGAGCCAATCAGCGCTTCAAAAGTTGGTCGCCAAACATGACCAGATCGAGCCGCCGTGTTGGCATCCGACTCACCGAGAGTTGTGCTACGAAAATTGTGGATGCCAAATTGGCCAACACCAATCAATATGTTAGTATAGCAGTAGTAAATCTATGGTTAAAGAATTGGATGATGGGAAATTTTCACCGGAAACCCCTATATTTGATGGTAAAAACCCATGGGTTTCCGGTGAAGATTTTCGCAAGAAAACCAATCCATTGATATGGTTATACCGGCTGAAAGGGGAAGTTGCGATGAATTTCTCTGGGCTGTTGACCGCACCAGGCTGAAGCCAAAAAGAGCGGCTTTGAACCGGTGTTCTGTGAATGTTCGTCCAAGGAAAAGGTATCCAAATGATACCCCTGGAAAATGCAAAAAAAAAAAACGAAATTTAAACTCAAAAACTATGGAAAAAAACGAGTCCATACTTTTGCCAAAGTGATGTGCTCAAGCGGACTTTTGTCGGAAAAAGGTGCGCAGCATCGCGATTCGAAAGGGCGACGCAGGGCGACGCATGGCGACGCGGTCGGCGACGCATGGCGACGCGGTCGCCGCATCGCCTGTTGAATTGCCACGAGGTCTTCCAAGATTGTCTCACTGCATGTGGCAAGCTTACAATTTAACAAAGCATTTAATCAATGGTCATTTCATAGGCCCATAGGCCCTCAAAACTAGGCCTTACATTGTGGCAGGTAGCTCCAATTTAGCTGAAATGGCCCCTGATCTTTTTTTTGCATCAGCCTATGAAAATCGAAAGGGACAGAGATCTTCACCCATGTTCCGGGCCTAAAGCTGTCCTGTGGAGGATCCTTCTTGGTCAGTGGAATCAGATCGCTTCGCAGCGATCACAGATGCTCCAGAACGTAATTCTGATGGTATCTGTATATGAGCTGATGTTAGTAATAGTAAACCATCAATATGACAAATACTGAAGGGAATTCTGTATATGAGCTGATGTTAATAATTGTAAACCATCAATATGACAAATACTGACGGGTTGACTTAAACGAATGCGAGGAAAGCTTCGCATTCGCATTCGCAAGAATAAACCAGCCATATGATGGTTTATACCATGGTTTATTCCATCCATTGATATCCATTTATGGTAAAATTGGAGATGGTGGATCCTATTTTCTGTACTACCGTAACGTGCAGCATCAGCCGCAGCAACTTCTTCAGCCGGAAAGACCACGAGGAGTCACCGAGAGTTGGGTGAAGAAATTTCTTCCAAGAGGCGAATTCCATGCAGGAAAATGGAACTTGGAAAATTCACAGGGGCCCTGTGGAAAATTTTGGGAAAAGATCAAGTTATGCAAAAAGATCACGCAAAAAGCTATCGTCTTCCCAGAAAAAGATAAAAAAAAGATCAAGTGATGCAAAAATATACTCAAACTGACTCCAGTTTCATCGCCTTGAATCTCTATGGGATCAACTGCTGCCATGGCCCATGTCTAGTCGTGGCCGCATTTAAAACGCCGTAAAAAATCCGGCTCCTTGGCGTCATGGCATTAACTCTTCCAGGCTGTCCTGATGGCTGGTTGAACATGATACCACCGGCCTATACCATGGACCGTAACTATGTACAAGTTTTAGATAACTTTTACATCCTATCATATATTGTACATTACTATACTCAACTGGAATATATATATATAATGCTTATATAAGTTTATTTACACATACGTATATATATATATATAAATACATACAACTATATATAAACATATTTTTAAAAAAATAGATAAATATTATAACTATAGTTTCTTACATATTGCGGGCAATAAAAACAAGCGGTCATGCAGGCAGCCAATATTTGAATCAGTGGAAAGCCGTGGAAATGCCGCAGCCTACCCTCTTCAACTGGCCCAACTAAAGGGGAGAATAATTCTGGGTGCAGTTCCACTAGTAACTGGATCTTAGAAAAGTCGTTGCAGGATGTTGCAGGGATGATATCCCAAAAAATTGCACCCAAGTACACATAATATCACATAATATATTCATAATCAAACTTCAAATATCTGAAAAATCTTCCAATGAGATCCAATCAGATGCAACTTTTTCACTTCAAATCTTCCGAAGAATCTTCCGATGCCAAGAGGCATAAAGCTCGTTGACACGTTTCTCGATGGCCTTGGGGTACTTCTTCCGACCCCCGTGCTTTGCGACATCGAGCTCCTGGCAGAAAGACGCCCGAACAGCAAAGTCGAACTAACCACCGACAGCGAAGCCCATCAAAAAACGTTTCTCTTTAAGAACATGGGGAAAATCTGGGGAAACTATGGGAAAAAAACTCTATTTTCATAGGGATGTAAAGGGAGAAATTCTGTAGGTTAGACTTCTGCAGACTTTGATCATGGATTTTGTTCCAAATCCAACAATTCACCATGCCGGAATGTGGCGCTTCTGCTGCTGCTCAGAATCTTCTGAAAAAAAAACCATTTCCTCGACAGACATCATTTTTCTTTGGAGGATTAAGCACTACCCTAGCTATGGAAAATCACCATTTTAACAGGGAAATCATCTAGAAATGGTCCATTTTTCATCGCTATGTTAGTTTGCTGGTATTTCGTTGCCACGTTATGCCACCAAAAAGAGGAAAAAACAAAATGCTGGGATGTTCAGAACCAAATCGAAATCTATCCAATGCAGCGCAAGAGGGCGCCAGACTCGGAAAGCCTGACTGAAAATCCCGATAGAAAAGCAAGAAATCTTTCTGAAATACTTCATATGGAAACCCAAAAGTATGGAAATCCAGAAAAGTGGGATATTCATAGTGATTTAATAGCCATTATAGTGGGATTATAGTAAAGATATGGAAATCCTGACTGATTTTGTCGATCTTTCTGGGGTTGACTTCAATTCTTGCCGAAGGCCTCCCATGTCAAACCATGATATCTTAAACCATGTATTAAGTAACCATAAACCATGAGAAAATCCCATTTAAATATATTTAAATTCATTAAGATTCCATTAACTCCCCACATTAACCATCCATAAAATCCCTACTACGCCATAAATCTCTACTAACTGCTCGGTTTTCCCATGAAGCACCATTACAACTATGTATAAATCCCTTTAAATCCCATATAGATTCCCTTAAATCCCATGAAGATCCATTGAAATCCCATTAAAATCCCATTATGTAATACCCCATTAAAATCCCATTAAATTAAAATCCCACTAAACCCCCTTAAATCCCATTAAAATCCCACTAACCCCCCTTAAATTCCCATCTGTTGGTCTTCCTTCGTGTCAACACCGCCGCCCCTCCCCGCCGCACCTCCCCGAAGTTCAAGGCCACGGCTGCGCGCTGCGCGCTGCGCGACTCGCCCACGGAAGCCTTGGCATCCTCGGGGGGTGGCACCAACCTGGCCGAGGATAGTTATCGCCTATGGGATTTTAATAGTCATAGGCGATAACTATCATTAATAGTGGGAGATTTATAGTGATATGGCTATGATATGTGGTTTAATAGTGATTATTAATAGTGACTTAATAGCCATTATTAGTGAGATTTAATGGTGGGATTATTAATTTGGGATATTTATAGTGATTTAATAGCCATTATTTAATATGGGATATCAATGGATATCAATAGCTATGGGATATTTTAAAACCTATAAATGGAATTGTAGGCATTTGGGAACGGTAATGGTGGCCAGTCGCAGTTGCAAAGTCAACCCCAAATCAGTCGCACACGATGCCATCATGGTGAAGGTAGGACATCTGACAAGGTCAGTGACAAAATCAACCATGATGCCACAACCATTCCGCGGATTTATTGGTGAAATTCCTGTTTTGTGGCTTCTAGGGGCAGCCACTTATGCCATTCTCATCGCGAGCCATACCAAATACCACAGTCCAACTGAAGACAGCAGCTGACCTCTGGGGCGCACGCAGTTACTGCCGTTGCTTAACATCAATTACATATGGGTCAAATTGCCTGGACAACGTTTTCATCCAAGTTTTTGTCAAAGTTTCGTATCAATGTGTTCACCAGCTCATCCTATCCCATAGGACCATAGGATCCGTTAAACGGTGCTGCTAGAAAAATGGTAACATTTATCATGGATCCCATCAATATACCCCAGTCATGTTAGCATATATACCATAATTACATGGATCCGTCATGGCTTATGATATGGTTATATATATATATATGGGTTTTCATGATAGTATAAGCCATTTTAAAATGGATAGTACTTATAGTACCATGGTATTATACTATATATATAATTATTATATGGTAGTATATGATAGCACCATGGATCCTATGGCTATTGATACACCAATTTAGCCACGTGCCTGTGGGTCCACATCGCCAAGGGCATAAAATGCGTCTTTGGCCCATCCCCACGTGCTGCCTCGGCGCCCCTTAACTTGGAGCATCAAATTGCCAAACACCGTAGAAATACCATAGAAATACCATAGAAATACCATAGAAATACCATAGAAAGCCACAATTTGTGTGGGGGACTTTGTTGTTGGCCTGATGCTTTGACATGTTTGCATGAGATTGAAAGGGTCAACGCACAAATATCCCAGGTCCTGGGTGGAAAAATCTGCCAAGATCTCCCAATGTCATGCAATGTTTATCTCTCAATCGGGATGCTTAACATGTATCCCTGTTTCGTCAACATCTTGCGATCTAACAAGCATTGCTTTGGTTGTGTGTTTGGCCACAACTCATCACAGGCATCCCATTACATTCACCCCGAATTGATCTCGGATGCCCCGATAACCAAAAGAACAGGTCCCCCCCCAAAAAAGATAGAAACATATAGAAACCAGATTCCAAATCCCAAAGATGTCGAGATGATGTTTAAGCTTTGCATTCTATCCAAAACTTCGGGTTGCCCCTCACCCTTCACATCCCTTCACCCATCCCTCCATGTGGCCACGATTGGCCGTGCCCGTGCCATGGCTGCCACGCACCGTGCCTTCTGCGCCAAGAGCAGGAAGAGACCCACTGAGGATTCATCGAACTTGGCGGGCGCGAAACGTGAAGTCGCTTCCAACCTGAATGGTGATGCCCACGATCTTGGAGAATCCCCGAACTAATCAACCAACAGATGTTTAGCAGCCACTGCTCAAATGGCTGGGGTTTTAAATGGTTTTTAAATGGTTTTAAAAGGTTTTAATGGGACGTACCCAATAATTACAATAATACTTACTTGACCTTAAACCCAATGATTGATCTTGATCTAACCACACTTTGAAGGATAACCAATGTGGTAAACCCAATGTCATAAACCTTCCCCAATACCAAAGAAATGGGATTCGAAACCCTCCAAAGTTGGAGCTTTATTGGAATTACCACGGTTTACCGTCAATTCTCCCGTTCTTTTGGGCCCATTTTGAGCCGGTCCCCAGCATAGCAGGGCCTGCGATCTCTGCCACCCGAAGGTGCCACCCAGAAAATGTGACCTGACAGGTTCGATGGATCGACGGAGCGACTGGCATCTGATCGACTCGCGTCGTAAAGTGAGAGTGAATTGAATTAATGATGGTTAATGATGGTTAATGATGGTTATTAACCCCTCTGAAAAACTGATGATTAATGGTTAACTGATTGGTGGTTGACCTACCCCTCTGAAAAATGATGGAGTGAAAGTCAGTTGGGATTATGAAATTCCCAATATATGGAAAATAAATTTCCATGGTTCCAAACCACCAACCATCCACCCTTGTCATTTCTTGAACATACAGAATGAACATGTCGAAATGTAACGTTCATAAACAATCATCAACACATGTTCATAGCTGTAAAATGTTGTAAAGTTCATGAACACGAGTCCGAGTTTATGTCTGTTTAATTCAATTCACTCCTTGAAAATGCCAAACAGTGTCTATTCATGTCTACTCCATGTTTGTTTGGCCAGGTATAGCCTGAGTGAATCAGAGCCCCTAACCCATTTCAGCATGCTGAATGGTTATCGAAATCATGCTTAAATGGCATCTCTTTCTTGCTTCAAAACCGCAAAAATCAACGACACAGATCAGATTCTTGCTGGCCAAACCTGGAAAATTTCATGGCTTCAACCAAGGCATGAGATCTGGAAAATCTTCCAGCAGTTCCATGACTTTTCCAGCCATTGCCATGGCCATGACACCTCCTTCTTTCATGAGACGTTGCATCTCCGTGACTGTCCTTGGTTTGCTTCCGACAAAGAGACCCGGAGATATCTGCCCCAACAAAATATGGCAAAAATATGAACCTACTGTGGATGGGCCAGCGAAATCCTGCACCACCAAAAGGATGGTTGCAACCCTATAATGGGATAAACCATGAACTGGCGCAGGATTTCGCAACCATCCACAGTATCTCAAGAAATCGTGGGAAAACTAAGAGCTTGGGATCTTCACTTGTGAATGGCCATGATGAGGATCCAGAACTATCTGGGTTGTTGGCATGGAGATTCCTCAAAAAAATGGATACCTAATGGATACCTAATTGAAAGTAGTGAAACATTTTACGATATTTTGGTGATTCTTTGAAACCAAGTTTTTTATGGTTACTAAAGTCAACTGCATCGTTTCTACCTTCTGACCTCGGCGCCAACATGTTCCAGCTCCACGGTCCTACCTTGATTGAGGCTTATAAATCTGCCCATCTTCTCCACAGTGCATGTTTGGAAGAAGATGCTTTGATATACTAGACACATCAAAAATCATCAAAACACATGCCTAAGCAGATCCAAACACAGATTCCTAACCCGCAAGGTCGCATTTTTCAGGATCTGGACATCTGGACCCTTGGAATCCCCAAGGGATTTTGCCAAATCCCAGCTTTTTCGCCAGGCGTCTTCTTGTTTCTGTCCGCCTTGGCTTCTTGCTCTTCTTCACTACCTGCTCAGCATAGCTCAGCAGATCAGCTCAGACCTCTGGAGGATATGCAGGTAATGGTGGATATCAATGCTCCACTATGCCCCTGGACACATCCCACCTTCATCCAAGTACTTCTTGGAGTAGATCGATAGCAAGTATCGCCCTTTACCTCGGCGAGCCGAGGCTAAGGCTAAGGCCTGTAAGATATGCAGCAACACAACTGATTGTTGACGGCCGAACATGTGGCCTACAGTATTTAAAGCATGTTTTTTGGGATTCCAAGGTGCCTATCTAAGTTAATTATGACATGTCATGACAATAAAGATCAGAATCAGCATTCATCATCAACACTTTAGGACTGTTGAAGACTCCCAGAAACGCCGAAAATACCCTCTGGTAAACTAACGTAACTATGGAAAGATCCACCATTTTATAGCTGGGTAAATCCACTATTTCTATGGCCATTTTCAATAGCTACGTTAGTCATTACCAGAGGGTAACTGAAATATAGAGGCATAGAGGATTATAGAGGTATAATTTAAACATATCTATAAATAAATGAACATGATCTTGGCAGCCGGTCGCTGCCTTTTTCCACCAAGAGACTGAAGGGAATGGCTAAGCGATCAGTGGTGACCTGCTACCAGGCGCTTGGAAGTCATGGAGAGATTGATGACAGATGATGACAGAATACCTACTGTGGGTAAAACAATGTCATAAACCTCCCATATATTGGTATGTTTTTAAATATACCACTGGACCACCTATTTTTTCTGGGGGACAGTTTATATGGCATTGTTTTACCCACATTAATATCATTAATATCCATGTTGCCATTAATATCCATTAATATCCAGTGGTGAATGGGATTTTTCTGGGATTGACTAACCACTCGTAACAATGGCATTGTGTTACCCACATGATAGGATTTCTATGGATTTCTGGATTTCTTCATATGAAAGAAACTCACAAAGAAAGTATTGATGATCCCGTCCCATGTGGGCTCAGCCCACTGGTTATGATCATTTCACATCTCAACTCTTGTATATGGTGATTCTACTATAAAACCATAGGAAAATGGTGATTTAACTACTATAAATGGTGAATTTATGGTGGTTTAGTGGTGATCTAATGGGATTTACCCTCTGGTAATGACTAACAGTAATCCATATGGATCCCTATGGTGATTTTCCATAGGTTTAAGAATGGGTTAACAATGGTGAATCATGGGATGATATGGGATTTACCCTCTGGTAATGACTAACAGTTTGCGACATAGAAAATGGCCATAGAAACGTCGTGAGTTTTGCCATTAATAGCATGGTGATTTTCCATAGTTATGTAATTATATGTTTACCAGAGGGCCAGAGGGTATTTAAAAAGAAACTTGGAGCTCCCATTCCGCAACTGCCTTGTGTCCTGCCACAAAAATGCATTTCTCTGCAAGCTCTTCGTAGCCTTCCCGCTGCAGCAGCAAACTCAACACCTGTGCTGGGCGCCGTGGGACCTGTGGGAACACCAGAATAATTATCATAGACATTCTGGTGCCCCCAATAAATTCGGACATTTTCTGGTTGGTGGTTTTTCGCCACCCCGCTGAAAAATGATGGAGTTCGTCAATGGGAAGGATGACATCCCATATATGGAAAATAAAAGCCATGTTCCAGTCACCACCAATCAGTTTTATGATGTGCATCCCCCAAAATCTGGTGCAATCCCTACCTTTTTTTTCCAACGCTGAACGAGAATAGCGGACTTGAACCACCTGCTAAACCCTGCGCACCAAAAACCTCTGACTGAAATCAGGTTATGTTGATCTGTTCGGAGGTCGTTATAACCCCTACTAACCATCATTCCAGTGATGTCGCGCCGTGAGGTCGTTATGATATGTTATGATTATTCAGAAATATATTGAACATCATTAGGGATTATATACATAGAGGCTTATATGGGATGATTATACCATGATATACACTTACATTACTGAATGGCATGAAAACAAGCGGATGTTTTTTCCCCCTCCCTGGGTGACTTAGACAGGCCATCCTGTGAGTTGGAACTACCCTACTCAACTCATGCCATTGACAAATCATAAACTGCGCTTGGAACAAATATGAAGAAAATATGAAGAAAATCCACATAAAGTAAAACCGATATTTTAGCACCACACTTTTCTCACATCTTTTATTCCCCATGATCCATCCCAACCATCCCAAGCATCCCAAGCATCCCAACCATCCTCTCCACTCTCCAGTCTGCACCTGTGGATCCGCTTCGGTCTGGTGATTGGCCATCAAGACCACGTTCTCGCCCTTCCCCAGGATCTCCTTGATGCGTTGCACATTTTCTAAGCCCTGGCGCCAATATGGAGCCGATGGAGGTGGGCCCATGGCTTTTTGGATGGTTGGGAGGGGGAGGGAAGAGGATGGAAGAGGCAAAGTGACTATATGTTCACTATAGACTATACTATAAATGTTTTTTGGAGTTGTTTAAACACGACATATGTTTGGATGTTTTTGCAGATTCTTCCCGTCTATTATGCCTGGAATTGAAGCAGTCGTCGCATTTTTTCTGGATTCAGCTGAATCATTTGAGGTGGATGCTGGGAACCGCACCGGTTTTGGTTTTTGCAGAGTTCGCCTGTGGGGGGCTAGACTGCCGTTCTGTCTAAAGGCAACCAGGCAACCCTTCCAAAATAACGCATCAATTTCCAAACAACGGAATGGTGTTGGGTCAAAACCCAACCCTGGTGAACCTCAAAGTAGCCGCTAGGTGCGGATGTTCCTCTGCCCAGTCATGATCCATCATGATCCAATATATAGCTATTCAATCCACACAATCTTTATACCTTTGCATCCCCCATTACACTCCCTGTTGCAAGGACCCTAGGAGTATGAGGGGATGTTTTATCCAGTTTAACCATGTTGATCGTGCACCATATATATATATATAACTATATATCACTCCCTGATCTATCCCAATTTCAACCCCAGAATTAAAATCTAATGATATACGAATTTCATCCCCATCATACCTCCATTTTTTCCATCAATAAACCACACAAATTCTGGCTCCTCTGGTGATCAACCATGGCCTGTCCGAAAATACGACCATTTCGGGGATGTCCCAGCTCGTCATGTTTGATTACCCAAAAATACCTCCATGAATGGCAACATCTCCAGTAAACCAATATAACCAGGAAATATCTCCAATAAGCCCCGTACTCCTGGTGTATCCTGGTAAGTCCTGGTATCCCAGGTTGCTGCACCGCTGCAGCGCTGCACCTCCACTCGAGCATGGCGCCATTTGATCATGGAACGAAAGAAGTCGTTGCCCCAGGCGTAGAAGTCCAACTCGGGGCCTGGCAGTTGGGGAAAATTCGCCAACCACTTCTGGGTGGGTCCCTATGAAGCATGGCTATCCGCGAAAAAAATGGTGGATTTGGATTTCCATATAGAATACCGATGGAAAATGCTGATGTTGAAAGATATTGAACAAACTCTACACTTGAGTCTTGAGTAGTAATTTTTAGGAGGATTCCACGTATCATCTATGGAATCTATGGTGACTTCGTTGTGAGGTCGCTGAAAAAAAGCCCACCATCCCCAATGCTCCCAGGATACACAGCTGGGATGTGTTTCAAGGGAACTTGTAGAATGAGGAAAAAATCAAACTGGTGTCATAATAGGGTGAGGAAAAAAAGGATCATATAACATATATATATATATGCATATATATATGCATATATATATATGTATATATATATATATATGTATTAATATCATTATTGTTATTATATATTCATATATCATACATTTACATTTATCGTATCTACGGAGCCAATGCATTACCAAACATCGCCGAGAAAAGAAAGCACTTCAGCGTTAGAAAGACACCCACTTCGCCGTGAACGGACCTCGAATGGCTTGATGGTAGGGCTGGAAATCGTAGGGCTTCTCAGTGAAGATGGAATCCAAAAGCAAGGACAAGGTGGTGTTCCTTAGAGCAGTGTGAATGAAAGAAATCCCAACCTATCATTCCATGGAAAATCCTGGTTTTTAGAACGGGATTCCCCGGACTCTTGGATGATTGTAATCCCCAATATATGAAGCTGGTTGGTGGTTTTTCGCCACCCCTCTGAAAAATATGACTTCGTCAGTTGGGATTATGACATTCCCAATATATGGAAAGTCATATAAAATTCCATGGTTCCAAACCACCAACCAGATATCCATTAGCTCATTAATATCCATTAATCCATTAATATCCCAATGGATGGAAAAATAAAATTCATGTTCCAAAACCACCAAACAGGAAGGGGTTGGGGTGGATCGCAGCCACTGCGATGGTGAACTTTATACAGTCCAGGGATCTGGGTGGGTACCTGACCAGTGACGGGAGCTGCCTCCCAGAAAAAGTGATGTCCTGCAGAATCAGTTCAAGAATGTGGCATGTATGTGCGTAAATGTATAATATAATTATATATTCATATATCATACAGATAATCACAACCACCCACCTCTTAGTTGTTTGAAGTTGTGAAAAACCCTCCAACTCCTAAAGATCCACAACTTGGTATGACGGCGCTCTGAACTGCAGGTTAACACACATTGAAAACATTTAAAACATGTTGGAACACATTAAAACATATCAGTTATTGAAACATGTAAAGAAGAATTATCAAGACGTATAGACTAGAGACCTCCAAACCATAATAGATCTATCAGCTCCAAGGCGCAAGAGGTTTCGGTACTGGTGCACCGGCGTGCGGGCAATGACATGACTCCTGGTCGGGTGGAAGGTCTTCACCAAAAAGAACGAAGCACTGCCATGTCTGGTGTGAAATAGGCCTTTTGATGATGTTGAGTTTGAGGTTGATGTTGAGGTTGAGGTTGAGGTTGATGATGATGATGATGATGATGAAGATGATGAAGATGATGAAGATGATGAAGATGATGATGAATGATGATGGAGGACTTGTCTGGACATATATATTAATCATACATGTTCAGCTCCTCATGTAGCCAGGCAGAAAGGATTTCAAGGTCGATGTGGAGCCAGAGCCACTCCTGGGCCCGGCGAATTCATCGTTTTTTTGTGATGGAAATTGGCCAAAGAAAAGTCCATGGACTTGGAGAAAAACAAAAAAAAACGATGGAGAAACTTAAGGTATTTTAAGGGACTGATTTATTATACCAATACATCTGATGCTAATGAGAATCACTTCATACTCAAGAATTACATTCAACATCTCAAAACCAACTAATTATCGTTGACCGCAGAAAAGATCGAAGAACTTCATAAGTTGCCACTATTTAATAGTTTGGTTTGGTTTTTACTCACTTCTACTATCTATCAAACTATTGGGCTTGCTCCAACTCAAAAATGACCTACAGGATGGTTCATGTTTGTTCGTTTATAAACCCCATGAATTTAATTACTGCAGCTATATACATCTAGCATAAACCATAGTCTACCCTCTGGTAAACGTTTACATAACTATGGAAAATCACCATTTTTAATGGGAAAACTCACTATAAATCACCATTTTTCCTGGGAAAACTCCATATTGAGGGTAATTCAGTCACAGCCATATCTCGACGCTGAAGCAGGCCCCATCCGGTAGCCATCCGGCACCTGGAGCTGTGCTTCGAGAGCTCTTTCGCCTTCACCTTGGCATCCTCCGCCAACTCCTTCGGCGGTGACTCAACAGGGGGGTTGGGAAAACCAACAACGGGGAAAACCATCAGCTGATTGGATCTTATTGAATATGTTTGCTGGTTATTGCTGGTTGGTGGTCTTAACATGTTTTAAGTTTTAACCATCTTGGAAAATGATGGAGTTAGTCAATGGGTTTCGGATGACATCCCATATATGAAATGGGAAATAAAAATTCATGTTTGAAACCACCAACCAGGATCTTATTGGAGATGTTTGGCAAATTATGATTCATACAAATGAACGATGAACATACTAGTGATATTTTTTGGGGGGTGGTATACAGTATTAGTAGCGTCTTATCGTCTTCAATTTACATGAGTATGTCATGATATGACCACCAAAACCTTATTGGGCAAAATCTCAAAATCCCAAGAAGATGTTCAAAAGAGCGACAGCCCTTGGAGTTTTCTAGGAAAAATAGACCCTCGAAAACAACGACGAAGGCCTCAAGAAAGCTTTTTGAATGTTTCGGATGCGGATCTATCCCCGTGATATCGCCATACTTACTAAACCGTCCTTGGTGATGGAGGCAATGCGCACGAAACGGTAAGGTGCCGTGACCAAAGCGCCTAAATTGCCCACCTCAGCTGGGTGTGACTTGGGGATGATGGGCTTGATGATTGGGGTAAAACCCATTACGACACATCAGAAGCTGCCAAGGCACGAAGAAACCTGCAGGTTCTGAACCGAAGATTAAAGAAAAATAAAGCAAATCTTCCATGACAAATCTTGCTTCATCCAAGTGACTAACTAGATCTAACTAGCAATTTCTTGGCTTCTCCAACTTCTGGGCTCGTTCAGAACCTGTGTTTTTCAACACAGCAAAATCATCCGCTCCAGGCTCAGCAAATCCTGCCAAGCTGCAAAGTTGAATGCATTCTGCGACAAGAGGGCCAAAAGGAGCACCAGGAACAGCCTATCCCGGGTCCGTTCAGTGCTGAGCAACTGAGCATGCTCGTATCCCTGATTTAGATGGCAGTTGAAACCACGAGCCCCATTTCGTGGTTTCAAATACACGCACACACACACACACACAAACACACACACATATATATATATATATACATGTATATATACGTATATATATATATATTTGTGTGTGTATGTATATGGATATAGATATATATATATATATATATCCGTGTGTGTATGTTTATATATATATATTATATATATTATATATATATATATCCGTGTGTGTATGTTTATATATATATATATTATATGCGTGTCTGTGTGTTGTATAGCCATTTGTGCTGCTTGATTCAATCGTGGCGACTCATGAACTCGTTTTGCTGCTGCAATTTCTTGGGGGTTCATGCGGAATCCAATTTTTGCCTTCCTTTCCCCATGGCTGATGCGCAGGCGGAATGTATTGTCAACTGGATATTCCACTGGTTGATGCTCGATATTTCAATGCCAATCATTCACCAATTCATATTGATTCATGTTGATTCAGTAGCAAGCTTACCCCATGCCAGCATTGGAAGGGCATGTCATCATTTGGCCACCTTTATTCGGCGTGTTTTTCCTTGGCATTCCTTGCTGGCCATGGGTGCATCGAGATGCATCTTGAGCCGATGGTCAAAGCATGTCAACAGCAAGGTGTTTGAAAACATGGAAAGCTCAAACATGTCCGAAGTGTCTGTTCAATGGTTCTAAGGGGATATACATCCAATTTCTATGGCTAACAATATCTGGTTGGTGGTTTTTCGCCACCCCTCTGTAAAAATCTATAAACATCATGGAGTGAGTTCGTCAGTTGGGATGTTATTCCATTCCCTTCTTCCCAATATGGAAAATGGCCCATAGAAATAGATGATTTTCCCAGCTATAACCTCCATGTATGCTTGGGATTTTCCAATTCTGGGTGGTTTGGTTGTTAAAGTCACCAACCAGTAACATGGTACCTGGATGTACCTAGGGATGCTTCGGAAGGGAAACCAATAGGAATAGTTGGGATTATTGGAATATAACTAGTTGGGATAAATAACTAATCCAACTATTTGGAATAAACCTTGGAATACAAAAACATGCTTAAGACTTTGTTGGGATTTTTTTGTTTTTTTGTATAACATCAAAAGATACCAGTTATTCATGATTGTACATATATATATATTGGGATAGTAATTGTGGCACTGATCGCCACAAAAAAACACTTCATGCCACCGCAAGTCTCAAGGCACCGGGCCTTGCCTAAAACATGGGAATGTTGAACATTAGGTGGATGGGATTCTTGATTGCAGCATACTGTGTATATAAATAGATATAGATGTAGATGTAGATCTATACAATTAGCATATCTATATACATATATATATATATAATTAGCTATATTAATCATTAAATAGATATAATTAGCTATGTAATGTGATCTCTCTATTTGTCTATCCATCCACCAACTTTTGTTATCGACGTGTTCGATCTTCACAGCGGTTTCACCCGGGCCTTGCAAGGTGGTGCCCCAGTAATACCAGTGAGAAATAAATATGTCTATTGACAAAACTACATATGAATAGAAATAAAATGAAATAAACATATTTATTAGACACTACTAAAATATGAATTGATACAAATATCTATATACTACTGTTTGTTGACATCTATCGACTAAGAAATATAAGAAATGATAGTAATGTAAATATATATCTAATTACAAAATGAACCCAACAGTTCTTGGAGTTATGTTTACCAACCAGATCCAACACGTTCACGTTCCCGGTACTGCAATGACTAGCGACTTTTTAGCGATCCAGGTGCAGTACTCCGATTGAAAACATACGCTGCACCGCGAGTAGGTGCGCCTTTTGCTTGGGATGCGGGTAACCAGAAAAAATGGCAGTGAAAAAAACGTTTCCAACTCGGTAAAACAATGGGTAAATCATGGGTAAATCATGGGTAAATGGGTAAATCTGCCTCATTGGGAAGTTTCCATTGCTATGTTTGATGACCCAGAGAGGGGAAAAAAACATGTTACATCTCATCACGCCAAGGTCTCGGCCCCATGATGATTTATCAATGTTTCAATCAACGAACCCAAGCGGCTTGGCACCGCAAAAGGTGACTTCAAGGTGACTTCAAAATGTGTTTTTAGCGATCAAAAGTCGATAGAAGATGATAGAGTCGTAGGACCAGCTCATACTTTGATGCGCTGGAGACCGCAAAAACCACGGGATTCCCTTGGGGATTCCAGCCGGGCTGCCCGGCAAATCATGAAATCTGCCATGAGTCGATATATGTCGATATTGAATGAGTGTTTCAAGTCATCCCAAGATCAAAAAATGAAGTAATTTGGATCAAACCTGTCCACCCCCCCCAAAAAAATATTGCAGTTCTGTTTCAACATACCCTCTGGTAAACTAACATAACTATGGACAATCACCATTTTTCATGGGAAAATCCACTATAAATGGCCATTTTCAATAGCTATGTTAGTCATTACCAGAGGGTATATGAATCAATAAAAGTGTTGGCTTCTGAGGCGAAAAAGGCCCTGTTTCCAGCTGGCGTCAGCCCTTCACTACGGCAACCCAGCCGAGGCGTCCAATCACTTTCCTCAATGGATATTACTGTTGTTTTGTTGCAGGTGCCTAACATAGCGAAATGGAAAATCACCATTGTTAATGGGTAAATCCACTATAAATGGCCATTTTCAATAGCAAACTGTTACTTTACCAGAAGGTAAGGGCTATGGTTTTTGCATGATGTTTTTTTCAATGATCAATTTTGGGAAAACCATGGAAATAGGATATCGCCATCTCCAGGAGTCTAGCCAAAAGCTAAAGGCGAGCCAAGCCCAGTGACAAGAAGGAGCAGGAAATAGGATATCCCCTTGATGGTTTTTGGATGCTGTTGAGCGGTTTTCCCTTTTATATTAGCGTGTACCTACCATATAGAAGGCCTACGTTATGCCTATTGTTTTTCATGGTTTTCCTACCGGAAAAGCAAAATCATGCGTAAACCCTGCCAGAAACCTACCATTTGGGGATAGTTTATACCGTATACCACCAATTTAGATTCTGATGACTTGCGGGGTATTTTATTATTGAGTTTACCACATTACTCAAGAAACCTCCCAATCTCCAACCAATTTCAAGCAGCAATTTTCTTGGCTTCAGATCCTTCAATTCCGAATACCCTCTGAATTTAACACAACTATAGAAATTCACCCTTCTTAATTGGTGAATCATCGAACTACATGGACAATGTTCATCAATTTTCCATGGCCAATGTTAAATTGTCAAAGGGTATTCCCAACGAAATTACTGTTTTTCTGGTACCCTCTGGTAATGACTAACATAGCTATTGAAAATGGCCATTTATAGTGAGTTTTCCCATTAAAAATTGAGATTTTCCATAGCAAACTGTTAATTCACCAGAGGGTAATTTAACCATACCCTCTGGTATTTCATGAATTGAATCCTCAAGGTAGGTCCAATCCCATTAAAAAAAAAACCTGTTATATTCCCAGTGTCTCCCTATAATGATAATTTTATCCAGTATCCCATATAGATATAGAGGGATATCCCATAATATATCATATATCCGATATCCCTATATGATGTTTCCCTATAGGTATGCCCGCTATATCAATGGCCATTTCAGGAACCTAAATTGGAGGTACCTACCATATATAAGGCCTATGTAAGGGAATATCACCACAAAATATGGTCTTATATGGTACAGTACCTCCATTTTAGGATCCTGAAATTCCCATTGAGTATATATCCCATGAATAAGAACTTGTCTATAGTCCATATCCTCCTAATCAACCCTCAGTTGAGCAATTTTGAATGGTCTTTGTGGCCCATTATCATGGTCTAACCCATGAATATCATGAATAGTTTTATCACCTTACATCATCCTAGACGCGCTACATGTTGTTTTTTTAATAAAGTAGGGTTTGATCCAACTGTGCTTATAACCATATTGATCCATATGATAACCTTTTTGGACAGTTATAACATGTTATAACCCACTTACTGAGTGGGATGAACATGGATGAACCACCAAGTTTCATCAACCCGTGGGCCCATGACTTCACTGCGCAGCGGCTTCGCCCCCACTGGGCCCATGACTTCGCAGCCCGCGCGATGCACGCTGCACGTGCTAGGGCCGACCTTGGAACCAAGGTCGGCAGGATGATGATGGACCTCTACTATTCAAGTTGTATCATATATAGATAGATCCTATTTATATATGTATATAGATAGATAGATGTGTGTGTGTTAAACGTACATAGTAAAATTTGTATATATATATATATGTATGTATGTATGTATATGTACGTGTATATATATAATATGATGTAACTATTCATATTATAAATGATGACAATGGAGGTCTATTGAAATTAAGATAGATTGTGAACATGTGTAGTCTCATTATCTGTTAACATCTCTGTTAAGGTCTCGGTAAGTTTAATGGTGAATCAATCCGCACTTGTTGGTCCGTTCCCACTTGGTCAGTTCATCAGTTCATCTGCTGGCAACTGAGCTATACCCATCCCCAACATATCCCAACTATACCCAACATCCAACATCTGGCACGGAAACATGCTTTTTTTAACCGAGGAGCTTCTGCAAATGGTCAGTTGGAGATCTGAATCTTCACGACATTTCTTCGCCATGAGGTCTGCATTGCCCTGATCATCCAGGGGGATGGAAACATCTGGAGAACCTGGAGATCCTGGAGATCCTAGAAATACAACTGGCCCTGAAAAACATCGAAAAACCATGGGAAAAACACATCGAAATGATCGAAAATGGATGAAAACAGTTGAAAAACACATCGAAAATGGATGAAAGTCATGAACATCTTCTGGGAGGGTCAATCTTTGACCATCTGTAACCTATGTCCTATGCCATACCAGTAGCAGAAACAACCAAAAAGAGCTCGCTGTTTGAGGCCTTCTGTCAGTGATGAAAATAGCACTCAAATTTCACCAGCTGAACAACAAAAATAAGCTGCGATATCATTTTGTTTATGAACTACCCCATGTTCATGTTTCACCATGGCTAACCACAGGTATCCTCTCAATTTGTTCATCTACTTATTCTGCACTATGTATCTATATGCACGTATCAGTATCTCCATTTATTTTCAAAAAGTATGGCAAAAAAATCGAACAAAGTTATACATAGTAGCCATCCGAAGTTGATTCAGACATAATCCCCATCATATCACCATTAATATTAATGTGGGCAAAAACAATGCCATAAACCATCCCCCAGTCATCACCATAAATAGATATAAATAGGTTGTATGTTACATTGTATGTTTACCATTCCCAAATGGGTCTATTATTGTTCTACCACCTTTATATTCCTATCACATCCCAGTCGTCTCCGACGGTATCCGATCGCGGAAACGTTTCCGCGTTTCCGCCTCGACTCCGTTCACCTTGACGATGCGGTCGTGCTTTTGGACCTGTTGTTGTGGAGTGGTGGATCTCCTAAAAATGCCAACTGGGGAAACGGTAATTGCATGGGGAAATTAATGGATTTTGTATGATTTTGTCTATGGGACATTTATGAGAAATTGATGAGATTTAACTCGAATCTATGGTGATTGTCTGGTGGTGTTTATGGTGATTAATGAGATTTTGTGGGATATTGATGGAAATTTCATGGGATTGGGAATCTATGGGGATACCATGGAGGCTTAAGCGACGAAAATGGTTGGTTGAGTGAACCAGTCAGGGCCTCGGGGGTAGTGAAATCATAAGTTTCACAGGATTGGAGGTGCCCGCCCAATACCAAAGCAAAGCAAAAAGGAAGAGGGACTTCACCTAGAAGCTTTTGAGAAGAATAAAGCAGTTGGTTACATTGTTGGTTCAGTTGGCTAGGAATGGAAGGCATTCGGCCAACCCAAACACCATTGGCAGCGAGTGAGATGAACTGCTTGGCAAAACATGGAAGCTGAACCCAGGTCTTCCGGGAAATGGATGAGCATCATGGTGGCATTTTCAGTCAGGGTGATGCTGGTAGCAGGTCGTTTGATGCACAAAACATCCAATCTTGTCGCCATTCTCATCATCAGCATCATCATCATCATCATCATCATCATCATCCCCATCCCCATTTCATGTCGTCTAGGGCTGGAACATGGGAAAAATATGTGATCAATAGGAATTCCCATCATTAATCCATGATAATCCCATCATTCATCCATGATAAGCCATGATAATCCCCCACATATTGGGTAGATTTGGGTAGCAGAATCCCATAGGTTTTTTCCCAAACAAAATCCGGTTTTTTTCAACCATCTCCGGGTCCCCAGCCGCATGGCTGGGATTTCTCCGGTTCCACTCGGACAACACGCCCGTCTCTTGAACCTCGATGCAACGTGGGCCAAAAATCTCTGGGAAATGACGTGGTTGGATTCGTTGGGTTCGTTGGATTCCTGGCCCCAAATAGATCCTAAAATAGATCCTACCATATTCTGGTTCTATTTGGGCCCCTAACATAGATCCTAACTTGGTAAAGCTATCTGAAGTTCTTGGATCCAAACTAATCCAAACATCTTCTGGTGCGTTTTACGCAGGGAATTTTCGGGAATGATCCATTTCATCACTAGTAATTTCATCATCCCAGCAACCCCCAGTCCCATCCATTCCCTACGTAAAACGCACCAGTAAGTCAAACATGACTTTTCGATCCGCATCCACCAAAAAAGCCATAGACGTTTCGCCCTGGTGAAACGCCGAGATGTTCGACCCATCTTTGATGCGAGCTGCGGCTTGGACCAGCATGGCATTGCCCTCCAAGAGATCCACATCAATCCCCAAGGTGCTACTGGCAGACTTGACCTCGATGTGGTCGAAGTCACGCTGTCATGTCATTGGGCTTCACCCTATGCCATAATATATGTATATATATATGTATATATATATGTATGTATGTATATGAATAAATATGAAAAATATATATCTATCTGATCTATTCCAATCTCATCTTATCTTATCTAATCTATCTAATCTATCAAACTATCTATCTGTCTATCTGTCTATCTATCTATCTGTCTATCTATCTATCTGTCTATCTGTCTATCTATCTATCTGTCTATCTGTCTATCTATCCATCTATCCATCCTATCCATCCTATCCATCCTATCCATCCTATCCATCCTATCCATCTATCCATCTATCTATCCATCTATCCATCTATCCATCTATCCATCTATCCATCTATCTATCTACCAATAATCTACCTACCATTTGGGGATGGTTGATACTATGATAGCCATCTCTCTCGAGATTTTGGGGATGTTTTTGATGACGGCGCTCCAAAACATGGACGTCACGGCCTCAACTGGGTCCATTTGGGGCTCGGTCCAGGAAGATATCAAATTGCTGTTGGCACACCTGACGCGACTGAACACCGCGACGTTTCTTCTGCGACGTTGGCACAACGGCCCAACAAAACATGGTGTATCCTGCCAACCTCCATGAACAAATGTTTACCCCTTTTTTGGCATGGAAACGCTATACTCTGGTGGATTCTTATGGTTTATTGTTTCCACAAATTGGTTTATCGGATCCAAAAAAGACACCACTACCCACAGGATGGTGCCCCCCCAGTTATACGTTGGTTTCTAAATCCCACTAACTATACTTATATCAGTTATATCTACCCTCTGGTAATTTAACGTAGCTATTGAAAATTGCCATTAATAGTTGATTGTCCCATTAAAAATGGTGATTTTCCATAGCTATGTTAGTTTACCAGAGGGTACCATAAACCATACTTAAACCACAGCCATATCTCAACTGAACGCTGAGGGCCTCCCGATTCTCATCTCGCAGCAACAGATCGCCCTGCGGCGATCTGTAGCCATCACCGAAGCCCTGCACCCCGTCACGACGGCATGCCGACGGGTGAGGATTGCCCCAAATGAACAACGAGAAGTGTAACATACTATATGAAAAATGGCTATTTATTACAGATATTGATGTTCATGATGATAGTTGATGATAGTTGATGATAGTTGATGATAGTTGATGATAGTTGATGATAGTTAATAATAACTGGTTGTATAGCTCAATGGATTGGTTTAAGGGAAAATCTTAACCGGAAACCATAGATTTTCCCATCAAATATAGGGTTTTCCTGTTAAAATCATCATCCAATCCATTGAATAGCTGGTTGGTGGTTGACCTACCCCTCTGAAAAATGATGGAGTTCGTCAGTTGGGACCCTATTTTTTGGAAAAATAAAACATGTTACTGTATAGTTTAACCGTTCAACTATGGGTTTTTTTACATCATGAACATCAAAATCTCATTGTTAGAATGTATTGACTCTTATGGCATTAAAAAAAAACATGTTATCCCCGAAACTTGTTCCGAACTTTCCGCGTTGCCGGGGCAGGCCGCGGGGACCCCTGTTTTCCGCCGCGGCGTCTCGTTAAATCGTCGCCCTTTCCCCGCCACCTTGGGGGGGAAACCTCCGAGCCGCAAAACGACGATTGATGAACAAAAATGTGACGACTATGGATGATTCAATGTAATTCAATATGATCCTACTCATAGTTTCCACATGTTTCCACAACAGTTATGATGTGTGATGATTTATTGGTTCAGAGCTTCTCATGGTTTGTCTCAACAGCGTTTTCTCCCTCCGAAGTCTCAGTATGGTGACGATCGTATCTCCGCTGGCTTTGGGGTACCACACAGGCTACACCTGGAAAACGCTCAGCGAGAAAACAGTGAGGGATGGTCGTCAAGAAACAGAAAAAAAAATGGTAATGACTAACAGTTTGCTATTGAAAATGGCCCCAATCGAAATAGATAGTTTACCTATTAAAAATGGTGATTTTCCATGGCTATGATAAATAACCAGATGGTATTTTCTACCCTCTGGTAATGACTAACAGTTTGCTATTGAAAATGGTCATTCAGTTCGTGAATTTTCCCATGGAAAATGGTGATTTTCTATAGTTATGTAAATGTCTACCAGAGGGTAACCAAATTGTGGAATGCGTCAAGTTTTGTTGGGCACATCATTTTACCATATTTCAGCTATCACATGCTTGGGAAATTCAATTCCTAGCTCCAACTAGCTCATCATTCAGTAGGGAATATGGATTGCCTAATCGCTCCGAAGTCCCTCCACCACGGGATTAGCCTGGGAAAAGCAAAATATCTACACTCAATCTCCCATGTAATTTCATTGAGCTGAAATATTCTGAAATAACTTGTTTGGGGTGTCTTAATTTTTTGTTCCTAGAATTATTGTCAAAAAATAGCAATTTATGAGTTGCGAAGTCTGAGATCTTCGCTGAGAGTGCGTGCCCAGTTCGGTTTTTTTTACTCTTACTGAGTTGCACATCATGAAATGATCCACCTTACATGGTCCCAACAATTGGTTTCCCCAAACAACATCCCAATCGAATTGGTGGTTGACCTACCCCTCTGAAAAATGATGGAGTTCGTCAGTTGGGACCCTATTTTTTTGGAAAAATAAAACATGTTACTGTATAGTTTAACCGTTCAACTATGGGTTTTTTTACATCATGAACATCAAAATCTCATTGTTAGAATGTATTGACTCTTATGGCATTTAAAAAAAAAAACATGTTATCCCTGAAACTTGTTCAGAATTTGGTCATTTTCCAGAAGCCAATCCAATTTTTTTACCTACGGATTTTTCGTGGGAACTTCCCATCTGGATCAGCCAATCTTGCGATACAAAAACAAAAGGGGACTGGACCTGTGTGGCCCAATCCAATGGAAACTCTGGGCTCAGAAGGTTACCCGGCCTGGTAAACATACAAAAAAAACTATGGAAAGATCCACCATGCTATTAATGGGTTAATATAAATCATGGTAAATCAACTATTTCTATGGCCATTTTCTAGAGGATAAATCCCATATCATCCCATGATTCACCATTGTTAACCCATTGTTAAACAAATCACCATTTTCCTATGGTTTTATAGTAGAATCACCATAAAATCATCATTAAACCACCAAAAAATCGCCATAAAATCACCAATTTTCCGGAAACTCCCAAAGGGTTTTGACGACCGATCCAGGCTGAGCTGCGCGTTTTTGAAGGCAAAGACGAGGTCACCACATTGAGGGCAGGTCCAATCGCCTGCGACACGACTGGATGAACCAAGAGATGAATTAACAGTCGTCCAAATCATGTTAATTAATGTTAATCATTTTTAATTAATGTTAATTGTAAATGTTAATTATAAATGTTAATTATAATGTTAATTAATGTTCATTAATTAATGTTAATTAATGTTAATTAACATTGGTTTAAAACATCTAAAATGTGTTAATTAGAGTTTTAATGTTAGTTAATGTTATGGAGTAATATTAATGTCAAATCATCTAATTAACATTAATCAACTCAAATCGAAAACAACACATGGAGAGATCATAAAATGTCCAACAGACCGACGGACTCTTACCCGAAAATGACCATCCAGAAAAAAAACATAAAAAACATAGCTAGATTAGACCCTTATCGAAACCTCTATCGATTTAAAGGGGATTTCGGCGATTTCGCACCTGGTTTGGAACCCATACGCTTGGCGCCGCCGGGTTTGGCTTGACCGCAGCTCTTGCAGTTCTCTTGGGAGGAGAAACACAAATCCTCCGACGCGACGGGCCAACGTCACTTGGGAGTTGTTGTGGTAAAACTCTCGTAGTTGTTGCGCGAAACACCAGTTGTAAGTCATAACCCCATTTATGGAATGATAACCCCAATTTTTTTCGCCATTCACTGGTAAAGGGCTTTAACTGCAGTTGATTTTCCATTTTTCCTGGGAAGAAATAGAAAGAAAAATGATCTTTTTTGCGGTGATTCATGGGTGGTAACCTCAGGTGGGTTCGTAATTTGTGTGGAAAAATAATGGAAATATATGGAAATATGGTACAATTATGTTTATACATTTTTAATACATTTTTATAGATAGAGATTTGTTGCATAGCGGCATGTGAAAAAAGGATAGGCGTTGGTAAAATTACAATATACTGGTGTTACAATTCGCAGGACAACCTCAAGTCATAGAAATGAGAAAGTTACCAGCTAAGCAGCTAAGCTGTCCCCTGCCACATGTGTGATTGGTTGCCCCAAAAAATCATGCCCCCGTGTTTGCACTCCTGCTGCCGGTTGCATTATTGTTTGTACCCCTACCATGTATGTTGAATAAGTTTCAAGCATATTACTTATACTCTTCTAAATGCTATCAATTGATCAAACATTTTTTTTTCATCCTGGTTCATCCTGATTGAATTATAGTTATCCCAGTGTTCCTCCGGTTAGAATGGAGTTATCCTGTCTTTTCTGGCTGAATTATATATATATATATATTAATTCACCAAACATAAATACCTGCAGTTTGGGCCACTTTGGGGGTGATTCCTTGGATCACCATCATTCCAGTGAAGGCGCGACGTGAGGTGATGATCAAATTCATCCAAATGAATTGGTATTTTAATGGTGCGCTGCACGCTATCCCACGCTATTCCCATCAAATGTTTGGTTCACAATCACATTGAAATACCATCATATATCATAATAAATCCCATGACTAACTGGTTTCTTGGTGGTTATTACAAATAACCACCAAGAAGGTAACATATAAATCAAATATAATCTGGGCAAATTATAGCATTTCACTATACATGAAAATTCCAAATAACAATATCATGTAATACCATAATTATTCCAATTAGTCACAGCCATACCCTAGTGCTCCAAATACCCTCTAAGAAGCTGTTTACGCCCCAAAATCCCATATAAATCCCATATAAATCATAAATCACAAATAAATCCAATATCAATCCCATACAAATCCCATGTACATCCCACATACCCTCTGGTTATTTAATATAGCCATGGAAAATCACCATTTTTAATAAGTAAACCATCTATAAATGGGCCATTTTCCATGGCAAACTGTTAAATAACTAGAGGGTAACCATTGTTTACCTGATTCATCAACTAATGATGATATGATGGTTATTAACCAAGCAGTTGACTATATGGGTTATTCATCAGGTTATATATCAATCCCAAAGAAAAAATGACAACGCCCCAACAGATCCGATGGCTATGCCAAGGGTCTCCACAGGCCGGGCACAACCAGTCGCCGGGGCGACTGCCGCCACCAGCGCCACCTGGGGTTTCAATGATATTTCGATGGGAAAACACGCTATGAATAGCTGGAACATGGCTAATTCTATGGCGTTTTGATCTGTTTTTATAGGAAAATCCTGGGAAAACATCATATAATGGACTCTATTTTGAATGGTGTTCAGTGGGAAAATAAGAATAGAGAAACTATAATTGGAAGAACATTGCTATTTTTTTACGGAAGGTCTTGGAACATGGATGGTTTTACCAACAAGAATGGTGATTTACAGAGATAAAATGAGAATGTAATGGGATATGATGGGATTTACCCTCTGGTGTCATCAAACATGGCTGGATGGGAAATTGCCCATTTACCACTATATTTTTTCAATAAAAAGACCATTTACGGATGAATTTCAAATGCCACGTTTGATTACCAAAGGGTAAAACATAGCATGGTAAAATATGGTAAAACTACAATACGTTTGTTAATAATGATAATAAACCATATAGCTCATATTAGCTCATGAAGGTTTGATGATTAATTTTCATCAATTTCAGCAATCTAAGTGGGCATGTGTATATATATATATATATATCCCCGCTATATCATGCCCTCCCCATAAAATTCCCATTAAGTCCATAAAATGGCAGTTTCCCAATAAATCCAAACACTGGAATGTGTCCAAACAATAAGGGTTTAATTGACCAGGGTTTAATTATTGGAATTGTCCTAAATTCCCATTAAGTTGATCTATGGCTATCTTAACTGGGGATATTGTTCCACACATCAATAAGTACTGTAATCATCAAACATCGTCATGATTTTCGGAATTTCGTGGATCATAAATATATGATGAAATTCCCATAAATCTATTAGGGATTATGCTACATCCCATTTAAAAATATACATATATATATGCCTTGTAACTGCCCTTCTGACTACTATAACTACCTCAACTAGCGATCATGTTCCACACATCTTCGCTATTTTCTCACTTTGAGTCACCGAGCAGCCAGTCATGGCCCCCACCCGTGGGGTGCCACAGCGATTGCACTCCGTGCGCCAAGCGAAGACGTTGTCGCCGCAGCTGGGGCAGGTCCAATCCTTGGAAAAGGAGGTTCGTGGGTAAATTGATGATTACTATGGTTTACTTTGATGTTAATAATACTATGGTTACTATTAAAAAATTAAGATTATTCTCAATATTATGGATATGATCTATGGTTATTAGAATACTTGTTTGGGTATCTTAGTGTATATCGTATATCAGTGATATGTTTTGGCTACTATATACTACATGTAAAGATATGTTGGAGCCATATCATTTTTGTTGGTTTATCCCACTGATCATGCAATTATTGGGTGTGTATGCCCCACGTTGCGATTCTGAACAAACATGGACACCACCATATCCATATTTACCCCCATCATACCCCTATAAATAACCACCAATTTCGCAAGTTTAATAATATTAAATCAGATATCTATATCAACCGCGGTCAAACCACTATAATCAGCCTTTTTACATGCTAAATCCCATTACCCCCTAGATATTTGACATTGCTATTGACAATGGCTCATAGAAATCGATGATTTATGATGATTTTCGTATCAAAAAATTGTGATTTTCCAGTTTGCAAATGGTTAAGTTACCTGAAGCTAAATACATCCCTTGAACTCCCAAAGGGGCCCCAAACCAGGCACCATTTCCGATCCAAGTTGCTCCAGCTTTGGGCCCCATGCCTTGCCTTAGTTCGAGACCTGGAGAAGCCTGGGAGAAGCCTGGAGATTTTGGTGCGTTGCTGTCTTTCAAGCTGTATCTTGACTTGCTATCATTACTGGCAAGTCATCATTATGCAAATTCTGGTTGGTGGTTGACCTACCCCTCTGAAAAATATGACTTCGTCAGTTGGGATTATGAAATTCACCAGCCTGAATGGAAAGTCATATAAAATTCCATGGTTCCAGTCACCACCAACCAGAATTATATCATCATATTCCCATTGTTGTTGGTTTATAGCTTATTAACCACTATTAACCATCACTATTAACCATCATTATTAACCATTATTAACCATAGATTAACCATAGATTAACCATAGATTAACCATAGATTAACCATAGATTAACCAGGATTATCCCATTATATGGATGAACAAACCAATTTATGGATCCATATGGATCTATAAGTGATCTATCTGTAGTGTCCTTGGTCAGTCGGTCAGTCTTGGTGCCACTTCTTTCGGGGTATCGGGACTAATTTTGAAAGACTTATCTTAGATCTTGACCATATTGTTGTATATAACTGGTTGGTGGTGACTTAACCATCTTGAAAAATATTAGTCAATGGGAAGGATTATGCCATATATTATGAAAAATAAAAAATGATTGAAACCACCAACCAGATAATGTTGATCATCCGCTGCAACAACATTGGATTCTCCAAGTGTTGACCTTTTTTTTGCCTTGCACTGATCACTTCACAGCGCTCACCACTCGTTATTGCCGAGTTACGACGCGGGCTTGCAATCCACCCACTTTCCCTCCACGGTGTTGTAGTCATAATTCGCCAGCACCTGGTGCTCCGATACATCGTTCTCCCACTGGTGCTACAAGGTGGTGCCCCCCCCAGTTGTAAGTTGGTTTATAATCCCATTAACTATAGATATATCATGATATATCTACCATAAGTCCTAGTTATTAGAGTTAGAAATCAACTTAGCTATCTTGGGCACCACATTGTACCTGGCCATGGACCCAAAACATGTGTGGATTGATTTGATTTACTCCACAAGCTGGGAATTTCTCGGCCAGCCATGTTTGACTACCAGAGGTGTAGCACCGGATTAGTCCACTGACATGGCGACATGGCTCAAAATTTGAAATCAATGGACTAATGCTATATGCAAAAATGACATAAAATGACATACCCTCTGGTAAACTAACGTAACTATGGAAAATCACCATTTTTTATGGGAAAACTCACTATAAATGGCCATTTTCAATAGCTATGTTAAATTACCAGAGGGTAAAATGAAATTTTGGGCCACCATATCTCCTATGGGAATCAAGAGCCACATGAACATATATCTCCATGTGAGTTTCCATGTCTTGGTGTGGTAAAGCCATCCCATCCTCCCAACATCTCCCGGCACCGAGTTGGCTTCTTGGATGTTGGAGAAGGTGATGAAGCAATAGCCCTTCGACTCGCCCATCCTGGAAAGAAAAATGAATTTGAGATGGCCCACTGAGATGGTTTTGCGATAGTTTCAGGCACTTTCCCGTGGGAAATGTGAAAGAATCTCATGGTGTTAAGGCAATGCTGTAGTGATTTGGAAGCAAGAATCGTCTGATAGTTTCCTCAGCATTTATCCAGAAGCCAGAGACCTACACCACTTAGCTCCGAGAACCACCCTAGTCAACTACAGTAATTTTCGCATATTTTCACACATTTTCACATGATTTCAATGTTCCCAGCTTTTGCCGTGGAACGCTCCAACCATCATCTTCACTTCGATGATGTTCCCAAAATGGGCGAAGGACTGTCGCACCGAGGCTTCGGAAATGACCTCGCTTCGTGGCGACCGCGACGTCGACGGAAAGCCGGTTCAGGGGCTTAGAAAACGTAGGGGAAACCTTCGCTAATATATGAGCTATATGAGCTATATGGTCTAAGATTGTTTTCTGATGGTTTCCGCATATTTTACCATGAGTCCCCAAACAGTGCGTCCACACTGAGGGGTTCTTATGGATTTTTGGTACAAGTAGGTGTTAGTAAATTCTCGCATAAACGGCCTCTTCGATTCTGAGATGTCCATGTGCATTTTGACAGCGCAGGCTGGCACAAGGTGCATTTGCGCAGGTGCGCGGTGCATCAGACTGGCTGCAAACGCATCGGCTGTTTGTGGTGTTCAAGACGACAGGGTGCTGCCCTGCGATTCTAATGCTCCTGCGCAGGCAAGAGTTTTAATTGAGATGTAGGACCTGCTTCACCATGTCTAAGCACACAGTGCTGCCACAAATGTCATAAATTCGTTCTTGGCTTTTCAGAGACACGTGCTACTCCCTTCTGGGTTCGTCGCGACTCTGCTCCCCCGCCATAGTTCGAAAAAAGGCCATTGCACGCACTTGCAAAACGGAAAGCTGTTGGCAACTAAACACCCATGCGCCTGAGCTGCGGTCATGTGCTCTGAGGTTTACTGTGCCATAGCGCGAGTGGAAAACATATGCTAACCGCTAACCTGCTGGTGTTTTTCCTCTTACTCACAGGACTTATTTCTATCCAAGTGGTTACCATGCCTTGTTCGCTTTGTGGAACGCTTGGCATCACTCCTGGCTCGCTACCGACCTGTGACCGGAGGCACTACCTCGAGAGCCGCCGTTGCGTGTGCTTTGCTATGGATCTCGTAGCAGCATTGTAGCCGCAATAGCTTCCGCATCACTATGCTGCTTGCAAAAAGACACCAATGGTTTGCAGCGGAACCACATGAGTGTCGCTTTCGTCTGTGTCCATCCACGATCTGCCCTACATCCAATGTACTTACTTTCCCTGCCCCACACTGTTTGAGGTCTCTTGCCAGTGTAATTTACATCATTTGGAGGTACTGTATCATATAAGGCCATATTTTCTGGTGATATTCCCTTACATAGGCCTGAAAAATAGGCCTTATATATAGTAGGTACCTCCATTTTAGGATCCTGGAATTCCCATTGAACAATGGCAAGGTACCAAGGATATAATGGGGGTCGATGACCATTCTGACCATTGGTGGACGTTGGGCAAATATGTCTCGTCAATAAACAAGTAACGGAGTCAGTTTCCAAAATGAAGACTAATGACAGGACCAAATGAGGGGAACACGAGTTGATATAGACATGTATATATCTGATTATATCTGAAGCTCACCTTGAAGACTGAAACCAAAGTCACCAAGGTTGGTAGGTTCACTTCAGCCATCTTTGGCACAAGAAATTCCGCCATGGAATGATTTTGACCCAAGTGTTCAAGTTGAAGTTGAAACTGCTAAGTAACAACGTCGCATGGCCGCCATGGCCCGGCCTTTGATGATCAAATCTGATGCAGGACCCAGGGAGAAATCCAGCAACATCAGACTTCCACTAATGGCTGGAGAGCCACAAGAAACATAGCGCTACCAGTTGTGATTTTTTTCACATCACAGCCACATCGCAAGCACCGTGAAAAATTGGTACCCTCTGCATAATTTGAAGTTTGCAAACTGGAAGCCATGGCCCATAGGAAAAAAATGTGTATTACTGTATGACGATTTACCTATTCAAAAAAACACGCAAAAAAAAAAAAACGATCAAACATGTTGATTTTCCAGGCTTTTCCATGGCCAACCGTGAAATTCCCAAGCAAATGGCCTTGGGCAGGCCACCAACAAAGACCTGACGTCGTCACCATCTCACATCGATGGCTGAAAAGTTCCGGGTTGCTATAGTAACCCCAAGAACCATCCATAGAAACCTGCTAGAAAGCTATTGTGAAAGGTGGAACATATCTGGTTGGTGGTTTAAACCATCTTGATAAATGATGGAGTTCGTCAATGGGTTTCGGATGACATCCCATATGAAATGGAAAATAATCCATTCATGTTTGAAACCACCAACCAGTGACATATCTATAGGAAAATTATAATATCTCACAAACCTGAATTAAGGCCATTTGGGGATGATTTCCCTTATTAACCATGATTCCATTGAGGGAGAACAGTGAGGTCGTTATAATTTACCCAGATCTATAGGAAAAGCATGAAACAAGTTGCAAAGCTGAAAACTAAGGGGAACACATCATCGACCTACGGCCCTGGTGCCACACTTTTCACTGGGCATCTGAGGGACATGTTCAGTCTGAAGAAGCAAATCAAAGATGGAGGAAATGGTGTTTGCCACTAGGTTTGGAGTCGTAATGAAGAAAATATCCCACTAAAACTTGGAAATATTTCAGTAGCTTTATCATCCAGAATTGGACATGTTGTCAACAACAATGGGTGCAAACAATCAAGTTGTGGCCTGGGATCAAAAAGAATCAAGTTGTAGCAACCCACTGGTGTGACAAGTTTTGTCATCCACCCAGCTTCAATAAGTCTATATCTACCATACTCCCTGGATTCACATCAACTACATGCTGGTGTTTTTTCGCCACCCCTCTGCAACATATTAGTCATAGTCAGTTGGGATGGTTCTTCCCAATATATGGAAAGTCATAAAAGCCATATTCCAAACCACCAACCAGATTATGTCATTAGTAGTTGATGTATTTCCACCTGAACTCACCGGAATCACATTTCCAGGTCTAAATCATCTGAATCATATGCAAATCCTCAGGAATCACGGAGCCGGAGTAATGGCAACTTCGCACCACAACTCACCACTCAGATCCACATTCACTGGATTGGTTTTCTGAAAATCTGAACCGGAAACCATCGATTTTCCCATGAAATAGGGAGCTTGAATGATGTACCCTCTGGTAAACTAAACTATGGAAAGATCCACCATTTTCAATGGGTAAATCCAGGAACTAAATGGCCATGTTCAATATCTATGTTTCTTTACCAGAGGCTAAATTTGCCCTATCCAACCAAGCCATTGATACATTGCCCTACATGGTCCCACGATCAACTCCAGTCCCACGATGGGTCCCTCGCCTTGCATGATGGTGCCGTCATGGCTTCTGCGGACTTGCCCTTGCCGCAACCGTTTCCAGCACTCGACTTGCCTTTACCGCCGCCTTTACCTGGCACGAAGTAGTTCTGGGTTGAAGATCGCGGGAGAGAAACATAATAGTCAGTCATAATAGTAATATGGCAGTGTGTCAAAACCTTGTACCCCTGGTGAACATCAAAATAGCTGGTAAATGGATGTTCATCCCATTAAAAATGGTATTAATAGGTATTGATCCATACCCATATAGTCAAAACAACTACAATCATCAACAATAAAAATCATCAAAAACAACAGTAGAGGTCCTCATGTGTCCACCCTGAGAATCACCAGCACTATTGCCAATCAGTGTAACGATCACCGGTGTTCCGTTTCGCAGAAGCCCCACGTATGCCATAGGTACTCCATTGCCAGCAGCCATGGAAGGACACCTCCCACCTGTCCCTGTACGGTAGAATATCGTCTCAAGATGATTTTCATTGATTTTCGGTGGCTGAGATTCCTATGAAATCTCACTATGTTCACTAAAAGTCAAGAATCTAATGAATATAGCATGATGAGAGGATCGGTCACTACATTCTGCACACATCCCTCGGATTTATGTTTATATAATTCATATAACTACAATTAACTATATCTATGATAAACATTATATTTTATATATTGTTATATATATATAGCATATATTGTATCCATCTATTTATCTATCTATCTCTGTGTGTAGAGATACGTGTTTCTTTTTCTGATCCCAGAACATCATCCCACCACCATAGCCCTAGCCCCCTCCCAGGGCCCTTCCAAGGCACTCAGGCGCCTTCCCAGCTGTCCTCCCAGCCAGGGGGTGGACCATACATCGACGCCATGGTCATGGCCCAGTCCATGAGATCCGCCATTCCTTGGGCAACGGCAGCACCTACCGCACCGACTACCGGACCTACGTCGTTAAGTGTCCTCAAACGTGGCTGGGAAATTTATGGAAATTTCCTATAAATGGAATTTTTAATGGGAATAATCATCTTGAGGCTGGGAAATTTCCTATAAAATCTATAAATGGAAATGTGAATGGGAAATCAAATGGAGCGCCAGTTGGCAGAAATAATTTTTGCCATTCAGCCACTCTGGAGTGACTGCACCAGCGGCTGCCGCCATCCGTTGAGCATCGCCGTTCTGACCAGGATGATGTTTATCAATGCTTACTGTGACCACAGGTCATTGTTGGTTACTGAGATGGTTTATGGGGGTGAATCCCACAATATCACTACGTCCTGGGGCATTTTTTTTCCGCAATTCATTCGAACCGGGCCATTCTGGAACAGCTTACAAGAGGAAATGAAATAAATGAAATGAAGTTCTGCCGCTTTCTCTGAGTATTGCGAGTTCCCATTCTGAAACTGGAACCCTTGAACTTGAGCACTTGAGGACTCTCCCTCTCTCTCTCCCTCTCTCTCTCTCTCTCTGTGTCTCTCTCTCTCTCCATCCTCATCAATCCCTCCCAACTTGTATTGAGAACTACTACAATGCAATTCTGAAAGTTCACAATGAGATTTTTGCCCATGCTTCCGACTATGGAACTCCAAATGGGTCTGAAACATGACTTCAGGAAATGGAAATTCTGGAGTCTCAAGAATTGCGACAGTACAGATTCAGGATATCATTTCCCCCCAAACAAGGTCAGAATTTTCCACCTGAAGTTGTCCCAGTTTATCACATCTCCTCATGTTTTGCCATCTTAGGTGGTTAAGCCACCCATCTGAAAAATATGCTCATCAATTGTGACCATCATTCGATTGGTAGGGTGTTTTTCCCCTGCCAGGTGAGGGTCTCTAGATTTCAATCGGCCACGGCTGGTCCCAAACTATTTTTTTCGCCAGCTCCGGATGCTGGCCACACCTGGGCCTGAACACATGCCAAAGAGAATGCCAAACATAATGCCAGAATGTCAGAATAGATACTGATACCAGAAAGTTTGGTATGTTGCCTGCTTGTTCTGAACCATGACATGGCCTCCTGCCACTCTTGGCGCATCAGCCACATGACAGGTTCAGTGCAGCGGAGCTGCAAACGACCACATCCATTGAAGTGAAAACAAAGGGCTGCGGACGAAACCACCAAGCAGATCATCATTGGCATTTGCGGCATTTGCGCCATGAAATATCATGAAATATCCCCCATGATGTTCCCATGATGTTCCCATCTTTTCCGAACGAAATCCCCACCCGATCCATGGGAAATCCACCCAATGCTGCCCGGTGTCCGGTATCCGTTTTGCCTTTTCCTTTTCCCGACCAGTCCATGGCATTGACCCCGTCACAGACCCGCGCTAGGACGGTCAGGGCGTTGTGACGTGCTGCTTGAGCACTGGCCCATGGCAGCGGAAGTCGGGGACAGAAATTCTTCAGGTTTAGTTATCATTGGATTGGTTTAACGGAAACGTGTCCCATCATGTCCATCATGATCCATGATGTCCCATCAAATTCCTTAAGCCAATCCAATGATAGTACGCGAACCTGTCATTTTGAGGTATCACCGTATCATAAAACGTGGTCTATGTGTGTATGTATAGAAATTATATAATATATATATATATATAATATATATAATATATAATATATATTTATAATATATATATATATGATATATATAATATATAATATATTATATATATAATATAATATATATATATATATTATATGATATATATATATATATATATTATGATATATATATATATATTATGATATATATATTATGATATATATATATTATGATATATATATATATCTGTGTGTGTGTGTCCGCTTGTATATCCTGATATCCTTATGATGCTGCGGCCAATCACATGATCTTTTGGAACTCTACCCTTCTAGGGCCCCATTTGTCAGCAGGAGTTAAACTTATAAATGACCCCATCCCGCTGTAGAAATTGGCTGGTGCTCAGGATGCCCCCCAGTGATGTTTGTTGGTTTACAAACCCCATGACAACTAGTTCGTTATATCATGTTATATCTACCATAAACCATAGAATTTCAGCCACTTATGTCTCAACTGAACACTATCTGAAGGGGGCCCCATCCTGTAGCGAGTTCTCATCATTTGGGGGGAAGCCCCTGATGTTTGAATCCACCATCAACCATCCATCGGTTGAATGGAGCTCCCCGGCTCCCACTTTCATAGCGAATGTGAATAGCATACCCATAGCTCCTTAGCTAGTATCAAACTGGATCGAAAAGTTAGAAAGCTGGAAACTATGATCAATGGCCATTTCAGGATCCTAAAATGGAGGTACCTACCATATATAAGGCCTATGTAAGGCCTATGTAAGGCCTATGTAAGGGAATATACCCCCAAAATATGGCCAAACATATGGTACTAAGGTACCTCCATTTTAGGATCCTGGAATTCCCATTGATATGAGTTTCCACCATGGATGGTTTCCAACATCATAGTTTCCAGCCGTCCTGGAACCACCATGCAATGCCATGCAGCATCACAAGCACATCACTGGCTGAAAGGTGAAGTCGTTTAGGGGTGATTTTCCATATCTACCCTCTGGTTATGTCAAAATAGCTATTGAAAATGGCCATTTATAGTGGATTTTCCCATTAAACATGGTGATTTTCCATAGCTATGTTAGTTTACCAGAGGGTAAACCTTCCAGGTTTAACGTCACGACGTGAGGTCATTATTACTTACTGGTGCGTTTTACGCAGGGAATGAGGGAATGGTCCACTAGCTAACCATCAATAATAATCCCAGCAACCCTCAATCCCATCCATTCCCTACGTTTAGCACCAGTAAGATTATCATCCAGACTATATCACCATGTTTTTTGTAAAATACAGTAACTTCCATAAATACGTTACCAATAGTTCGGGCCTGTTACAAATAGTTGTAGGGATCATACGGGTCCAACACTGGAATTGGTTCATAAACACGGTAAGCCGGCTGCCAAACTATATGCACATATTTCTATACATTGGGTTGGTGCAATATATTTCAAAAAATGATCTCAACATGAATTATATAACCTAAATACTCTGGATGAAACATAATCATATAATCCATTAATCTGGTTTAAATCCCAAACATTTATAATTATATAAATACTATATATCATAATCCCATAATACCATATAAAATATGTGATTTCAATATATATTCCCTTTCCATGCTGAACTCTCCAGTTGGGGTCGCTGCCGATGTCATGTTCCTGCATGCCAGCCAGCAAGGGGTTCAACAAATTCCTGGTGGCCATCTATAGGCCCGAGCGAGGGGTTTGTGCACACGGTGAGCTCAGAGGAAAATATCCTGAGCCAGCTGCACTTAGCTTGGGTGGGACGGTGCTGTTTGCCATAGGAGTGGCCATTGTCATAGAGGTTCAGGGGACCATCCTTTTTCAGATCTTCCTTTTGCTGTTGCCTGATTCAATCTTGGTTGACCCGATCATCAACATCATTCCTTGGAAGTTCCCTACCAATTGTGGACATTCCACATTGGTAGCGGAGCAACTGGCTCCTTAGGATTGCGTGGTGAACATACAACTGAGTTGCAGTCAGTGAAACTTGCAAGGACCAGTGTTTGAGGTCCAATACTTTTTGCTCTGATATCCTGAAAAGGAGGTGATCCTGTGGGATTTTGAACGATTTGGAGTCCACAATGTCAATGGATGGAACTTCCGAGCCTGGCGCGCCCTCCGGAAACAGCACAGGTTCACAGCTTCCCTGGCATTTGATTCCTCATTTCAGTCCTGGAGAAACGGATCTTACAGAGTATGCTAGACGCCTTGAGTTTCTAGCTGGCATTTGGCCAAGTGAATATCTCAACCAACTTGCTCCACGAGCAGCGTTGCAGTGCAAAGGATCAGCCTTTCAAAAGGTTGTCCGTCTGGACACTGAGAAGTTGAAGGTGAACAGTTTAGATGGAGTCAAACTCTTTGTCACTACACTTGGAGGAGTGTGGGGAAAGACTGTTCTTGAAGACAAATATGAGAAATTCGAACGAGCAATTTTTGGAATTTCCCAGAAATCCGATGAAACCAACGAGTCGTACTTGGCCCGGCATGAAGTCCTGTTTGAAGACTTGATCAGCCAAGGAGCAACACTCAGTGATATGAGAGCCTATATCTTACTGAGGAACTCTGCCCTTGTTTCTGAGGACAAGAAGCGCGTGGTGATCGAAGCTCAAGGACACCTGAAGTACGAAGAAGTCACCAAGGCCATTCGTATGCTTGGTGCAAAGTTCTTTCAGGAGGTTCAAGGGAATGTGAAACAAAGTCGGACCAAGACCTATGATGTCAACCATGTCGAGGGTGATGAAGAAGTTTTCTATGGGGAAGAAGTTCAGTATGGTTTTTCAGTGGAAAATGCCGATGTATCTGAATATGCCATGGAACAGTTTCTGTCGGAAAATGATGAGGATGCACTTGTTGTGCAGCAGTTTGAAGATGCCCTCATCGACACGATCCAATCAGACGGAGAAATGAACGCCTTCATGAACTCTTACGTAGAAGCTCGACGCAAGTTGACAGAGAAAGCAAAGTTCAGAGGCTTCTGGCCATTTCGTTCCAAAGGAGGTGGCAAGAAAGGGAAATCCAAGGGATTCAATGCCCGAGGCAGAAAGCCTCTCGCTGTCAGGATCGCTGAGTCGGAATGTCGGCTCTGTGGGCAAAAGGGACACTGGAAAGCCGAGCGCCCCCGAAAATCACAGAATGCCACGACTGGAAGCTCTTTAGGATCCCGGACACAGCCTACCAACATGATGATTTCTGCCACTGATGCGGACGATGATGAAGCCGATGTTTTCCTGGTCGAAAGCCTTGTCCATGATGCATCCGATGTCCTGCAGTCTTTTCAGGACCCGTCTCATGTCACCATACAATCTCACTCCCATGATGTTTTCACGTGTGAAGGGAATAATCATAATGGGGATAAGAATAAACTGGGGAATCCAAGGAACTGCCGGTTTTATGTCCAAGTCAGGGATAGGTTAAGTTTTCTGTGCCAACACATGGGTGTCCAAACGCCCTCCAGGAAGAATGAAGATGGCACCAGTGAGACAACCCCCTCGCCTGAATGTTGGAGCAATGACTCCGTGCATGCATCCGCCGATGGATTCCAAGTTTCAAGTGTTCAACCTGCTGCTCCGACAGATGCTCTTTTGCAGAAAGCCTCCATGAATGCGCCAGAGACTCCAGCCAATGAACAGTCCGTGTTGTTTGCAACTCACCAAACCATAGGAATTTTGGATCTGGGAGCATCACAGACTGTAATGGGTCGGTATCAGGTTGATGAATTCTTAGAACTGCTGCCTGAAGCAGCTCGCTGTCGTGTCTTTGAGCAGCCTGTGGACATGTCGTTTCGTTTTGGAAACAACAGCGTTGTCCCATGCCGAGTGGCGTTGATGGTGCCTGTGGATCGTTTTTGGATTAAGATTGCAGTGGTTGATACCAAAACACCTTTCTTGATTTCCAACAATGTTTGCAGATCTCTTGGAGCTGTCATTGACACCACCAATCAGACCATATGTTTCCGTGAATTGGACTGCACCATGCCATTGACCCTTTCTGGCAAGAAACTGTTCCTGCTGGATTTCTCCGAGCTCGTTTCGTTGCGACCTCCCAGACCTGCTGAGTCCGACAAAACACCAATGCTGAAAGCCGAGAATGTCTGTTCGTGTCAGTCCGAACAGTCCCAGTTTCCATCCAGTGTGTCGCACCAAGATGCATTGAAGATCAACACTGAAAGTCTTGAGGTAGAGAAGGAAATGACTATCCAGCCTGATGTAGATAGAACTGAGGAAGCCAATTCTTCAAGTCATGTTTCGTCAGATAGGATCAGCACGTCAAGTGAAGCAGTTACCGAAGTTCTCCGGGATCAATCCAACCATCAGCCCACCGAGACTTCCAATTCATTGCCGTGTGCGAGTAGCCATGTCCTTAAACAACCTTGCGGATCGCTTCGCTGCCGTTCAGGAGATGCAGAACAAGTCGAGCAAGGAGCAGACTCTGATGGCCTTGAGCATGGAAGAACTCCAGAACCTCACCATCAAGTTCGGAACTGCAAAGGCCGGACTTACGTTCAAGGAGGTGGTCGAGACAGATCCAAAGTACTGTCAGTGGTTTCTTCGCCAATGGGGATCCAGCAGCAAGAGCGAGCATCAGGAGTTCCTGTTCTTTCTGAACATGTGGACGGAACGCAAGGAATTCGAGAATGGGATCAATGGATCCAAGACTGGCGCCCAACTGCCAGTGAAGCCGCAGCCGAAAGCCGGTGGCAAGGCTCATGGTGCCTCCTAC